CAACCGGCAGGCATGATCATGTTAGTTAAAGCCTAAAGTAGATTAATTAATGCCCGTACGGCATTCCCTCAATTTTTAATATTTGACGTAAGGTATTTTATGTAAGTAAGTATGTACGCGTATGCTAATTATGACTAAATATCCAATCTAAACTGCAATGCTTAATCATGTTGGTTAATTTAAAGTCTAAAGTAGATTCAAAAGATAAATATACGCAAGTATGCCTGTTCCATATTAATATTTAGCCCAAAATGCAAAGTATAATTGCGTTAGTTAAAGTTTTGAGTTAGTTCTTACAGTGTCATCAATACTTAAACAACGAGTCAATTAATTTTCTGCAATATTTCAAATATTTACTCCAATTCTACGAAAGGAATGAGCGGTTATGTCTTTATAATCTCATTATAATCAGTCACTTGTAACGAACCGTAAATCCTCTTTATTCGACAAACTACTTTTCGTTGTTAACTTCACATAAAGTTTCTACTTGTACAGTGTATATCCCACACGATATTTAACTACATTATACGTAATCTTGACAACGATATTCCCTGCCATGCATAACAAAATCCTATAGAATAATAAAATAGGACACAATGATCAGTCTGGACTACAGATGGTAATAAATTCTCACTAGAGAATTTTAATTTATTTTAAGGGATAGCAGCACCGACGTTAATGGTTTAGATTAGATCTTTCTGCTAGCTAAATGCCTCAATACAGTTTCATCCTGAAAATAACGACGCTGCTTGAATCTCCGGCACAGCACCAGAAACTGCAGTAAAGAATAAATAGAAAACTAGATTCATTTCCAAAGTAGTTCCTTATAATCCAGTGTATAATAGAGTATTAATGGATACTAAAAAGTTTTTTTCTATCTTTATGATGATTATAACATTGGCAAGTACCCAGTGGGGCGCACATGTTTGCGGATATTTGTTATCCTATAAACTTTTGGCTATATTAATGCTGTTAGCATAGTTATAACGGAAAATTTCGATTATAAAACGGACTAAAAGGGATCAAGTGTAGTTCCTGATTCGAGTCCTTTAGCGTAGATTTTCAATTGAGTTTCTGACATACATGTGTCCATGTAATGGAAGACAGCATTTATCAGCAAACAAATTTGTGCAATATAAAACAGCAACATTAACTTATTAATATGCGCTATAGCAATAGGATTTTATAATAAATACGGACAAAGAAATGAATAGAATTCATCAGATTGACATTTGATCTTAATTATTACGCCATCTCTGTTTTGTCTGTTATTGGCTTAATAAATACCCAGTATAAATATTCAGAATTGAAGTGATTTGAGCCAGTTAAGAGCTAAAGTTTATCTAGTCGAGGGTTAAACTTATAACTAGATTATAAATTCAAAATTATCTAGTGTAAATAAACTCTATCCAGGTCTAAGATCGCTACAACCCTTGTTTAATATTTCTGTTATACCTATAATATAAATCTATTCAATATCTATCAGTATTTTACTTAAATAGATGTTGAATATACATTGAAAGAAAATTTCATTAGCACTTGTATAAATGGCGTACAAGTATATGATTCCGATTATGCTAAATAGCTAGTAATTGGAAAGTACGTAGTCAGGTATTCTTGGCTAGTATATCAATTCTCAGAGAATAAGATCACAAAGCTAAATTGTAAGTCAATTCTAAACGTCGATTTAAATTGGTTTAATTCTAATACACATGGTTGTAAATATCATTTAATGATAGAATACTACTCATTTTTAGCGCTTTTAACTTCTAGATATACCTATGATGCATTTAATAGCTCTGTAGAAAATTCAAATATTTTGTATTATTCTAATTCAAGGCAACACTATATTATTTTCATCATTAAATTGGTTAATTTAATTATCAACTACATTTTCTCATGGTTCTCCTATTATCATGATCATGACCAAAAGTTTAATAATGTGCTTGTAGGTTTTGTTATTTTGTTTTGATGAGGTTTATAAGGCCGCGGCAAAATCGGTAAAACTTATCATGGCAAGTAGGGTAAAACTATATACGGATCTAATCTTTGCTATGATTTTATACATATGGATATACGAGATGATTTCATACCACAGATGGCTATCTCTAGCATGATAATTAATAGAATAGCTCAGAATGCTGTACATAACGCATGAAAGCGTTAATAGCCTATTGTACATTATAGTATTGCAATTTATGCTATAAATTATCGGTACCTTATCTTGCAATCCATATGGTTTATTTTAATTCAATTACTGCCTTATTAAAATGTGCTAAATTAGGTTAATATACTATGTAGGCTATTCTGTAAGATGGAAAACAATTTATATACCTATCAAGCAACCAGCTTATAACCAGGTAATAAAGTATCATACTTCTTTCGTATGCTACGCTATCATATCTATTTCATCATTATACGATTATAAATCTTTAAAGCTCTACAGTCTACAGCGAATCCTACAAAAAAAGCTTAGAAATCTATAATTACCAAGTAGCAACCTGTTCTAAATTTAAATTTGTAATCGCGAATAAATTAAAACTATAAATAAAAATACCAGGCCATGAGTTCATGTCAGGTTTCTCCTCCCTGACATTGACTCAAGGTATGATCCTAATTACGGACAATCTCCTATCATCAGGCACAGGAAATCCCTACAATGCATAGAAATCGGTGGTTACGGACTGGCAGCCTGTCACAATCTAAATTTTGTAAAGACGAAAATTAAAACTACTAATGGAAATACTATACTATGAGTCTACTGTCAGGTCTGCCCTCATCAACATTAACCTACAGCGCGACACTAAATAGTAACAATCTCCTATCGTCAGGAGGAATAGTAACACCATTCGTCTCTCTTAAACAAAACCGAACGCAAACTTTATTGAGTACTTAGATAACATTATAAAATTTTTCACTGATCTATTCAATAATGTAAATATCATCGAGAAGTTAATACATTCTTAGATAAGTAATCTTAAAGAAACTATGTTTGGGCAGCCATGCAAGTTACTCCATAATATATTACGCAGATGCAGTAATGGATTTTGTATATGTGAATGCAACAAATATCATTTGAATGCTATTAAATACTGCCAATAAATTGCTAGCAGTTTATGGCGTGAAGTTTCCTTGAAAGTCTTAACTTGAATGCCTTTATGATGATGACTTTTGACATGCAAACAGATTCGTTATACGCACTAAGTAGCTAACTCTAGTACGTTCTAATGAATACTTTACGCTAGTGCTTTAAATGCGTTACAACTATTCGCATATAACGTTGCTTAATAAATCACGTTAGCTATCACTAACAGGTAACAGCTTATCCATTAAAATATGATGGTCCTCATTTTCACTATTACAAACAATTCATTTCAGCATTATAACAAGTTTATAATTTATTCTTTTGGAAGGAAGACGCATAACTTTCCAATTATGAAAAAGGACACGCATATCAAACAGCAGCGTTCAGTAGAATTTAGTAGATGATCATAGAATAACATAGGAAATTCTTTTTACATTCAGTAATACTGTAAGTACAGTACAAGCAAATGGTCGTTGCGTTCTAGAATCTAGACATGGAACATAATATTTCTTTATACAGTAACAAATAAGAAATACAATGTTTTATGTAAGATGGAGTATTTATACGTAATGTGAGATACTTTTCTATCTGACAAAGACTTGAATAATCCAACAATAAATTCGGTAGATTTATATAATTAGTCGGTGTGATGGATTATCCATTTTCAATTCACCTTTTCATCGATCACCTACTGACATACAATTAAAGAATTTCGACGTGACACATTCTTACATTACTGACCCAGCCGCAGTTCTTACGTGTACTCACGTACATAAACTTGCCAATTAATTACAAAGCATATTGTGAACAGTAACATGATTGCATTAGAATTAAAATTAAAAGTATATTTTTTAACCCTCGAGTGTTAAACATCGAGCACAATAACTAGTGAACATTTGAGATTGTAATACAAATGTTCCAACAGTTCTTGTGGTACTCCGTGGCAATTGTCCTCTTTGGCTCTCTCACTTCAAGTACAACAATAATATTATGCGTGATACAATACAAGCCATTACAGTTACAAAAACATTAGTATTTAACTACTTTATATTGTATGAAGGAAACTTGAAATGTTTCTTTTTCCGCTTTTCAGTTCGATTATTATATTAAATGTATCATAGAAAGACACAACGAATGTCGTATTATATACAAAAGCAGAAATTTATTGCTGCCAGACTGTATGACGACTTTCTCATAGATTAAACTTATTATCAACACAGCGGATGATTTTCTAACAAATTACAGTATCTATATAACAAACTGTAAACAAATTGAAGAGAGCACCAAAAAGGAGCTATGTTAATCTCCAAAGGCCCATCTCAATTCCACCAATCGACCTTTCTCTGAGATCCATTGTTGTTATTAGAATAGTTATTATACGAATTAGGATAATAACCAGAATGATACTGGTTACTACGGTTTTGAGTCTGGCGATAATCGCGAGAGCCATAGAAACCTCCATGCCTATGTAGTAATGTGTAAAATAAATAACACCAATTAGATATGTTGCATAGTAGATCGTTTTATGTCATGATCCATGAAAGCAGTAACAAAAATTAGTACTGTACCTTCTACCGCCACGCTTGTTATTGCTTTGGTATCTCATTTCAACGGCAACATCATCCAGCCATCGAGGCACAGATTGCTTGGCTTCTAGTAGCAAGTCTACTAAGTCCTTGGCAACATTCTTGTTCTTTTCATTAAAGAATGACGTGGCTGTACCTATTCAGTTATCAATATCAAAATTGCTTATTGAATGTAACTTTACACAGTTATTAATAGGCTCCATAAATTAGAATATTGAGGGGTAATCATTTCACCTCCCAACAAAAAACATTTACTCACCAACATTACCAACACGACCAGTTCGACCTATTCGATGAACATATTCTTCAATATCACTTGGTAAATCAAAGTTGATAACATGGGCAACGTTGGGTATATCTAATCCACGAGCAGCAACCTAAAGATTGAAAGAAAGGCGTCAATGGTACATGTATATTAATTACTGTGCACATTACACCATTTCTAAGGTTATTTAATAGTAATTGACTTACAGCGGTAGCTACTAAAATTGGCCTAACACCAGCACGGAAAGCTCGAAGAGCGTCTTCTCTATCTCGTTGAGAACGATCGCCATGAATAGCTGTTGAATAATAACCCATTCTGACCAAAAATTCTTGCAATGAGTCGGCACCTTTTTTCGTCTCGACAAAAACCAACGACAGCGATGTCGGTTCTGTAATAGTTTCAGTTACAATAGTTAGTACCCTCTATTTAGTTACAACTGACACGATACCATATAAAACTTACCCGTAGAATTTAATAATTCCAGTAGATAAGCTCTTTTGTCATCTTCTTCTACCCATACCATTTTTTGGATAATATTTTCACTCGTAGAGCCGACACGTCCAACAGCCAGAAAAATGTAATCATCTAAGAAATCTCTGGCAAGTACCTATAATTAATAAATGATTACATTGTTATTTATGGGGGTAGTTAATTTTCTTACGAAAGACGCTCCGATATAAATCATACTTGGATTTCTTTAGGGAAAGTGGCACTAAACATCATAGTTTGACGCTGTCCAGATGGAGGCATTGTATCTTGCTCAACTATACGTCGAATTTGTGGTTCAAATCCCATATCCAACATACGATCAGCTTCATCTAAGACCAGATATTTGCAGTAATCCAAACCTATCATGCCTCTCTCTAACATATCAACAAGGCGTCCAGGTGTTGCTACTAATAGGTGACATCCCCTATCGAGGTCTTTAACTTGATAACCAAAGTCGGCTCCACCATAAACGACACAAGGTCTAGCTACCGCTCGATAAGTAAACTATATCCATAATTTAAAAATTGGCACAGTAATGTAGTTGGAAATGATGATACACATACTTTTTTAAATTAAGGAAATCAAAGTTATGCTTAACGCTATTCATGTAGGTACCTTTTTAGCTTCCTCATAAATTTGAGCGGCAAGTTCTCTCGTAGGCGCTAGAATTAGAGCAAGGGGGAATTGTTTTCGTCTACTGCCGTAATATGATTGAGGTTCTTCATGCTCCTATTAGAGGTAAAGAAAAAAGAATTCATATTTATTTCAATAATTCTTTGTATTCAAATGAAAAGGCATAGTTGTAGCCAGACAAAAACTTACAACTGGTCCACCATTAAAGATTAAACTTAGGATGGGTATTAGAAACGCTGCTGTCTTACCAGAACCTAGTTATTATCAATAAATTATTTCCGTTGAATCAATTTTTATATTGTATTTAAAAATCAAGTGACGAGTTAAAATTTCATCATGATGATAAAAATCTCGACATGTACCTGTTTGTGCACAAGCCATCAAATCCCTTTTTCCAGTAATAATAGAGATAGCGTATTTTTGCACTGGAGTAGGTATATTGTATTGGCAAAGCTAAATAAATAGGAAACAAGAAATTAGTTTTACATAATCAGTTGATATAACTAACGTATATAGAACGTTTAAAATTTTTCTTCTACTTGATACATACCTCTATATTACCCAAAATTATTTCACCAAGGTCGCACTGGTTAAACTACATTAAGAACCATAGCAATGTTTGTTAATATAGTTGGCATCGTTTAATATTAAAAAAAAAACTAAGGATTTTATCAACAAGGATCCACATCTCACCTCCTCAATATGTTTTGGGCAGTTGCTTCCAGTTGCTTCGACTGGAATATCTTGGTATTTACTAAAGTTGATTCCAGTATTGGCATTACCAAATAAATTCCTGAAATAAATAAATATGACATTTACTTCAGGTATGGTGATGATCAACAGTGTATTAAAATCGATATTGTAGAAAGCCCATTCTTTGACGATCTTAACCTCAATTGATCGAGACTGTAACATTTAGTAGTAATGTATTAACTATACTACTTTATGTACTTAATTTTAATATAAATTGAATTGTTCTACGCGTACTAAAATAATTTTCATGTATAAAAAACACACATCTCTATGAGTTGAATCGATTTTAAATAAATTTAGCCCACTGCAAAGTATCAAATGTGCCATAACTTTATTAATGATAATCAAGTACTTTGGTACAGTTTATACACGCTATTATTATATTACAGCATAATATAACTGGGTTTATTTCTACCTTTCAATTCTTTCGTTTCTAGGCAATGGAACCGTCCAACCTCGACTATGATCCACTGGTCCACTATCACCTAAAAAGGAGTCAAGTAAAAAAAAAAACTCTTGAGCAAAGTTCCATTTTGTATTTAATATACGTTAGTCAGATGTCAAAAGCAGGTAATTCTTTAGTAGTGGTAATATTAAAAGAAGGTTTCAGATGCAAGTTACAATAGTTTAATCTATCACTGATGGATTTTATCAAGATCGTCACTTATATACTGTAAAATTTAATCATTACACTACTGTATTAGCTCCAATATTATAAATAGAAGTACAGTATTCTATGTTGGACGCTAAACTTTACATATCTTTTTGCTACGCTTAGACACAAAGTTTGAACGGATGCTAAAAGTGTTACAATAAACATGTTTAAAAAGAGTATCATCAGCGGATAATTTTAACTGTAAGAACCATTTATCGATAAAAAAAAAATGATCATCAGTACAATTCAAAAGTAATGCCAAATTGTGGTAGCTGTCGCTATTTACGTACTGCCACGAACTTGACAAAATACAATTCTATTCCATTAAGCTAAGGCAGAGTAAAAATCGATTTCTCATTGTACACTAGGACAATTTCTATCTAGAATAAGATTCTATTTCTTCATTCTCTCGATTGTAATAGTAATATTGATAATACTGCCCAAGGTACAAGCACTTTTTTGCATTGGCCATTTCTACTTTCATTTACTTGCAACTAGTCTATTTACCCCACTACTCTTACCTTGTCTATCATCACGACGATATCCATAACCGCTACCAGGGCCATTGCCATAATTATTGCGATTTCCACCACCACGTCCAGCGCCATAAAAATGATTATTATTGCCACCTCGGTCATCAAAGCGGCCTTGATTGCGATTAAATCGGCCACCGCCGCCGCCACCACCAACCATTTGGTTATCGGGAGCTCCAGCATCTAACATTATGGAAAAGAAAGAATTTTCTCAATTAATTATTGCTGACAAGATTTTGATCAATATTGAATAAGAAAGGAATTTCAACGTTAACAGGAAGATGGTGTTGTAGACTTGTAGTGAGATATATAAATCAATCAGACACTATCCGGTAGTAGAGTCCTAAGACAAATGTTCCAAATTGACAGTCACTACGTGCAGAGCATTGATGCCAACAATACTCTACATTATCATTAGTAGGGCACTCTCGATCATGGACGCACAATCATGTATCAAGTTAACAGTGCAATTTCTTTGACATCATGATGGTAAAAAAAAAAAACTACTATCAATCATGATTGTTGTTCCTAGCAACGTCGACTTTTACCACAGCGAGAGAAAGGTAAAGTAATGTAACAAGAACATCAATCCCTCACTGACTACCTGCAGGAGTATTTGGCAATCTTATCCTCAAGGTGTTGCAATGAAATCATCATCACTCCACTGCCCTATAACTACCGCATCTAATTTGTTTATGGTCGATTTAGAGTCATCTACTTGCAGAGTGGACTCTTCTACGCTACGTCGCCATGGCAATGATGGAAAAAAAATTCCATGCTAAGTAGTCTCTTATTAGAGAAAACTCTTTCAAAATTAAGCTACGTCAGCATTAATTGAAGTTTTTTTCTTCTCACCATTACATCTACCCATCGTAGTAGTTAGTCTAAAGCAAGAACTAAAGTAGGAATGTGAGAGAATAACAGTAAGTATGACGTGTGGATAACCAAGTAGAAGACCCGTGGATGTACTCTTTTTTTTTTTCATAGCATATCACTATCATCAATCGATTGATCTATCGATTTAGACTCTGATTTTTCCTCTTATACTCGTTACAACTTTAATTTTCCTATTCTATTTTTATTGCAATCATCGTAGCGGTACATCCTGTAGATTAGGTAGATGTTGCAATCATGGAATCATCAAACTGGGTGGTTACGTTGAAAAGTTCCGGCTTTGCCAGTAGCATGCCTAACAATTCCATAAACTAATTGATATCGTGTTAACTACAATAACAGATTGGATGAGAAAATAAATATTTGTCTTCGATCGTCAATCGTTCCGCTTTGCCGGTATACTACTATAACATTTGCCAAACGAGTTTGATTTTTTTTCTTTTCCTCACTACGTCAGAAACTGATTTCAAAGGTGAGAAAGTGTGTCAGGGGAAAAGGTCGGGGCAAAATTGATTTTCATCACCTTGAAAACAATTGATGGATTGGCACACTATAGCTAGCGATCAATAAAATAATATTGACGATGAAAAGGCATTGTAGAGTACACTTTACTGTGTCCTAGATTACTACAAGAAAAGCCAGTTTATGACTGTACAAATAACAACTGGTTATGGTAGCATAAATCAATCAATCGATCATCTACTACATTATGACTTCGACTAGAAAGAAGATCGATGGATGGATGCCTTTTTACATGACTTTCCAGTCTAGAATCATACAGTAGTTGATTATACTGTGAAGGGAGAATTCGTTTGAACAAACACCCATTTCAGAAGAGAGCAAGCAATGTTTGCAGGGTGTAAGAAAGCAATACGAAAGTCAATTTCACTTTTCATCATGCAATGGAAAGAGATTACAAAGCTTGATTATGAAATGGAGTAAAAGAGTTCGGATAGAAAATAACATGATCGATCGATCATTTCTACGATCGCTATCGCTAGGAACACATGCTGAATAGTTCTACTCTGCATGATTGAAAAGTTTCGACGTAGGATCGAGGGAGATTACACCAAGATCAATGTTGGATGAAAAAAAATGGCGGGGAGAAAGTGCTAACCTCGACTGCTACCAGGAGATTTGGTGGATATTTGTGTTTCTAATTCAGCTAAACTTCGAGAGCCTTGCCGACGTCCACGCATATGGGGTGGGACATATTTGGAAGCTAAATTATTGAACGATGGAGAATAAATCAATAAAATAGGTAATTTAAAATGGTGTCCTCTAATTAATCAAACTCTGGTTAAAATAGGTGTAATGAATTAGGCTAAGCGAGTATACAAATCCATGTTACTAAAGCTCTAATTTCATGCCGTTAGCACTTTACAATAACTTAATCCTTTAATAAGCCATCCAAATGGGTAATAGGAATATCGATAATCACTAATCATCCTTATTAACAGCTTTTGTACAGCAATCCTTTTTCAATCACAAGCTGCAAACATCTACAGTAATGTTGACAGACTGGCTCAATGTCTCTACTCTATGTTGTACTTGTTTTAGTTACAATATCCAATTGAATCTAAAAACGAAATGGCATCTATACTATTTTTATCAGTCTAAATTAAAGTGCCGGCATGCATCTATCTACACCGCCAAGGATAGAGCATAAAAATGAAAAAGAGGACTGTTGCTATTGCAAATTTTATTCACTATCAAATCCCCCAAAAAAGGCTGAAAAAGATGGAAATGAATTGATTAGCAAGATTCACTTTACGGACTTACGATTTCTTCCTATTTGTTCTGGTTCACCCTGAATGATTGATAGAGAGAAAAACAGATGGATTATGAGAAAGGAATCAATTTAATTGATTGCCATCATTTATTCTATTCTATTCTACAGTTATTTTAGACAGCATGTACAAGTAGCTACCCCCCTTTATCCATATCCCAACACTGCATACAGAATTAGCATAGTACAGTAGTTGGTTAACCCGATCGCTACGTCGACATTGATTCTATTTTCCGATGCAATCATTGAACTATTTCATGTTGGCGTTTACTAGTTTAATTTGAGGATGCGTTTCCATCGATTACAACAAGGTTGTACTCGATAGGAAACTTTGCATCTACTCGTAACATGGAAGCTATAGCCATAGCAAACAGCTTGCAATTCTATCTTCTCGCATTGCCGTAATTCCATTTTCCATGGCAGTCATCACAATATTACATGTAAATTATTCCTTGCTGAGATCACAACGACATCGAAGTTAGGCGTATAGTCCAAGTATAGACATGACTGTTCGTTCCTTTATGAAACTATGTCAAGCTATTTGAAAATTGGATTCCAGTAGGAAAGATTGTTGTAGATAATTTAGGGGTAATCCCGTTTCTACAGTACTGGAGTATTTAACAGTTGAATAATCTTTGATTTTTGAATGGATATCCAATTGTAATAACATCACACTTGGGCAGGTTCATGGTGATACATGACGAAAGTCATGGCTTATTCGAGGCAAATTGGACGGCATGAAGCTGGAAATGATAGGTCTAGTTGAATACGATTTTAATTGCCGATGACAAGAGATAGGAAGGATGTAAAAATGAGAGTGAAAAATCAGGGTTGAAAAAACGACGAGAGGTTGATCGTCAATTCTTCATGATCACTTTTCTCTCCATCATGTTTTGTGCTACGATCACAATTGGAAGCAATTGAGGGATATTGCTTCCATTCTATGCTTTTTTTAAAGTATAGCAAGATGGATATTGAAGGGATACTTTTCCATACAGTCCAAGTAATTGAGAGTGGATTATGCTTTCGATTAGACAAACAAAATAAGGTATAGTGTCGAAAATGAATCGTTCGTCCTTGATGACAGAGGATGGTAACTGGTATCCACTTTTAATTTAGTCTAGGATACAGTTATGTGGGAGATTCGTATCTTGGTTGGAAGAAGCATCAAACCAGTTCCAATAGGATTGTGTAGTCTACCCGTAGGATGAGAAAGGCTATCCTACGTCGATGTACCAATTTCATTGGTAGCCTTATTAAGGAAATTGATGTATTGTCAACCTGATGGAAATACCCGAATAAATAATTCGACCTATTCTACCTTCTAGTCTAATTACCATCATGATGCTGTATGTGATGGCTATCGCACAAGTATCATTCTTCTTCTCATTTTTTTAGCTTAGTTAACAAGATCGCAAAGTTGTATACTTTATGGGATACAAGATGTATTTCTAGTCTAGCTTATGATGGCATAGCCTATTTCTAAATTTTATTGTAAACTAGTGAACAAGATGTACTTCTAGCTCATCATCATGTTGTCGACTAGGGAATAGGCTATCGTACATCTACGATTGTTCTTATGAGCCAAGTTAAAGTACTACAACATCCTATCGTTCATGTCATTTTTAGACTAGTTCATAAGATCGATATGTTGTATACTTTATGGATACAAGATGCATTCTCTAGTCCGTGGTCTAGCTCATCATCGCCATTATTGTATCGACTATCGGACATGGACAAATGTCATTTTTACACTAGTTAAGAACATGGATATGTTTGTATAACTTGATGGACACTCGATGTATTCTACTGCCTAGTCTAGCTAATCATCGGCATCATCCTATCGTCTATGATGGAATAGTGCACATGGATACCATGTCATTCATGTTTAGCCTGGTTAAGATGATCAATCTCGATTGTAAACTACACGTTGATGGATACAAGATGTATTCCACTCTGTGATCGAATTCATTGACATCATTATGTTGTCAGAAAGGGAAGCATTACCAAGCAGAATGATTCGTTGACTGTGCCCATTTTTAAGGATATGATGGAATGAATGTCACGGTCAATGTAGTTGAGAATGTCCAAGTTTTGAATTGACTGGAAGTAAGGATTGTCCCTATTTTACGCTAAGAGAACTTTTTGCTTGTGATTTAGTTGTCGTTTGATGGACAACAACGGCGACAGAAAGGAAGACTGATGAATTTTTAATACTGTTGGCATTGATCTAGTTATTATCGCATACTATGAGTCATCATGGCGATCGCTATTAATATTGGAAGTCAAAACAACTTGAACGTATCAATGTGTTGTAAAAAATGAATAAATCATTTCAAATTGGATGTCCATATCCAGAGTTAAAGGTGGGAAAAAAAGGGATGGATAGACACCAACGAGAAGTCGATTTAGTGCGTAGGGTCTGTGTCTACTCTTTTGACTGGATAGGGTTATGGCTGAGTACAGAATCAAGCGAATGATCATCCCGTAGAATAGAAAAATACAACCAGATTCAAATGATCCTTGAATAGGATGTTGTTCAAGGCCGAAATCGGACTGTTTAGGAAAGAACAAACAACACTACAATTGAAGTGGACTACCGATGGACAGTCAAAATGTCAACCAGTCTTCATTTACTTCAAACTTTGAAGACGATGCCGATCGTGAAGGGATGAAAAACTGAATGCTGACTAACGTTTTGCATTTCCTTCCACCCAAGAGGACGAGGGTATAATCTTGCTTGCCTAGTGCTTGTATCGTGGTAGGATGGATTAAAAGAGCGTTCCGCTGGTAGTCTATGTTAACGATTTTACTAGCGATGGAAAATATCAGTGACGTCGTTGAACTAGAGGCAAAGCCATGTCGATGATGGCTTGGAAAGAAGGGAAGATTACCTATCTAACGCTTTCCCTCGATCACTGTCCATGGATTGCATGATGATGATGATGAAATTCAAACGTTGAATATCCTGGATTTGTTGTACGATTGAAAAGGAGTGATTAGAGGATAGGAAAAAGGGGTTATTTTACTGTACTACCGACGGGAAAATATCGGCCTTGTCCTGTCGGTAGAAGCCAAGGTAAAAAGAGGATAGCTTTAGGAATGAAATGAGTGAAGAATAGACTCTGTATTGGAGTCTTGCCTATTTTTCTCTATGTTGATCGCTTGTCCTTGAGGTTCACTGATTGAATGTCGTCCATCATCGCATGATTGAAAAAAAAAAAGGAGCCATTGGATGATGGGAAAAATGAATCTTTTTTCCATTCTTGATGGAAACTATTTTTGGTGGTAGTCAATGTCCTATAAGCGCGGCATGTCGATGATGGGTTTCCAATGAAGAACGGATAAGCTATTCCCCTTTTTTTTTTCTCCATGCCTAATTATTGACTGTATGATACTAAGGAAGGTTGAAATCGCTCCTATCCTCACTAAGAATAGGATTGGAAAGCAGTGTTGGCATGTGCAGAAAAGTGGCCCTCTCCCTACTGGTGAACAAGTATGTCAGCAATGTCGTCAATTAGACGTTGCAATGATGACGGCCTATCGACGAAAAGTCCAAAGTGAAAGAATGAACTAGTTTGCTGTCCATCTCTTCTTTGTAATGGACTTGATGAAAATAAAGGTCTTTCCCTCTCGCCTTCATCGTATATTGCTACCATGATTGCACCGTTGGTTGAATCATGCTTGAAATGGCTAAAAAAGGATCGATCGGCATGATGCAGTGGTTTGGCTGTTGTTTCCTTCTTGTCCCATAGCATGTCGCTATCAATGACTTTCTCTATCGGATTAGCCAATACATGGAATAGCATGCTGTATCCCCTTTTCCAATGTGATCGTCTACCGCATGAAAGTGAAGAAGAAAACAGCGATGGATCGCCATTCGATGGTGGAGAAATGATCTTTCCCGATCGCGCTTGGAAGGATTGCAATGGTTTCTCCGCTTGATGGCGCACTTTTCCCCTCTTTTCCTCCCTTGTCAACCCTGTGTATGACCTATTTGACTTGCATCATCCTTTACTCTAGTCTACAAACCTGATGGTAAGACGGTGGTGGTCCATTCATTCCTGGTCGATGGCTGTTCATTCTATTCCACTTCAATTTGCAAAAGCGATGAGAAATTGGGCAGCGTCTTGCAAGCAAGAATTGCAAATATTGTTGGTCTTTCTCTCCTCCACTAAGCCAAGCTAGCGGACAATCGTTTTCCAACCACCACTAAAAACATACTTCATACGCTATAGTCAAGCTCTTCCGTCACGCCAGCCTAGTCATAGTCGACGCAAAACCCACTCTACTACCGTCTCATGCTTTTACACGAGGTCTTGCATTGAAACGGTCTCAATGGGGACCATTGTCCAGTGTCTGCATGTCCGTATGCGGGTGGCCGTCACGGCATTGCGCCAGTCACACTTTTTTTTCTCTTCCTGACAGGGTGGACTGGACGGGATAGGACGGACTGGACTCGAGTGGACAGGACTGGAGTGGACGGGACTGGACAGGACAGGACAGGACGGGACTGGACTGAAGATAGGATTTCACATGGATGGTGATCCTTTCCTATGGTTATCTTACTCGCTAGGGGTGGGGTGGACCGGACGGGATAGGACGGACTTGACTAGAGCGGACAGGACTGGACTGAAGATAGGATTTCACATGGATGGTGATCCTTTCCTATGGTAGACTTACTCGCTAGGGGTGGGGTGGACCGGACGGGATAGGACGGACTGGAATGGAGTGGAAGGACTGGACTGGACTGAAGATAGGATTTGACATGGATGGTGATCCTTTCCCATGGTAGGCTTACTCGCTAGGGGTGGCATTGACTGGACAGGACTAGATAGGACGGACTGGACTAGACTGGACTGAAGAAATGATTTGACATGGATGGTGATCCTTTCCCATGGTAGGGGTGCTCGCTAAAAGGGTGACATTGACTGGACAGGACTAGAGAGGACGGACTGGACTGGACACTACAGTATGTTTGCACTATTTTGATGCTACTGATCATGAAGTGAAAGCGTATATTGTCATACAGTATATAATATTGCTATTCAAATGTTACACATTTCAATTCAAAATACAATTATAGAATACGAGATTGAATCCGCCGACTTTGCTAGCCAAAATAGTCATGGTCAGAGTGTATGATGGTATTGAAATTGGTCTATCCGTCTATGTCGGCTTCATTGGCTCGTAAGTAAATACTTTACGCCATCGTACATCGTACGTTCGGATTGGTCTGGATAACTGGCTAATGTTATAGGATACGATGATAGAATATGATAGGGAAAATATTATATATGATCTCTACAGCGTTGACGAGTTGGTCATGTGGCTGCTGCAATGGGTCCGGGTCTAGGACAATTTAACTCTATGCAATGTAGTAGCACAGTAGATTACATATGATCCCAATATTTTTTGCAGCGTTCAATCCCATAGAGCGTAAAATTTATGAATTTAATGCAGTAAATTAGCCGCTCTCGCTCTGTCCTGTAGTCTGTCGACTTTTGGAGCTAGTGGAGAATCTAACGGCGCATACCGAATAGGCTAATATGCATCCTATTCCAAGAAGAAGAAAAACGTTGGTTGGTTTGAATCATACAGGTACAGGTAAAGGGAAAAATTATACAACCTCTAGGCTTTCAAGAAGCTCAACAACGATGACGATGAGATGTGGCAAACATGATGATAGAGGTTGCAACAGCACTGTATCCTACTGCCTGATAGCAACGAAGGAATGTTGCAAACATGGCGGAGGTGGAGCAGTATCGTATTGACATAGACTTGGCCTGTTGATAATACCATGGACTACTCGCACTAAAAAAAAAAAGACACTGTCGACAGCAATACTGTTAACATGACCAAGGTTGCAGTAGCTCTATGCTCTCTACTCGCTGTACTGTATAATAAATGTATATGCACAAAAACTCTATCAATACTATACAATGTCCATAACATCGATATTTCTATCGAAAGGCGTTTAAAGCTTTATTGATTGTTAGTACGTAGTGGTATGCTGTCGTACTTACACTTATAGGCTAGATTGCTTATCAATTGTCATGCCCAAGGAAAGATTTAAAACACATCACTGTGTTGTTTTTACATTATGGTAACACAATTACCTTGAATGACTGCAGTCATAGATGATATATTCCTTTGACTTAGATATTACACATGGTTAATAAAGAATGATAAAACAATGTCAATGCTGGATATTTAAAATTCCATACATGTCCATTTCCAACAAACCAATAGGTATCATGGTTAGAATAGTATGTCCACTAATAACACGTAAAATACGGTATCGAATTTAAAAAATTTAAAATGGATTGCTATCAATCTATACTATTCAATAACAGTAAGGCCAATCTCCATACATGGCAATTTCATCATTAACTAAACGCTGATTAATATCTTTCCTATCTAGATCGATATCCTAATAGGTAATAATACACTACAAATATATCCATAATTCGCCTCAAAAATGATATCCAATACACTCTATATCGTACAAGACAAATTCGATATAGTACAAAATATGTTCTGTAACCTACAGCTAGGTAAAAACAAACTAGGCATTAAAACCGTTACATAATTACTTCTACATCCATCTAAGCTAAGCTTCTCTCCAGACGCTAGCTTTCTTTACAATAATAAAAGTGGATCAATAAAATACAACGACAATGAAAAAAACTGATGTCATCATCTTATAGCTATAACCCACAATTTCCCTTTGTCGCTTAGTAAATTTATCATGTACAATAGATAATTTTTTTTAAAATTAACCCGAAAAATATATTAAAAACAGTAATTAGTAGTGGCCGATGATGTACATTGCTCGCAACATTGAAATATCAAATATTTGATGATACGTATACGTATCACATACACACACACACACACACACACAAATAGCACACGCATACACAAACATATAGATACTTCTGTAGCACTGTCCAATGGATCATCACTACATTTCAATCTGTAATCAACCACTTGCAATACGAAAATAGTGTAACTTCTAGATAGTGAATACGCCTTCACTATCAGGAGATCCAATGGTAAAGTTGTCATTATTTTCCACATCAGGAGTTTGACGATCTGTAGCTATCGGCTAAAATTATGTAGATACAATCACAAACCAATCAATTTGATGACATACTTAACATGATGAAATAATATTTTCTCACTTTATGATACTTACCATCGTAAATGTTTCGTTACTGTTTACATGATCAGATCTATCTTGCTTATTTAATCGCGCACGTTGTTGCAAAAATGGAATATCTAAGCCAATTTTCAATCATTAGGAAATAGATCAATTACAATGTATTCAATTATTTCACTAGTACAGTATACTTACCGGCTTTTGAAGAATTATGTAATACTGGTGATCTTTGACTTTCAAATTGCTTTCTTAGTTCAGACACATGACCACCACTATTACTACGTTTTACATCATTACAGGGTTCATCCTCTCTATTCAATTGGTATTGCAAAAAAAATACAATCTTTACAACTACTGCTGCTAACGTCCAAATATTGACCACTAATGAGATCACAAAGTATACCTACCTTTCAACAATTGTACTTGGAGTTTGAACTATTTCCTATTTAGATAAAACATTAAGAATTGGTAACTCCATTTATAATATCGGTTATATGTTATACAATTCCTAGCATAAAATGAGGTCAACAATTTCTTACCAATAATCGTGTCAGCTTATTATCAATTGCAGACGAAATTGAAATGACATTTTCCTACAATTAGTATCAAGTAAAGTAAAATCAAAATATAATTGTACATTATAATACTTTGCCATACCATATCAATAATAACCGGTAAGGATGATTTATTGATACTCTTATCATTTTTTTTCAAACAAACTTATTACTATACCTGCAAAGAAGACTGCCGATCTTCTAAAAATTTTTCACTATATGCCCCATCTAATTGATTGATTTACATCAAATATATTTTAATATCAACAAAAAAGCAACATGTTAACAAAACGGGATAATCTACCTTATGATTGCCTAATTCACATCATGTATGTATGTACGTTACAAATAAATTATATACAATATTTACCTGAGTTTAAATTATCTATATTAAGCCTTATTAATTCACTGGTTAAACTTCTCAATTGTCCAGCTAGAAATATATTTTTCAATATTAGAAAAGGTACATGACTTATTCTAGTACTGAATTTAAGCAATTTATTTTATATCTTGCCAAACTAACCGTTGGATTTTGCATCAATCACTAAGTCTCTGCGAATGAAAATGATACAAATTCAACGTTAAATCAATTCATCTCACTATAATGTAGTATCAGTCAATAATATCTGAATTACAACTGATAACACAAGAGCAAGTAATAAGGTCTATATTCATACGAGCAACCATTTGCTATAAATATTATCAACGTAAAACTTCTTACCGAACCGCAATGCTTTTCCAAATATTAGTTTTCTACAGTAAATAGGATATGTCAAGATACATCAATAAGCAATTATCCCTACGGAGAGTGATTGTACATATTCACATCGTTTTTAATAACTTACGTTACACTCTACGGGGATATCATTATCAGTTACAGTCGGTATTGCAGGAGATAGGCCCTATCAATAATTACATTCCATGTTAATGAAATATTCTTTACACGTGGTAATAATGACTACCAATATTATAGACAAGTAATATTAGCTTTTAACTAACTTTGAGTTCATTCAAGAGTTTCGATCTATCTCTCATCAACGCCGTAATTTGCCGATCTTTTTCCTTGATTTTTTCTGTGTCAAGTTAAGAAAGTATTAAGAAGAAAAATTTTTTGAAGACTCGTACTTTACTTCATTGTCAATGAACAACATATGCAATGCTAGTAGCATATGCATATAACAGTATTTATACCTATAATCTGGACGTTTGTAAAATTATCCTTGTTAGAGATGTGGTCATCTGTGGTAACAGTAGAATTCTAAATATAGTAATATGATAAAAATATTATTCCAGTCCCTTCGCTAAAATGTTGGCTCTTAAAAAAACATGACGCAATATTTTCAAATCATTGTATCGAATCTGTGCAGAAGCGTTAAATTCTGTCTAAGTACTTAATCTTAAAACTTACGTTTATTGAATCCGTTAAACTATTAGTATCTGTTACACTTAAATTGATTTCTTTATCAGATATTTCGCTTAATTTCGCATTTTGCTCCGGTTCAGTAGCTACACCATAAGGTATAATTGTACTTAAAATACAAAAATTATATAACAAACCAATTATAAAAACTTTGCCTTTCATTCTATTATTTAACCTTCATCACCACTTAAAGATAAATTTTCATCGTCAGAGTTTGTAGATTTCTTAACGTCATCGGTGCTGTTTATCGAAAATTCGCTTTTAATATCCGGTTTCGTTTCACTGATAGGAGACGAATCATCCTCATTTTTTTCCAGCTCGGTAGTCAAACTTGTCCTAGTAGCAAGCAATCCAGGACGTCGAGATCTCCCTGTAAATTATATTCCAAAAGTTACACCTGCGTAAATTTAATTACATAGACAGAAAAGCTCAATGATAATAACCTCGTCTTGCCTCCATTTCAGTTTTCGTTTTACTTATCTGCTCAAGCCATCTTGAATTATAAAAATTCGCATCAAAACTAGAATTACAATTACTGTACATGCTTGCAATGAAATGATTTCTAAACCTACATATTTCTATCATTTTTCGTAGCAGCAATTAACTCATAAATTTGGGGACCAACTGGTGATGTATTGACTAGAAAGAAACCAGTCTTCTCTACATATTTCATAAAGTAATGCGTTAAGACATAGTACGTCATTCCTAAATCATAATCTATGATCGTCTAATCTTACCAGCAGCATTTCCTCGAGCAATAACATTGCCAAGCTTGATTATCGGGCTTCTGGTACTTTCGCGCGGGGGAAAAGTCTGAATAACATTGATAAAAACTATTAGTTGAATATACGGCACGACATAATGTCATTTTGTAAGTATCCAACATAGATTATATTAAATACCCTGCTATCGTCTCTGTTTTGTCCGGATTGAACATTTTCACATTTTAGACAGTACTTCTCATCTTGCTTTTGGAGTAGGACTAGGTATTCTTCCAAAAGTAATACCTTTAATTCTGGTCAATAACAATACAAATTGCATATATTTATCAACAATTAAAACAGGTAACGGCTCCTAATTTACATGCTCCTAGCACGAGCTAAAATAATGTGCAATTTGCTCAAACCGATTGGCTTTTTGCTAGTAATTTTCCAGGTTAGATTACCATCGTGCAGTAGCGTATGGTGCGTTAGATCAAAGCCCTAACAATCGATGTGTTACAACAAAGCAATAAGACTTTGAAACGATACGTGTAATAAATTCGTTTTATGCGCTGCAAAAGTTACTAATTACCTTAAATTCAGCTATAGCAGGATTGTTTGAATGATCGAGTGATCGGCGATCTAATTTTTTATGTATATCCAATAATTTTTGAGCCTGTTCCGTATCCTTAATACTTTGATTCACAAATGCTAACGTTTCCTACAATAATACATATGTGAAATGAATATAAATTTCACGAGGTACTTATGTGAAAGGATTTAACAAGTTCATAAAATAGTAAAAGGCTCGCTCTCATACGTATATATAATGTATAACTCATAAAGTACATAAAAGAGTAAGATGCTAAAAATTACTTTATTTACCTTTGTACATTCAATTGCTTTCAGCACGTTTTTATAATCTGGTTTATCACCTATTTAGGGATTACATATTTTTTTTTAAATCTAAGCAAGGAAAATAAATTAGAATAGTCAAACAAAATCGGATATGTGACCACCTTACCTGCGGTGTACTTAGCAACTTGTTCTAGTAATAACGGATATTTCGTCAACCGCCTATATCCGGTTGAAATTAAATCTTGCAAACGTAAACGACGACACAATGGGTGATTTTCACATTCCTTTTGAAATAGCAACACGCGCATGTAAGATTTATTGAGTGCGTAGTATTATGAATATTTGCATCATACAATATTAAATAAGAAACAAAATTGCTAATGGCTCTATAGTAAAAAAATATAAAAATTAGTATAGTGTCGGAGGATACTTACACTAACGAAAGATAGAATATTTTGATCTTTCCTCTGCATCACCTATGTGATTACCAGTAAACGGTAAATATTTGAATTATGCTACAGATATACCAAATATTTCGTCATTTTCAGTGATTATAACGCAACTAATGCTATATTTCATACCTTCAATTTTTCTAAAGCAGTAGATTGATTGCTACAAAATTTAGCACAAGCTTCTTTCATGGTATCACCAGGACTTTTATCAAACTGTTGCAATTGCATAAAGAGGAAAGGACAATTATTACTTACTGGCATTAACATTCCCTGACGCATTCCGTACTACATTTCAAAAGTAAAATTCGTATACCGAATCCAGCATCACATCGCCTATAAATTCCACAATTTCAGATTTCGCTCGTCGTTCCTTCATTTTCCTTAATAGTGATTCTGTAGAATTTAGTAAGAAATATAAATGTGCGCGAATACAGTAGAAAGAGTCACTGGAAATTAGTATGAAATATGTTTGAGCCTACTATGTAAGTCTAAGAGTTCGATCAAATTTGGAAACATTAGAGAGATAAAACCAGATGTAAATAGCCTGCTACGTAGCATGGGTTTGTAATACACCTAGTGGATAGGATAATAGTACCGTTATTGTAGAGAGCTTTGCAATAAAATATAATTATTAGGCTTTATTCATACCCTCTTTAAAACTTTCAAATTTCTAACATGCACTTTTTCAGTGTGTATAAGCTCTATTGCCATCAAGAAAAAAGTATATTTATTTGTTAAATAATGGTCGATATAATTTAACGATTCAATTTTAATGTTACATAAACATACCATTAATCACAGCTTGTCTTTTAACTTCTTTCTTATTTTGACTAAGCTTTGCAATAGTCTATGCGTAAAGATAAGGTATTTCGTAAAGAAAAGATTGGCGCGATAGACTACCTATTCATCTCAAAAATGATTTCAGATTTAGTCGTATACCGATCTGTTGACAGTGTCTTGCCAACTTGGAGTTTCAGCTTTTACATCCAAATCGGATTCATTATCATCTAATACATTAAATGATAGGGTATACACATTTAATTTTAAGACAGCCAATTTCTTCATTCATTTTTAATTATTTTAGGTACCGTCGCTTGACACTTCAACGTATTCTAGTATCTCTGATTTTTCAGAGAGGCTATGAATAGAATGTTGAATAAAATTTTGAATTAGTTACAGACTAGCAACTAAGTTATCCATTTAACTTAGTAATAACTACTTACACGTCGACGGATGACATCGACCAGTCTGAATCCTCTCTGTAAATTAATATTAAAAAAAATTATAATACATTTTCTAAATGAAGCAAAGTAACATAAAATCAAAATCAAAATCATGCCTTTGATGGAAGCCTAGTCCCTCTATACTTCTTCTGCTTTTTTGAATCTCCGACTGTATAATTGAAATGAAATGTTATTATGTAGAAAATAAGGTACGCAAGTCAATTTAAATTACCCTAGTAGTTCTACAACTTTCTGAACGCCCAATGTTTACTCTTCTTATGGTTGGAGAACTAGAGTAACAGAAAAATTATCTATTGATACTACGATAACGCAAGCAAAAATTTCTGTTAGTGAAAAGATTTCAGACTTACCTAAAGCTCAAGCTAGACAAATCCCTTGCTTCCATTCCTTCGCTGATGGTACCACTAAAAGGTTAATAATGCATTATTAAAATAGCACATTGATTGGCATTTAACAAAGTATTGTTCTTAAAGTTTAAATGTAGCTTAAATTTCTTATTCTTTACGTATAGTATAACTAGGTATTCTATTGCCTTTTTAACATAATAAGAAGATTAGAATATTATGACGATAAGAGGCTTACAATCTTGAGTGTGTATTGACAGGAGCAGCCTTAATTGCAAAATATAGATACAAGGTATTAATGTAATATATAACACTATAAACGTAACGGCCATCAATAACTTACCAAGTTTCCAGAATTGTTAGTATGTAAAGTATCTACAGATAAGCCTTCCGTTGTATCTTTGTAATATAAAAAAATACATTTCAATAAGAATGTTATAGCATTGATGGTAGATTGATGCTTGAGCGAAATCGTAAACTACTAACCATCGTTTTCCCCTGTGTACTCCTCGTCTTCAATGATAATATTATTACCGCCAACAGAGTTTTCAGCTAAAAGATCCAATTTTCTACCTTCAGCAAGATTTTTACCTATTTCGGGTACTGTGTATGACAAAACACATTAGGAAGCAAAACAATTAGTTACATGAAACTAATTAGTGATATTATCAATGCGAATAAACGATATAGTAGAATTCAGATCTATAAGAACGATCTTTAAGTTGAGTTAATTGTCTTTAAATTAAAATTCTATAATCGATATTGCGAAATATTTAAAGTTAATATTAAAATTAACAGCGTACTTCCATAGTGATCTTCTCGACTTGCGCGTTTGCCTATATTAGGAGCCCGAGAATGATCAAATTTACGTTTAGTCCGAGGTCCTTCACATGCTATAATTAAACTCTCTAGGCATGGTCCTTTGTGAAAGTTGCAATGGCAAACTATGATCATACAAATAAGTATAATTACAATCTTAAATTAGTATTGATAGAATTATAAGAATGTTCCAATGAATTAGCACGCATACAACATGGAATTTAAGAAGTAGTGACCATTTAAATTCGATGGTGTACTCAATGGCAGTAGAATTTCGTAACAGTCAAGACAGTGACTGTAGCAAACTTACGTTGGCATTGATATCCGTTTGAACTGATACCCCAAATCACAGTCTTACAGTTAGCACAAAAGGTAGTATTTGCAAACGCTGTAAGACATAACTGATGGCCTTTAACTTGGATCTGAATTAGGGGATTTGCCAAATTAACGTTAAAAATGTTTAAATTATTTCGAAATTAGAATTAAATACTGCACATAGGTAGAGCTATAAAGGGTAAACGTAATTACATAATCTTACCTTCTTAGATAATTTCGGTAAAGTTTTTATCTTAAATTTACTTTCTTTTTGAGCGAACATATGACATTTCTCCAATGGGCTCGAAGGTGACTACGTGTACAGTAGAGTTAAAATGGCTTCAGCATCATCTTAGGTGCTATATTATATCGACTTGAGATAAGGTTAGCTTACCGATGCTCGGACGCCAACAAACTTCATGAAGGTGACAATTGAACTTGCTATAGCCATACTAATAATGGGACAGCAGTAATTAAGTAAGTATTAAAGATATTAGATTATACACAGAAGATATTTACTTCCTATCTTGTTCTCTTTGCGAAATTTGCGGTGTCGAATCAATCTCTTTCCTAGTCCAGTCCAAAGTAACATCTATCGTTAGTAATGAACTAGCAAATTTTTTATACAAATTGATTGATAAAAGACGCCGCTAAATACTCACAGTATTGATTCTAATGGATTAATAAGGGTATTTTCCGTGATCTTTAGTTCAGTATCTCTATTCATATCGTCTACGAAATAAATAACTCATAAATACATAAAATAAATGAAATTCTATGATGCACCAGTTACCAATACGTTAAACAGATTGCGCACTTTTAAGTTCGGAATCACCAAATAAACTTCCAAGCCCTAATGTTCGTTTTTGTCTAAAATCCAGTAGCTGCTCTTTAATGTGATCTGTCGCGATTTGCCTACAAAAATCAAAAGCTTATAGCTTGGAAGCAATTTTAGAATATTGATGTCTCAAGATAAAGTATTCTTACCGTGCTGGAGAGAATATAGTACGCAATCCTTCATCGCTGATGTTTTTATTTTTTAACGTATCATCTATCAGAAAATCAAAATTTACATGTTCTAAATAATAACGATTTGTCAAAGGGGAAATAACATTACATCATACATGTACTACGTTATAAAGTCTGCATTCATCTTAATTATGATCGTTTCATACATTGTCCACAAATAGGATACATGTATGGTCGTGTATTCTATATCCGTACACCATTCATAAATGATAAAATTTAATAAATGCTATGTAATCGTACCGATACTTTGAGCAATTCCATCTTTGATTGGAATTTGCAGAGGCTTTTTATGAAAAGGTAGATGTTTAGTAATTCGCAGTAATAATCATGAAATTCAAGTATAAATATTTACTAACAGCGGTTGGAGTAAGAAATGCGGTACAAATTTCACTAATCCACTTTTTAACGTCTTTATAATGACCAGATTTATTCTCGTATACTTCTGATACGAGATAAAATAGCTATTGCAAGAAAAAATTGCCGAAAGAATAACTGAATATGCTTCAATATAATGCAGTTTGGCGCCATTTATAATGAATAACTCAAACTCACCAAGCTATTAGGGTCACTATTGGAAATTAAATAATGCAGAAAGACCGCAATATGTGCTGTAAAGGAATAACAGTTCGTTAGTAATGTAACAAGCAAATACTGCATTGTTCGAGTAGATAGTATTTAATTTAATTTAATAATGAATATTAATGAATTAAAACTGTAACATACTAATCTATTGTATATTTATGTTATAAATTTGATCTTTACAAGCTCAGGTATAATTCGGTAAGGCGATAAACAACTCATAAGATAAATTTACATATTACTTGAATTGCTACTAGAATCACAATAATCATACCCGGCTTAGTTCTTAAAACATTGAAATCACAGAATGGACCAATATCTTCCACAGGCTACATAAAGACATATTTATAGATAGGTTACTGATAATAAAATTTAATTAATCTGTATTATGGGCATGTTAAACCTCATCAGAATCGGTGTCAAATTCGTCATCTTCAGCAGTTATTATGTTTAAATAGGTTTGCTTGCCAGTACCATTCGCAGTGCCATACGCAGGTGGTACTATGTACAAGACAAATTAATTATAATGATGTAGAATAACACAAAACTTAAGGTGTAGACAGTAATATATTCACATTAAAATTAAATTAAGAATGAATTATTTTAGATTTTGTACGGTTACGTCCGATATCAGAGAGAAATACCTTTAGGACTGTCGGGAGGTGTCAGACGTGATGGATTAACTGTCTGTTTAGAGTAAACACAAACACGAGCGAATAATACAATTTAGATAAAAATATAAAATGCCACGCCTATAATATCCAGACATACCGGCTCAGAAATTTGATGAGCTACATGATTACTATTTGGACTTGCTTCTTCCGTCTTTAATTTCGTTGTAGTTGATGATACATCTTCACTACTTACTCTCTTTTCTGTGGAAGTAGCATCAGCTTGAGTCTGTGTTAGTAAATTAATAGATTACGATCCAATCAGTACAGTTATCAATACGAGATAAAATGATAAAAATTGCTTAAAAATCAAGTAGATTCTACACCTTAAAATGTTGTATCATAATAGAATCTATAATAAATGACTGCATTTACCTCTGTAGTGGTTTTTTCTTGATTTAATGAGGCTCTCAGCGATTTTAACCGTTTTTCTAAAGCAGTTTTTCTTCCTAATAGATCGTGAAGCTAAGCACAAAAACACACAGTTCGAAAATTGTAAATTTTGTTTCTTATTCTGCGATCGCCTATTTACAAGCAATTAACTCTTACCAATGGCCGTAGATCACGAGATTGAGTTTTATCGTATTCTCGTTGCATTTCCTAGAATCAGTTACAATTTTATTAAAACTGTTACATTATTTTCTCGATGTTGCATAGTGATTGATATTGTTATTGTCAAGAATTGTTTCGGAACCGGAATAAAATGAATAAAGAGATTTTTAAAACATTTTTACCGTAAGATATCGTTCATCGTTCACAAGCATGCTTTCAAGTTTGGCAATTTGTTCCGGTATAGAGTCATCTTTACAGTCAAACTAAAGATTTTTTATGAAAGATTACAATAATTTTAATTGTAAGATTGAATATATCAGGTTTTAAAAATTTAATAGCGTATATTAACCTGCGGTACGCTGGGAGGCTGGGGACGGACTAATCCAAGATCTATAGATTAGATTATTTAGAAATTTGATGAAATAATTTAGCAATTAAAAGACGTAATAGAATTATGTGGTCAAATCATATGCATTTGTATATTTCATGCTACTTCAATAACTAAAATGCATTTGATTGCCATAGAATTAATATACCAGAGGTCGGACCCCGTATCGCAATAGATAGTATGATACAGGAATTTGTACTCTGGCATACAACAGCTAACTACAAGGCTATACTTTCCAGTTTATATCGCAGGTACATATTGTAGCCTTCGGAATTATCAGCGAGATAATATATAACCTGAATGACATAGTCTCTAGGCATAGGTAATATCTTTTTGTGAAGCAATCTTTTTTAACAGTGTTTAAGTAAGCGTAAGCGTAATAACTCACAAGCGACATTACTGAAGTGAAAGTTAACCTTAACAATACGAGTATTAAACTATATAAATAAATTAATATCGTATTGCTTTTTCATGAAAACTTATAATGATTCATGGAAGGTAATAAAATGTAGTAAAGCAGCTTTTAATAGAGATTTTCGTTATGACTACTTGAATCAATAGAATTTGATTTTAGATCTTGTTTCAGTAAAGTGTATTAGCTATACTAAAGTTGTAACTGAAATCTTCAAAAGATTATGTTAATTGTTTCCGCTAACCTCTTTTCATAATCGAGTAAAAGTAATTTAACAAGTCGCGGTAATATATGTTACATCTACAGAATATAAAGCTTCACAGAGATAGATTTTATACACACGCATTCCAACAGTCATGGATTTAATTGTTTGTGTAACCGTACCTACGATTGGATTCGCTGAAGGCTTGCCAAATAGTGTTAGAGTCACGCTTTCAACACCTATAAGATAAGATGTGGTGTAAACGGATGACTATCGGTATATGGTAAAAAATATCATAAACGCAATGCTGTATAAATTGAATGTAGCAATTTCCTGAGTTTTACCGGGAGATATCATATGTACGATATTCAAACGTTTAGGTAAGTCCATGTGAAAGTGAATAACTATAAATATTATCGTATATCGAATAACAATTGACTACAACCGATCATGCTAATTTTATCTACATTCAACAACTGAGCTAGTTTGTGTAACCCTGTCGAGCTATATTCATATTTTACTATCACATCATATAGAAGATTGAATCTATATTTAGCTATACTAGTCTTAAATGATAAAAGAACTAATCATAGATTGACCTAGATTTTAACTTGATACCTTTAATCATTTGAACAACATCTTGGTGATGTGCATGAGTGACTAATTTCTTATTGACCTACACAACGAAAAAATGTTTAGACACAATAGATTACTGTAAATCTATTCAAATATATATATATATATATGGGCAGATGTTAACGATATCCTATATCTATTGAGAAATATCTCATTCTGTTTCAGATGTGTAATACAATATAAAGGTAGTAAGCAATTAAATGTTAATACGCCCAAATAACATCAAAATCAAGTGCTATATAAAAATATAAGAGGACTCCCTCAATTGTACACTGCCATAATTGTATAGCTACGTTTCTTATTAGATAACATATAGCAAACAACGTAAATGCTTTATTAAGTAAAATCTCATCAAAATCAACATTGTAAATCATATAAACATAATACAAAATATTCGTAGCCTTATACTGTTATTGTACCTTAACAATTCTATCTCCACGTTGAATACCGGCATTATACGCTGGACCACCTAATAAAATTCGGAGATATTATTTATCTACAATGGGACTCTTTCCGTAAACACATCATAGTAGCATAATATTTCGCAAGATTTTAAGTTCCGATAAAGATATAAATGTAATAAAGTTGTTCATGAACAGATATTTATGATGATATTTACCAATAATATAATAGTTTATTACTCCTAATGCATTAAAGCAATTAATTAGTTTATTTCAACGATAAATTAATGTAAGTAATCTAATAATATTGGCTAAAGAATGACTTATAAATGTAAGTTATACTGTAGACAAACAATAATCTATAACACTAAATTTTAAGCAGTATTCGATAACGAATGCAGGTATTACAGAGCATATCCATAGTTATGCTTACCTTCTCGCACTGATTGAACAAATACAGGATTGTCCCCACTAACAGTAAAACCATAGCTATTTTGTTGGTCCCGAAATATTGTGACAATCCTTTGTATAAGTGCACTGCTCTCATCTTGTCCAGATAAAGTAGACAAATCTTCCATACTTTGTTTCTAATAAATCGTTCTTATTGACTTCCGTAATCAATAAGTTATTCAATGGTACTGCTCTATAATGTTGACATAAAAATCAAACAGAAGTATCATTAGTGCATTATATCACCAAGCAACATTTAATAATTAATCAGTTAAAACATGGTGATATTTAATTTATTTAAGGTAGACATGGTGTGTAATATTTATAAGAATATTATACATAAAAGTGAGATAACCTATAAGGTTTTAATATTACAGTCACAAGTTATAATACAATCGATACAGAATACTCAGGTATTGCAAAAATCTGTTTCCTCGTTATGATACATCAGTCAATCGGGTGTATAATCGTACAGTTTATGCACTTGTTGTATATTAAGTGAAAAAGCTTTGGAGCTCTATCAGTACATTAAAAGGACGGTAAAAATATAGTACTTTAATTGTGATTTTATGAATAATGGAGTATATTTGACCTTGAAATCCGTATATGTAACGGATAATTTTTTATCAATATATGTTATACTATATATTAAAATTAAAATTACCAAAGTATAGTATAGCAATACATTTTATCAGTTTGTACATTGGACAAACAGATTATGACCTTAAGCATCGTACAACGTCTAAATTTAGAGATCAGCAAGGTATTCAATGTAATTAATGGCGAACTTTGAAGATAAGTTCAATTAAAAATGTAATAAATCAGATTAATCGACTTATCAGTATTTCAAGTTTAATAATTGCATACGATTCTTATTCGTAGTATGCTTTAGCTACATAGTAATTATATGGCAAGTATTGGCAACCCATCAGCATTAATTTTTACTGCTACAGACATGTTACTTTACACGTACTGTGTATTGCAAGAAGTAATAAAATATCATTTAAAAAAGCTACGTTGGATCTCAGCTAATAATGGTATGTAATATTACCTAGTGACAAGAGATTATTGCAAATTGTACTGTAGTAGTAGAAATAGTTTAAAGCTTCGATAGTTTATTTGTAAACCATGTATAACGAAGGTTAAAAGATGGGAAGAAAATCACTACCTTTGGAAAATACTAACTGTCAAGCATGTAGTAAGTAAAATATTTAACAATGAAATTGTGAAAGTTTAAGTATAAGTCATAATTAAGAAAATATAGTGCACTTGTAAAACATCGTATTATATTAATAACTGGAAAAGGATAAATTCTATTTGCACTATAGTGAATTAATTTAATTAAAGAATACATAAGTACTGTAGTTTAATTTGTATTTACTGGCTAACCATTTGCCATGTCATCTATGCTATCGAATACTATATAGCAAAGGTACGGATTGTGTAGATATTATTAGATCTGGGACGAACGTTACTGGAATTAATATTTTTTAGTTTCATTTGAAATCAGTGTTAAAAATTCAAATGATGGACTGGCATTAGTTTCCGATAAAACGATGACGTAATAACGTTACTGCTGTATTCTTAACTGATTAAGAATTAAAGGCCAAGGTCGAGTTAAAGTTCCATCGATCAGAAGGTTACATGAGATGCCAAAGTATTGTAGTAAACTCTAACTATCGCGTACTACAGTGAACCATGCATTCAACATGGGAAACACGACAGAATTAATTATTAGTACTATTAGCGAATTATCAATTACCTTACAACACACAGGAAGGTTTTATGTCAAATAATATTCACATGCTATGATGATTCCCCGATATGTTAATTAGCTGACCATGACCTCTAATGCGAGTTTGAAATTCTAAAGTAGTTTAGTAATTATCATCATTTAGACCAATGAATTCGATAGTAACTTGTTGAAAGTAAACATCATAGTTGCGTCAGTTGGTGTTGTAACTTTTTCTTATATTTTGCTTAATTATGATGGTTACTCATTTTATAGCTTTAGCCGGGAACAGATACTGTCATATGAAAGTTAGTCAGACAAGCGGTCATCACATACTTGTATAGTTATAGTTTATCGTTATGTCATAGAGAAGTACTTGCTTGTCGAAATAATGGTGATAACATACCAAATAATTGACAACAAGAGCTGTAACGATTGTTGCTAAGATTGCAAAATGAAATTTTATCGAAAGTGCATTTCTAGTTGCAGCATCGACTGTAGGCGTATGCCAGTTACAATGCTATAATAATTTTAGCTATAGTTATTGCAAATTATCCTTGTTAATGTACAATAGATAATTTTAAGAAAATGGTAACAATAACTCCTTTTTCTTATAAAATAAACAAAGATGTTGTTTTCTCATTATCGCTTGATCGTGTAATCACATTTTAAAATTATTCCAGCATCATCAACAAAGCTGTATCATCCCATGATCTAGAGTTAATTGTAAGGAATTTTATTAAATATTGATCATATTTTTGACTGAAGGATGCTATAAATGAGCTACAAACTTAAACTGTCTCGGCGTGATCAATGATCGTTTCTGACATGAGGCGAGTTGAAAATACTACTCTTAGCAGTAATTTAGTATCTTTGATGCGATGCTATACAACAACATACTCATAGCATGCTAATAAGTAAATAAGGGAATAATAGGAGCTCTCCAACTCGTAAAGTCATTACCTCTGAAGTGTACTTTTGATTTCAGAATAATCCGTCTATTTTACTTGAAAGAAATGTGTCAGTTAAATAACGATAAAGATTAAAGAAGGTAAGCTTTGATTATGATATTACATATCATTGACTACAGATTTCACTGTGCTAAAATACAATGCTGCGATTTAACTTGAATCCTTAACGATCCCAGATTCTTTTGATATTTTATTATTTTTTTTATTCATACAAGTAACTATTTATGTCCTGGCCGTTCAAGTGATAAATATTACTCTGATCCTGCAGCACAGCGGTTGGTCACTCAACGCCGTAGACAATGATCGCTTTAATGTTTTTTGTCATCCAGTTAAGAAAATAATAATATAAAAGGGCTAACATAGTATTTAGTATAGTTCTTATACGATGTCTAGTTGTTTACCAATATTATACACTGTATTATCGGCTTATATTCTAGTATTGAGTAGTAGTTTCATTATTAGTAGAAATTTGAAAAATAATCAAGTACAACGACAACTGTGTACTTGACTATACAGTATTCTCCAGGATTCAGTTATGTCGACAATAAGTTCAAAATATTAAATAGTACCGTAATGGGCGAGCAAGTCACAGTTGTCAGTGATCAATTTTGAAGTTTGTACTGTACAAGTAGTATGGAAAGTTGACTTCATCAAATGCAATCCGTCAACAGGATCCGGCCACGAGAAGAGTGTATCATTGAGAGTTCCGTAATCCCAAGGATTAAATTATGTTGTCAGTTTATAATGCTACAAATGCTGTAGTAACACCGTAAATTAGAAATTCATTACTGCTACGAATATTTTCATATGCTTGTGTGGTAGAATACAACAATAAACGTTGGTTACATTTTAGGGGCTAAAGTTTAGGCGATGAGTTTAAAATGGTCGAAACGTGCCAATAAACATAGTTTATTCTCTTTCTGAATAATTCATAATTGTTGTAGAAATTGTTCTAGAGCTGTAGATTTCAACACGCAAATAATTATTTTAAATTTTAACAGTAGCTTCACTTAGCCTCTAAAGAACTATCGAAAATTATAAACATAGTCCTGAAGTCATTATAAAGACTATGCCCATTGTGACTCATGAGAGTCGTTAATAATGAATTGGTACAGAGAAGGCTATGGAGTCTCCAAACAAATAGTATGATTTCTCATTGACTTCATACTCATTTACCAGTCTTATATTATCGATTTATGATAGCGTCGTTCAATCATTAGCTATCCATTTGATATCATTTGGGAGCGGCAGTCTACTGTTGGAATAGTTTAGAAGCTTGAATTAAGGACTACTATATCTGAATATTAGAAGAGTTTACTATCGTCGTTTCACCAGCCACAACCTCCAACAATTGTAGGTAATAGAAGACTTCTTTCATTCGCTCTCTTTATAAGAGTTTGATATAACATAACGTTGGCAAGCTTGCAAGATGATAGCTATCAAGTACTTCATTTCTTGATCTTGTAGTCTACTGTCTGCTTAGTAATAGTAGTCATTACATAGAAATATCTGGCTATGTGGTTGTATAACTTTATTTGAATCAGCGTAGACATTCGGTATACTCTAGTCCGCTATTTAATAACCTTCGATGCTAAGTTTATTTTGGCATCGTTATTTGTTTTAGTTATTATTTTATTTACGTTTACTTTACGGATTAATCCGCCAACATTCAATATAGTCGTAGTCAAGTAGCGTTACGGATAGTGAAGTAATGGCTTCATAGGTGGATATGCATCCAGTGCAACACAATCCATATGTGTACTGTACAACTAGTTTACAAATTTTACAGATTTATAGTCAAAAGAATGTTTTGCGAATATGACTTTATCATCCAATCTCAAGGTGAGCGAATTATGAAAACAGACAGGGATTCAAAAGTTAAAATGAAAGCTTTGTTGACTCATCTCATAGAGCAATTAGTACTTACAACGGTATTTAGACCTATTGTATGCCATGTCAATGATGTACAATTCCATTACCCAGCCACGGCAACACTCTGTAGGTTTAATTTTTTAATGGTAGACAAGATTCGATTGTAGACGCTAATAGCGTCCATAAAACTGGTATAAAAACAACAGAATTGGAGATACGAGTGCTCGATGAGAACGTTGTCAGTGTTTCATTTATGATAGCTAGAAAATGCAAAGTGTATCATATCGACAACACTAATCGTAATACAACAGGCTATGAGCCAGGAGAGAAAGAAATCAAGTTTGCCTGATTTCATTACACAAACAACAAGCATAACTACTTTGCACGTTGACTCATCTATTTTTTTTAATATACTGTACTGTAAGGCGATGACCTATACAGTTTCTCAAAGGCTACTAGAATAGGTTACAATATTTTCAGTATCATTTGTTGTTATAACTAATTCAAGTAACGCCAATGTCAATACAGTATCCAATTGAATTATCCGAGATAGCACGGTAGCAAAAAAGGGGCCAAAGAGTATTAACTTATGTCACTGATTGAACGATTTGCGATCACTTATGCGATATTGCATTAAATAGTCATGAGTACGAAAATAGATATGGCTACTTTAATAACGATTGAACGACTGTGTCGATTGCTGATGGTTCGCTTTTGCTTGCGTGAAATTTAATTGAATAAATAAATAAATCAATGAAGTGGAGATGCCGTGATGACCCTAAGATGAGAAGCATAAAATTGCCATATTTTCTTGATCAAATTTGGTCATTTGTCAACTATACCTTGATATCGTTATCATGCAATGCTGTCAAATCGCTCAAGTCGATTGAACGACGACAAGGCTTAACCACTACCGTAACATGTTGGATCAAATGGTGTTTGTCCAACTTTCTACTTTTAGACGACAACACGAGACATGCATCCGTCAATTGGTGGCATCATGATTTATTATTATTGTCTATTTTTGGAAGAAAGCAGCAAGTCATGGATTAGCATTTACTCTAGTCCATTGCTGTAGAAGGCCTTGCTTCTTCTTTCTATCCGCCCCGACAGCAATGGTCGCGTATCCATAGTTTCCAATCAGGGTGAATAGATGCGAGCGTACTCTAGGGATTATGAAGCTTACTGTCGAGTCAGTGTTCAAGACGCGTCATACCCATCAAGGTATGACAAAAAAAACACCGCTATGCGTCACGGCCGTCATGACACAGGTGAAGCATTGTCAACTCCCCCTCGACCAGAGTACCGAGGCCGGCTGGAAGGAAGAGGGTGAAGCGCATAACTACGTCACAGTTGTACCGAGCAGTAGAGTAGAGTACTGTACAGCTGTGTGCTATGAAGTTTTTTTCCTCTCCACATCGATATATGCATAACAGTTTCCGCCCTATTAATAATCGACAGTGCTGTCATGAATTTCATCGTTTGAACCACTTGACAAGTCAAATGAACATGTCTAAGGTTCTTTTAGCAGTAGGAAAATGACCAAACTTGACATAACGCTTGTTCAACAAATCCAACATGAGATACAGTAGCAATGACAGCAATGATGGAAAAGTTTTTAATTTACGACAGTGGTCGTTTTTAGGAGTCGTTCTGTATGCATAAGTAGCTTAGCATCGATTAGCATACAGTCTACTGTACGGGTTCCAGTAATATTCAAACATGGCTTATTTTTACACCGCTGAAAAGGGAGATGATCGTGAAATGTTGCCTACATAAGACTTGTTCACGGATGATGGAAAAGTTTCTAATTTACGACAGTGGTCGTTTTTAGGAGTCGTTCTGTATGCATAAGTAGCTTAGCATCGATTAGCATACAGTCTACTGTACGGGTTCCAGTAATATTCAAACATGGCTTATTTTTACACCGCTGAAAAGGGAGATGATCGTGAAATGTTGCCTACATAAGACTTGTTCACGGATGATGGAAAAGTTTCTAATTTACGACAGTGGTCGTTTTTAGGAGTCGTTCTGTATGCATAAGTAGCTTAGCATCGATTAGCATACAGCCTACTGTACGGGTTCTAGTAATATTCAAACATGGCTTATTTTTACGCCGCTGTATAGGGAAATGATCGTGAAATGTTGCCTACATAAGACTTGTTCACGGATGACTCCAATATATTTAGCTTTTATTCAGCCGATAACGGAATACTATCAATTGATGATCGGATCTGTTGAACAGCAATTGTTGATGTTGCAATGTCATTAGTGCAGGGATTCAGTATGCAAACTGTGGAAGTGTCCAGTAAATATCATACTACTGTATATATATAAGATCGTTCATACTGTGTACATATAAAGTACAGCGAATCTCGTCACCGGTGCGATATTATAGTGTACAGTATACCGTTGATGTTGTGCTAAAACACAATCACGTACTGTAGACTGTACTATACAGTACTGTACGTGTAGAGCAGTATCCAGCACAGTAGGCAACACTTTTAGTCTACTGTACAACAAGTACTACATTGTGGCATGCTAAAATAGGCACTGTCACCATACACTGGACACATTGATGCACGTTCAAGTATTTGCTAAATTAATTATCGTTAACCATAGCCTACAACTCGGTCGACGAGATCATGACTAGTTTTGACTATCTTAGCAATATCGATCATACTAGATTACTAGATACAGTAAGTAACGTCATCACATCGAGCATGATGATGCAGTCAACATTTAGGCCGGCGGTCAGCAAGGATGAAGAACGGTCAAGGTAGGTGTAGTAGTACAGTGCTAGCGCTGTCTATCAATGATACAAGATCGTATCGATTTGGCAAATACGAGAATATCCATCCATAGTGAATTTTCGACGCGATCATTCAAGTACAGCACAATACTGCAAACAAAATTAGGAAATGATTGATTGCATGATACTTACATATCGCAGTTTTGTTGATATACGCACAAGGCCCAATGAGGTACTGTCAATCCAGTCCGTATCGTTCAACTAAATCGACATAAGTGCTCTTCAATTTGTCGGGAATTCAGTAAACTATACACAGTGAATGATCCAAGTTGGCTTTATCTCCTTCGTTGTTGATGATTTAGTGAAGGCAGAAGAATCAAGTCAAGGGAAGGGCTGCAATATTGTACACGACTACACGACTGCCAAGTTGTAACGGTGATGCGAAGGATAAGCGAACTTCATAAATGACCTTTAGTTTACCGTCCTCACTTTGAATATACTGTACTCGCACAGCAAACTGTACTGTGCTGCTGTACTGGTATCCATTACTGTACAGTACAGTGTACTGTACAGTTTGCACTGCATTGTGGGCTGAGGCGATACGAAACACAGCAACACTGTTTCATTTTGCTTTTACAGTACATACTCTACAGTCTACAGTAAAGCCTTTGCCAACTGCATACAGTACTGTGCTTGTGTACCATACAAAGCGGTATAGTGTTTTGTTCAATCCAAGATCAGACGCTCAAACGCCATGTTCAGTACTGTACTGTAGACTGCTCACTAGTGCTCAGTATGCACTGTGCAACATACGGTAGTACTGCTGAGTGCTGACTGTACAGTAGGCCCAGCCATAATAACCCCGATTACTCAGATACTCAGCGTACTGTACAGTACAGTACTGTACTGTACAGTGTACAGTGTACAATACAGCCCTGTACTACTCTACTGTACTGTACACTGTACACCACGGTAGATCAAGTACGGGCTACAAGCTTGACCTTGCTTATTTGTAAGGACCTTGAAGAGGAAATCGGTTTCCTCTTCACAAGTCTCTGCTTTAGCACTTGGATACTGTGCAATGTACATCATGTACATTGTACAGTCGGTATCATGTGGACTGTAGGTGTTGGTGCTAGTGTAATGTATACATACTGTAGAAAGTATACAATATAACTGTACTAAGTTGATCATTCAAAAAAAATACGGACAAGCACAACATTAATGACATCGGTCAATGGTTAACCACTCCAACTTATCACATATACAGTAAATTGGTTGCACAATGCATACGCTCTCAAGTGTGCAAAATATGAATACTACAGTAGATAATATAATATTGAAACTAATTGTACAACACCACTAGAACGGCAGTCATTTGCAGTGCAGATGACACACGTGTAGTAAGCTGGATATTGATTGATTGATTGATTAGCTATGTACGAGTATATCCTCGGAACTTGAAGTGAATTTTTTCCTTCCTTCAAAAGAATGTTAAAGTATTGTATATCATTTTTTTTTAGTGATGACAGGACTACAACGAATGCATTTGTCATACCTTACATCTGCTATGAAGGAATGATCAACGAACGCTAATGAATTCATAAAATGAAAGGAACTATTTACGCCATATTAATCAATCACATTAATCATTAACGATGTCATTTTCAACGCTTGCTCAATTTTTAATATTCACTCTTTTGTATTCGGATCATATACATCAAGTTATTGATAAACGATACATGGATAATTTATGTACAATAAAATTAGAAACAACGCAGAACAATTTTAACATAACATCATGCATAGTCTTTGTGGTCGAAAAGAGAGACTAGTACGTTCAGTAAATGGAACGATTAAAATTCGTCAATTTTTTTACAGCTCTATCGTTGTTATATCGTTATTGTAGGCAAACAGACCATCATTTTTAAGTCAGCAATAATGAAATATACCTTGATCGCTGCATGTACTATATACTGTAACGTAGTTGATACGACATTAACAAATAAGGTTGCAGCAAATCGCTAGCATAGATATGCGTAAATAATGAGAATTCGATTTTGGTAACTCAATCAATTGCTGTATTAAGTAGGAAAAATTATAAATTAACCCATTGGGATTACGCTCCTTTCGGTATGACAAAAGATAAGGTATCTCCAATCGCTCCCCAACTTTGACGATTTCGCTGAAATTCAACATTCCAAATGATGAACGCTATCAGAAAGATGATAGTTCCGATAGCTGACCTAATAACATCTGTAAATATAATAATTAAATTAAATTATAGTCTATGATTTATTAAGTTTCAATAAACTAGAATGTCCCTTAAGTGCAGACTCAGTAGCAGTAGGATTCAAATTTATTGCGTTAACTATGAAGCAAAGCTATTTAGAAATATGCCGGTTTTGTTGTAGTCAGCTTACACTTTTTAATTTCGGCTTGGCCTTGGAAAGGTGGTGTTGTAAAAGCATATTTATAAAACCATACAATATTAATTACCCATGCAAATGGTAGAAACAAGAATCCAACCCTATAATGTAATCACGATAACAAGAACAAGAAGGCAGAAAACAATGTAGACAAAAAGTGAAGATAAGTCATTCAAATCGTTATTGATTCTTGACAACATGAGCAAGGCATTATCACAATTTATGAAAAATAGCGATCAAAGTATAATCATTATCTAGATGAATGACTATGGTATCTGTTCTTTTATTCTTAAGTATGCGTAGGAAAACTCATATATTAATTCTTCCAGTGACTCGAAGTAAAGAAGTGATTGCCAAAATAGAGCAATTAATTTATGTATACTTTAGCAGCAAAGGCGTTCAATAATGTAAACTAAAACTCAGTTGAATTTTAGCCTATGTTACACTCTGTGCATATGTAGTTATAGTAACGTTCTTCGTTGCAGCCAGAGGATGAAATACCATACTACGTATATTCCATGGAAAAGTTTAGCGTTGTAAGAGACATTTTTATGTGCCCAGTCAACTCATACTAGACTAATAACAGTATTTAACTACGTTTCACCCGACTTTGGAAAGGGATTACATTCCTAAAAGTCGATTCTTACATCCGAAACTGCTGCACAACATTGCAAGTAGTTGCCATTAATCTTCTAAGTAACTGTACATCTATATAGTATACGCGTACTGTATACAGTAGATGATTACGTCCAGTAAACTACTGACACATATAATGTAAAGTACACCATACATTAGAGTACCGTAAGTACATCCTTACTGCACAGTAAGTACTACTTACGTTTACGGTTTGCCTACGTACGCGTATGATGCAACTTATCTGCAAGATCAATTTTGATAAAATCTAGTGTAATCATCATCTACGTAAATCGAGAATTTAATTCCAGTACTGTCGTTACTGCCATACTGATCGCTAAGCGTAGACTAAAAAGCTTCCCTTTAAGCTTTAACGTATATGTCTACAATATATCATCACTTGCACAGCTTCAAACGTAAACACAAAGTACGTCATTGAACAGTTAATAATTACATACAACATACTGTATAACATAATCATATAGTGGCCGAAGTGCATAACATCTTTCGCAACTACTGTACCATTGGATAACGCATCCGTCTGGAATTCTATACACTACCTTACCTTACAGTAATAGTATATCTAACTATACCCTACACTTGTTAATGCACTTTTACAAACAGTGTCCAAAGATTGGCTTTTACAATATATAATAATTCTATTGTATAATCACGAAATTCATCTTGTGTACCGGTTATCAACGAATCCTAACTACCGTAGTATTCTTATTTACTCCGACAGCATACTACCATCGATGATGCAAGACAGCAACACAGTTAATGCTTGAACCTATAGCATTTTAAACTTTAACGAAAACGGATTGGTATATAGTCTACAGACGTTGACTTTTTCTTCATCAGTAGTTTTTTCCAGATTCATGATTAGTTTTGAATTCCTTCACCGCGGATCACTCGTCCAGTTTTCTGAACTCATCCAAGTAGTGACGTACTTTTACTGCAGTCGCTCGCTCAATGATAGTGTACAGTACAGTACAGTACTGTGAGTGTACACCATTACTACTGTACTCAGTGTACAGTACAGTATGTTAATCATGCGCAAACAGTACAGTACAGTACAATCGCGATGACTACAATAGTCTACAGTGCACAGTACTGTACTGTAAGTACTGTACACTGTACGGTAGTGCAGTGACTTAACAGTATTGGATTTGGAGTCCAATTTTTCACAGTTATGAGTCAGCCATAGAGACCATAAAGGTATTGAACCGAACCTTTCTCAGGTCTAGACTCAGCCATGTCAGCGAATACAGTGTACAGTGTACAGTGTACTGTACCAAAGCAGTATCTTTCACTTTACTTTCTACTGTTCAGTACAGTAGTGGTAACAGTGGAGTCCAGTAACAGTCATGGTATAGCATTTCAGTACAAAAAGCTGTAAAGATTGTCACTTTACCGCTGCTTTTCGATCTTCTCCAACGCGACGGGTCGCGTAGATGGTGTGTGAATCGTCATCGTGCCGTTTTTCATAGACAGTTTTGAAAGCCTTTGCTGATTCACTGAACTTTCAAAGACATGGCGGAGTATTTAGCTTCCATCTTTGGCACAGAAAAGGACAAGTAAGCAGATGTATAGATAGAGGGAAAATAGTAGGCGTAAATTCAAGAAAATGGCATTTAAATACAATCTGATGGGCTAAATTTGACTCCCAATACCATCGGAATGGTAGAGGAGATTCGTACAGGACATAGTTGAGAAATTTCCTTGACCATTTTAAAATCCTTAATTTTGCGTTGTTGTGAAGTTTTACTATGAATACATTGGCCTTCGAAAGTAGATATCACTGGTATAAAGTGGAAATTGACAATTGATTCTGTATCACTTCCAAGCTTTCAAAGTTAAACGATGAAGATAGCGTAATTGACTCCCAACAGCAGTCATCAATCACATTCATCGAGGATACTATTTTTTCGAGTCTAATAAACACAGGCAGTAGTGTCAGCGGATTGCTATACAAACCACGTTAAAGGACGATCACAGTGAAACTCATTCTGATGTAGATGCTTGAGTAATAATGAAGATCGGGCAGGTAGTGATGAGAAAGCTTCTCAGCATGTACAGTTGTACTCTGTACAGTACTCAAATGGCCAGCGAACTTTTGAGAAGTCGTGTAGGTGTAATTTAGACAGTCGATTCGTCTTGATAGGAGACAATAGATTGTTAAACTGGCATCATCAAGAAATGGTGTAACTTGACGGAATAAGTAGCAAAAGTAATTTCTTACTGTCTCCACATCTTACTTCTTTTCGCTCCTTTTCGCTAATAGTTGTACACGTATACGATCAATTACACGCGTCTATATATATATATACTGTACACGTACACACTAAAACATTTGTGAAATTGGTAGGCTCAAAATGTATCATCTGAATGATCGTACATGCGATTTATATCATATCAATGAATTAGAGACGAATAGATAGATATACGGCTATGCAAGCGTACTTAATCTTAGGGTCTCAGCTGAAATATTCTAAAATTTAGCATAAGCGTAAGCGTGAGCGTACGCATTCCAAGCGGATCCATTATCTTATTCCAGAATTTCATCCGTGTATCCTCTTGCCTGAGCAACTGTTGATTAGCTGCTTCGCTATTCTAACACAATACCATGTACAGTAATGTAAATTAGGATTTAGATAAGCTAATGATCCTTGAAATGAAGATAGTGTACATTAGTAAGCAGAGTTCGAAGCCAGTTTACTAGTTAAGCTTATATAGTATTGACAGTATAGTGGTTTCAAATTTCATCTTTAATCGTCTACACTATATATGTCATACCTACAGTAGTAGATTTACTGCAGTATTATTTTTACACCCAGGCGATGCAGTATACACTTGATAGTTTAGTAGGCATCAAACAGTTGTGATGATAGATGCATTGCAAGTACGAGATAATGCTTATAGTAAAATACAGTATTTTTCTGTACTCGTATGTCTTAACTTAAAATGGTACTATCCATCTTATGCTTTTTCACTTTATTTTAGAGTAAATTGCTCGTTCTATTTTAAAATTGGTGCCTGTCGCCACGGAGAAAGATGCTCAAGACTTCATAATAAACCTACGTTTAGTCAGGTAAAAAATATAACTTTCAGTATCTGTTTTATCATCTATCAAACTTAATACTGTATTATGCTGTAATGATGAACTCGGTTAAATTTATCTTAGAAATATGTGCTCGTCTTACTATTAGCTAATCCAGTTGAAATTAGCCATCTTGCGATAGTACCAAAGTGTATCGTTTATTTATACTTACCTTCGCGAGAGTGAAGGCAGAACACTCCTACGCTTAAAAATTATAGTTCGTTTGTAATACTATTTTACGATATCAACATTATAAATTAAAGTTAAATTTAAGCAACTTATTGAAGTAGTTGCTATTTAGCCAATTCAAATTGTATTTACTCTATACGGTGATGTAGCACGTATTAAGGTATATAGTTAATGCATCAAAAATTAAAATTCGTGATATAAAGTTGCCATTGCAGCGTACAGGCTGTGCTACAGTAATAACATGTAACCATTGTAGCTTATCGTTAATATCTTTCCTTCCTATTTGTAATGCCTTTTCTCAATTGATTTTAGACAATTGTTATGCAAAATATCTTTCAAAATCCACAACATACCGTTCAGTTAGCGGATGGCTCGTACAGTAAGTCTACCATCACTTGTGGGTAATAGACGACCCTCTTTGCTATGCTTGATATATCGTGATATCGTTACGTTCGAAATCGTCTACATCAGTATCATAAATACGTTATTTCGCGTTATTTTTGTACACACTTGGATTCTGTAAACATTAAAATTTCAATAATTTTGCTATATGTCCTATAACAGATAGGGGAAAGTCCAAAATATCTTTCTCTAGGTTCTATTACTATTTTTCTTCATATTACGCTCGAAAGCTATGGGTCAAAGTGAAATTATATTTAGACTAAGAATGCAATCTGCCGTACTGCCAGAGTGTAACTATACGCATATTTGATGTCAATTTCGACACTAACTTCCCTTGTTCTTTCTTTAGCTACCCATCACTTAAACCTGCTTATTTTACAGCTTATACATGTTTAGACGAAGCTAAAGACGATTATTTGCGTGATTGTTATAATAGTAACTAAGAATCGAATCAATATATAATCTATATATACTAATAAAATTTAACTTTGAGGGTTGTAGCTAACTTTCCTAAAACACGCAAAGCACGTAAGAAAAACGTGGTTTCGCCTTATTGAACGTGTTGCAGTCTTATTTTTGCCTTCATGATTTATACTCTTATCAGATGCAGCATCGCTTGTTATGAAATAGGATTGCAATTTCATAAATTGTTAACGAATTTTTACATTATAGTTTATGAAATAATTCGTAAATTAGTATCATTGATAGGTTAATGGTACTTGCACACTCAGTGATATCACCACATTTGACGTTGTTAAGTTAATAGCGAACGGTTACTGTTTGTCTAATAAGCAAGATACTGTATATTAATTATACAAGATTACATGATCAGGTAATTTAGTGCGGTAATTGTATTACCTTTCATTATGCCAAATACACGCTTTACGTTTGAGTAATTCATTTTCAAGAGTTTTAATCTTTAGATTAATCCAGTAGAGAAAATTGTTAAGGTATTATTATGCATTTGAAACTCATATTAGCACAGTTGACGGTAAACATTTGAGACAGATATTACTTCCTTGACTGCAGATTATTTATTTCTAGTTTATTGTATTATACCAAGAGCACTATAGATCTCTGCTTATCTTTCGTCGGCTTCTATCAACTACAAATTCGTGAACTATATTTGTATTCTTCGTATCCAATGACGCCTTATAGTTGTAAACATGCAATCCATTTCTGGAATTATTATTCATTAAGTCTGTTGCGATTTCACAAGGCGGACTGTCCTATGGCACTGTTGACCGATTACAATTACCAGCTCGTGCGATTAGTCAAATGTTTAGCACTGATTATTTTATATGTTCCTTTAACAGAGTCGAATATGTCAGATGAAGATGCTCAAAAGCATTTCGATCATTATTATGAGGTGAGTAAAGACGTTAACAATGTTTACTATGTCGTGATGGAAATAAACAAGTTCTATCTCCTTGCCTTCAAAATGTTTAGGATATTTTCGTCGAACTGGAAGAAAAGGTCAGAGTAAAATACTTGTTGTTGCATTACGTTACGTTCAGATAGCAAACTTATCTGTTACGACAGTATTATGCAGCTATGATTTAACCCTTTGTCTGACATCCGGAATTAAGATCTAAAATTCGCTTGTAATTTGATTTAAATACGATATTTAGTATGGAGAAATCGAAGAAATGAACGTCTGTGACAATCTTGGAGACCATCTTGTTGGAAATGTATACGTTAAGGTAGGTCTTTCTAGAGTACTGTATCTACTTGATTGAAACTGATTGTAGCATTGTGATGTCGCCTCAAGACCTCTTCTAAACTTTTTTATAGTTTCGATCTGAAGAACATGCGAGCGCAGCTGTCAATAGTTTGAACAATCGATGGTTCAATGGTGGGTTTCTTTAATTCACTAAATTTGAAATAGCAACAATTTTAATTTAATTGCATAAGCAGTAAATGTTCGTGATTTATGTGCATATATCTACCAGGTAATCCTATCTTTGCTGAGCTATCACCAGTAACGGATTTCAGGTATTATTGTTCACTGAGTGATTTTATATTTGATTCATTCTCACCGAGATGATACATGTTTAATCTTTCAGGGAAGCCTGTTGTAGACAATATGAGATGGGGTAAATTGTCATTTGCGTTACATGATGTAAATGCCGTCGATCCAAAAATCTGCCGAGCATAATATAGTATCCATTTTTTTGTTGTTACATTTTCGTAGGGAATGTACTCGTGGGGGATTCTGTAATTTTATGCATTTAAAGCCGATATCGCGTAGTTTAAGGTAAATACGATCTGCAATCGTCAACATTCTATATATACAGTACGTACTAATATATTTTTGAACGTAAGTTTTGGCACAATCTAATGCAATTTCTGATGTTTTAGAAAAAAATTGTATGGCCATAGACATATCACCAGGTATAATTGATATAGCCTTCGAATTGTTTTTAATTGGCTTTAAAAATTTGAGACCTACTATATAATAATCCTTTTCCGGAATATTGTTTGCTATACTCATGCAGCATAAAATACTATAAGACTTCTTTACTTATAAGATGATACTTCTTGTAATTGCAGTTCACGATCGCCGACCCATCTTAAAAATGCAAGAGAAGAAGATAGAGATGTCCCGGTAGATCGTGACCGAGAAAGAAATAGGGATCGCGATAGGGACAGACATCGTCGTCGCGAAAGAGATAGAGACTACGAATAGAGTACATTCCCCTGATAAGTTGTTAATTTAAATGTGCTATAATTGTAGATTAGTGATGGTACGGTTAGAATCCTTACAAGTTGGAGTTACTGCTAACTATACATAATGAATCCCGCAGATGTGCTATGTCATATAGCGAATGCGTCATGAAGAGCTTATATTCAATGTACAGTGTAAGCAAAGTTCGCGTTTTGTTGTCTATGACCCGAATAACAAAGCAATTTAGCCCAATAGCTAGCTGTAAATGCATAAAATATTTAGTAATGCGTTTTACGATAAAGTATGAAGCATTAACTGCTTGCCTGCAACCTATTGCCTTCCTACCTAAAACTGTATCTTGCCAATACATTTTAACTTTTCGTACGCATATGGCGAACTTTTGCATCAAGATGCAATATGCTACATTGCACATTCAATATGTATTCACGGTATCGTTGTGTTTACTATACTCCATCTATTGATTGCTGTATATCGTAAATTGTTCAACTTGATTTAGTTCGTTGTCCTTATAGTTTGAGGAGAACTCATACTGGCGGTATTCGTAGTTCATGATTCCAATTTGGTGTATTGTTCGTGACTGACCGGTAAGGTATATAGTATACTAGTATACTGTATGTGTTGTAGACGTAGTTACTAATTGATCTCATTTTATAGATAACCTCAAATCATTATGAATAAATATGCTTTCAACCTATGTGCAACTGTCTACATATTACATAGTAGAAGACTATTAAGGAATAATACGTAGAGTGATAATTGTGCCTTAGTAGCTATTTTATAAAATAGTACGACACCTAGCGAATATCTGTCATCTTTTACGATACAATATCTATAGTATGGTTTATATGTTTATACCCTTTACTCAGTCGCTGCAAGACCTTAATTGCCGTTCGTCGTATGTATCTTTACTTTCATAATATTTTTGATATATATCCGCTTAAGAAAAGATGAATTCCTTAAAGTGCTGCATACTTGTCTACTTGAACTGTGAACAATGCGATGCTTAATGTATTCTGCATCATATTTCAGTTAACAGGGTAACCTTTTGTATTCTTATAGACCCTATTAATACTCGTATTAGCACTATATTACATGTCGGTAAGCATGATATATAGGACCTATCTAGTGAAATTGATTGACTGGCTGAAATTCACAGATAGATGACTTAAAAAGGCGAAGGGTTTATCGTATTGGTCAATTTATAGTCCGGTAGACTTGCACATTTATTATCTTTACAAATTGTTAGACCAACTCAAAGTATTTCGGAGAAAATAAAACGATGAATAAAAAATTACAACATTAACAACTGAGCTATGGCACTGTAGCACATTATCGAGTGTCTAATTGCCGTCCTAGCAATAAACTGTGGCTTAAATAGTTAATCATTTTATTCTATTAATGAAATAAGCAATAACGTGCATGGTAACACCACATACAGAAGATACTAAATTTTCAAGCGAAGACGCCCGAAATCAAAAGTATCAGTAAAGAATGCAGGATTCGAGCACTCTGTAAAATCCATGTGCTCGTAGTTTGCGTTGCATATTCGTGTACTATCGATGATAGCCACAGCCAGTCAATTATCTTCAGTATAAGTTATTTACAACGATGTATCATCCAATTTATTAGCTTTTAAATGTTTAATTTCAGGGAAGATTTGGAGGTGTTTTGACTTGCATTTGTCTTGACATCGGTCAACGTCATTTTATTGCTGCTGGATCTTTACGGGATCAATCCAAGTAATCCCTTGAAGGTCATTAACCTACTGTATTATTGCAATTGAACGTTCCTTCGTTTTTTGGCATTAAACGATTTATACATTACCTGTTTCTAACATAGAATCTTGTCAATATCGTACAGATTCTACGATTAAGGTCAGAAGGGACGATACTGTCATATGTAGTGAGTACACTGCAGCTGTATCGTATATTCAATACAGTATGGACAGTTATGGATTACTAAATTACAGTACTGTAAATGCAGCTAGTAGCCCAGTGTACAGGACTGTGTAGCAAGGAGAATGTTGTAACCATATTGTCGATAATTATAATTATTAATTCGATTATGACATACACTACTAAATCGTTTTCTCTTTATTGTCACGCTGGTATTATATGAGTACTGTACGTGATTACTCACATAGTGATCGCTAGCTTTCTTTCACCCCTTCTCATCTGTAACTTACGTGTCATCTCACAGTAGTAGCAATAATAACGCTACTGCATACAGTACTGCATGCAAATTAGTGCCCCCAAAATTTTGAACGTTTGCAGTCCCTGATACAAATGAAAGACTGTAATTCAATGTTGAGAGGATGAGACTCCGATGAGTAAAGGAATGGAAACTGTGAAAAGCAAAGTAGCTATAGTAACTATGAAAAAAAATTAATCATCCCCGGCGGGACTCGAACCCGCAACCTTTGAATCGCTACCATAGTACGTTAGAAGTCCAATGCGCTAATCCATTGCGCCACGGGGACAATCATCGAGTGCTTCAACAAAAATTTCTATTATAAAACTTTAACTTCACTATTGATAAAGTCTCGATCTTCTGGAGGATCTCCACTTCGGTTTAACTTAATTGTCGGTTAGCTAAAGAGTATGTTATCAATTGCTATTACAATACTACTTTGTCAGAAGTAGCTGTAAAAAATTACTACTGTATCCTTCCGATCCACCTATGTACTGTATTTGTATTATATCATATTGTACAAATAGACTGTATCTGTTTATTCCTATGACAGTCGTAGCGGCAAAAATGCTACGTGTACGCAGACTCTGTTTGAAAGGTCACGCGCTAAAGTCAATGAGGGTAAACTTTAAACCTGGACCGTCAGACGTCTGCTGGTACCTGGTACCGGGTACTGTACTGGAGAACTCGCTACCCGTACGCACACTCGTACACTACACACGCGTACAATACTGTATTTGATGAGGAACACTATGTCATTTTCGATACTCAGGTCTGCCCAGTACCGTGTCTTGTTTTCGATTTGTACAGTGTACAGTACTTAGTAGTCTGCCTGTGTACTGTACAAAATCCGAACCCTAACCCTGTGCTGTACATTTTAGTGTACAATTGTACATTTACTGTCGTGTTCATCATACAGTACAGTGCTACTGTATGTACTGTATGTACACTACTGCAGTAGTGTATACCGGACTGTATGGACGTACAGTACAGTTCGCGTATATCACGTACTAACTATTGAAGTTGACATCATTCGTTCAGCCTTTCAAAATTATAATAATCAAGCTAGGAAATTAAGTAATGGCACTAATGAAGCTGTTTCTGATATTTTCCGCTTTTATCCTGCTAGCCTTTGCGAAGGACGATTCGTTCGTCTTCAACGCAGAAAATAACCAACAGTTACCTGCTCATACAGTGGTGACTGAACGGCAGAACTTTTACCAAATCACCCTGCCCAAGAAGATTCCAATAAAGGAAGCTGTAAAGCAAGTTTTCCATTCCAAAGAGCGGATTAAAAGAGCCAATACTGCACCGCCTCCTGCCCCCAATGGTACATCGGTGGTAAGTTCACTTAACCTTAATGCATGATGAAATCATCAAACGCGATCAAAGTCTTTATGATACCACCATGAAATGACAGTACTGTACTATGCTGTTATCGAATATGTGCCATGATGAGTCTTTTAAGCGTTGCACTTGATGTCAGCAAAAATGATCATCATCACTGACTGTTTATCTACTGTAACGGCTCGTGAAGTAGCAATAAGTATACATGTCTCGTTGTTGTCTGCTGTAATCAATACACTTTATTCTTGCTGAACTATGATGCTATTTTTCTTCAACATCGTTGTAGTGAGAGATCGAACAACAGTTTTACACTATAGTAACGCGAAATCGCTGAGTTATTTTGTAATAGTAGTGGATCGTGTTGATGATCGCTTTCAAGGCCTCTTTCCTTCTATTCTCAATCACAAGAAGCCCTTTCTGTATCGAATTGATTTCCATGTCCTCTCTACCCACAGTTCAATAATTATTATCCATGGATAAATTGAATTGGTGCTACTGTGTTAGACGATGGTGATGAAATATTTTTCAATTCCCAAATACAAGACGAAAACATAGTAGTACCCCAACCCATATACCTTAGCTCAAATTTGTTTCTATTTGCACTGTTGATGATGCACCAATAATTGCATGATGACAGTAAACTTTCAGTTCTCTCCATCACGATAAGCGCACCATTGCACGATTGCAGTCAGTAGTTAGTACTGTGCTGCGCAAGTCATGACATCACCGTGCATGATACTGTGGCTGAAATGCAGTACTCTACACTGTAAAGTGCTGGATAGTATGGCGTATTGGGCGGATCCTCCCAGAGTGATTTGTACTGTAGCACAATTATTTTGCCCGATGTGGGAATTTTTGAAGGCTGTATAGCAGTCAATAATGGAGGCAAACCAGGTAGAGATGAGCAAATAATTCCTTCTACGTAATAGAAAAGTATCTGCATGGAATACTTGTTTGTAATAGCTGTCTGTTACTGTCGAGTTAGTCCACATTTGGCTTGAAAGTAAGCAAGAGTCAATTTACTGTTAAGGTGAAGACCATCCATTACCAGTAAAGTATTCATGATTAATTTATTGATACAAGCAAGGTGTGAACTGTTATGAAGATCTGCGGAGCTTTGCACTAACTACAACGATCAGTAGCATGCCTTGATCATGGTGTACGGCAGAGACTATAACGTTAATAGCAATCGTATCAACTTGATCGAGTATTTACTGTAGTCAAAACAAGAGTTACTAGCTAAAAAGAAATTTTCCAGTAACGAAGGGAATAGATAGACGAACCTCCTTTTCTAAACAAAAGTCGATATAAATAAACAAAAATCGATAGCACTACACTGAAAGATGGAGTCGATAGTATGTTGGATCAAAGGCGTGAAATCATGCAATCGATATGCTGTTTGGATCATCTTCTTGCCATTAATTGATACCGATGGAAAGTGTTGTTCATGATCAGGACAGTACAGTTCGATATCTACGATAGCTGTTTGCACTCGTGTGCCTTCATCGATTGGCAACGACTGTAGACTCTACTGTACATAGTTATCAATTGCTCGTTTAATGTTGAACTGAACAGGTAGTTTCTAGTATGTAGAACAAATCGATCGATACATTCAGTAAGGTAGCTTTACAGATACTTAATATTTATTTATACAGCTTGTTGAAACTCAAAAATTGATCATAAAAGACTGCTTCCTTGCGCTGTACCATGACTGTACACACCAGGCAAGGTTAACGAGACTACGCCACCACAGGAAGTGAATAAAGAATAGAGTTGTCAATCACGTAGTGGCTAGTTTACAAGAAGAAAAAACAATATCATTAAGTTACAAGACTCTGAATAGAAGATAAACTTGACATAGACTGTATACAAGTTGACTGTTATGTGTATGTAAGGCTTCAACACTATGGACTGTTTTAAAATTTTCATCCACGTTATACAATATTACTAATTATAATGCCAGACAATGTTAACATTGATAGCTGCAGACAAAGTAAGAGAGAATACCACTGTACATGCAGTGTATCAAATTAGTAGAAGCTTTGATTAGCTAACGGTCCTTCACAGATGACCTGATAGATCATGTCATATTCAAATATACGCGTAATATTCAATTTTAACAATATGTATAGTCCATATTATGCAAGAATGTCGGTAAAGGCTACTTCTGATTAATAAACCTCTTTGATCTATGAGTTAAATCTTGTATAGATTACAAGATCATAACTTTAATATTATAATATAGATTATATCATAGTTTTACCTACTGATATGATAGATAATGATAAGATCATGAACATACTGGATTGTGAAAAGTTAGAAAACTACTCTTGCAATGTATCTAAACCTAATTGGATTACTTACATCTTTCCAGGCCAATTTGAAAGATTCAACGCATCGATTGATTATTCACTGGTCCGGTCAGGGAAGTGGTACCATTATTGTGGTAACTGGTGACAATTTTTTCAGCAATACGAGCTATAGTCGAATCTATATTTCTACTAATTATGGAAAGACCTTTGTTAATCGTACTACTGACTTTCGCTTGCTGAATGGCAATCCGTCTTCGGTAGACAATTTTTACACCAGCCCTATTGATTTCAGACGCGTAAGTACATGTACTCGTACGTATAGCAGATAGACGATATGCGGTATTGTCATCACTACGTAATGAATGAAATAAGATTGTTAGTGTAACAAGTTTATAATTTGTGAATCGTCACTTTGATCCACGTCTGTAAAGTATCAATTCAGTATTTAATCAAATCATTTGCAGTCATTTTAACAGCTAAAAGGGATACAAAGTGATATTAAAGATAAAAAGAAAGAATAACTGACTTTACTTTATCATTTCGTGTATTTATATTCTAAATGTGATTGACTAATATTATCATTAATTTGCTATTATTAGAAAATTTTTGCTGATGTCGCCCATAAATACCTATTCGTTACCTTTGATGAAGGTCAATCAGTCTTACCGATTAAGATTACTTTCAAAGCGTATAGAATTGTACCCCATCCATCTGTTGCGGATTACGTCTTAGCTCTTGACACCAGTGATAACAATAAGGTAAAGAACGAAATATAACATTAGCAACTAAAATCAGTCGATCGGAGTTCCATTTCGGAAATGTTTCTAATCAATAATGCTTTTGACGGTGTTGATAATTGTTATTTCATGCATTTTTTATAGCTTTATGCTTCAAATGACTTTGGAACTACATGGAAGTTACTTGACGTCAACATTAAAGCCTTTTATTGGTGAGTTCTTCATTTTTTAATTATATTTCATGGTAATCAAGTCTTACTACATATGCTGTATACGGTAATAGCTATGACCGTACAACAGTAGCCTCGCATGACATAATAGTAAGAATAGTAGTGCACCTTTAATTAATTTACTTTAGCTTAAAAAAATGCGAATTTAAACTGTTCTTGCTCTACTTGCTATTGTACTTGTTCATTATTCTTTAGTGCTAAAGTTTGACTGATTACTTTAATACTAATAGGGGCAAACCAAATATGGATCCATCTCAAACTGTATTTTTAGAGCGTCAAGATATAGGTAGTGTATTCGAGCTTAATTATATCGTAATTAAGTCAGTGTCCAATAACTAATTCTAGAATGTTACACATGTCAAGATTAAGCATTTTCAGTAATATTATCCACAGTACAACCACAACAATCTCCTCGAATAATATAATATACTGTATCTTAACCGTTTATAAAGCATCTCATTGCGAACGTAATCAAAAATAGAACATTTTGCTTTCATGCTAAAACGTTGCTATTCCATTCAGTACTTGTTATGACATGCCGTAATTGTATGAAATTGTATGTTTTTAAGGTGGCCTAGCGACAATGATTAAACTTGATTTCATATTTCAAACTGGAATTAAGCGAACGGTACTAGCGACAAATGGCACAGAATTATATATGCAAGGTTCTTACATTTTTGTGGTTAAATCTAACGTAAGTTTTGATGATAGCGGTACTTTCTATAATTTTGCATATATCAATTAATTTATCAAAGTTCATGTTATTCTAGCTAATAATCTATCCCGTTTATACTATTTAGAAACGTGGATTTCTCGATCTTTTGGTATCTAAGAATCGTGGTGCACTCCAGATTGCAAACTTTCCCTTAAAAAATCATAAGAACCAGGTATGTAAAAGTTGTAAATATCAATCTGAAAATATCAATTTTTCTGAACGTGCTATTTTTTCTCGATATTATTAGGATTATTTCATTGTTGATTCTACTACGGATCAAGTGCTTGTTGTTGTTGATAACAATCATAAAGGGATGGATTTATATATTTCCGATGCTTCAGGCTTACAGTATACGTTATCACTGCAGCGCGTATTATATTTTAATCCTTTCTTACATGCCACCCCACCTGTTCATAAATATGATTTGTAAGTTTACTTAATATCAAAATAGCGTTATCTACAGTAATATATGATCGATAACTTAATATCGCATATTGAATACGAGTACATATGATCTTAGCAAGAATCTTTATATTTAAACAGGAGAAGTCCCTTATTTGCCGATATAACCAAATTGAAGGGTTTATTAGGAGTCTACGTTGCAACGCAGCTCACGAAGCCCGATTCCCAAAATTTTATCTACATTACCACATTAATTACTTATAATAATGGGGCTAAATGGAAATCCATTAAACCTCCAGCTACCGATTCTAACGGCAATTCATATCCAGCTTGCATTTCAAATTCATCTAAAGTACGGTAGTATTTAATTTCTTCTGTTATAGAGTATACTGTGAGGTATTATCTGTACCTAAATTCATGTTACTATAAACAATGGTGTTTTAGTATTTCATTGAATACAGTCTAACTATAATAATTAAATGTAATATTAATGCTACGTACTTTCTTATATCATGTCTGTAATTACAAATGCATGAAATTTGTGACTTTCTAGAGTAATGATTTAGCAACATAGTTGGTAGAATATATGTCTTTCTTGATTCATAGTTTATCCTTATTGCGATCATTTTGTCTCATGTTTTAAAACGTATCGTTTTAGAGTTGCTCGTTACATCTAGGACTGCGCTACACTGCGTACTATCAATCTCCATTTCCGAGCGCAGTTTATACTTCAGCCTCAGCTCCTGGTTTTATACTTGGACACGGAAGTGTCGGTGCAAATTTAACATCGAGAAACATAAGCATGTATATTTCAACAGATGGAGGATTCGATTGGAGAGAGGTCTGTTTATATACATACCCCATGTAATAAGCACCGCCATAATATTGTCTGTTTGGTTTTACTTTACAGGCTATGAAAGGGCAATTTATGTTCGCTGTAGCTGACCATGGCGGACTTATTGCGGCAGTAAGACGGTATTATATCACGAATGTTATCTAGTAAGTAATTAAATATCTATTTCTTGTGATTAAATCTTCTCTAATTTTTGCTTATAGCTAATCCTGCTTATTAAATACTTTAATTGATGATTTCCGTTATTTAAATAATTAGCTATAGTTGGGATGAAGGAGAATCTTGGTCAACTTACATCTTTAATAGTACTGCAATGTTGCCATATGGTTTAACCACCGAGCCTGGTGAGCAAACAACAGTTTTTACCATTGTTGGATCACCGGTTGGACATCATGAATGGACTATAGTTCAGATAGATATGAAAAATGTGCTAGGAAGATCATGTACATTAAACGATTATAAGAAATGGGTACCATCTGATAAATTAGATGGTGCTCCAGGTACGAAGTGTGTACTTGGCAGGAAAATGACATATGAGCGTCGTAAAACTAAAAGCCGATGTTACAATGGACGAAACTATGACAGACCAATCAGTGTTCAAAATTGCACGTGTATACGCGATGACTTTGAATGGTAATACGGATCGGGTTCTTTATAAAATTTATTATTTATTATATTTGCCAAATATTTTTGACTGTAATTATTAGTTTCTTACATTCATTACTATTTTTTTTAGCGATGAAGGCTATTACCATTCGTTCTTCACTGGAAATTGCTTTTTATCTGCTTCGCTGGCGCAACCACCTCAAATACCAGTTTCTTGCCCAGAGGGCTCGTTTTACTACAGAACAAGAGGGTATGTTTGCTACATACAGCCATACATTGTTATTTCTCATATTAATGCACTAATTACTACAAGTTAACTACATCTGGTTATGATTAGATATCGAAAAATTGCGGACGATACTTGTTTTGGAGGTGTAGAAAATACTATCGGACCACAAAAGACTTTATGCCCGGTTGCAAGTAAAACGCTAGGAGCTACTTTAATATTATACCTATTAGTATTACGTTACAATTTTAAACCAATATTTTTCTCTTGAAATTCGACAGAATTGTCCGAGTTTCTCTTATTTTCTCAGAGGTTTAGCATCGGACGTTTCCGATTTGGTGCCAGTATTGCCGAAACCTTACCAATTAATTTAATTGGTGTAAGTTTCATTGATTACGACTTTAGCCAAAACTGTTTATATTGGGGCGAAAATGGTCAAACACCTTCAATTAGGCGAATGTACTTGAATGGTACTGGTTGGCCAGAAGTAATTGTTTCCACTAAAATTGCGCAGGTTAGATTTAAAATCGTAAAAGCTGCAGCTAGTGACAAAAATATAAAATTAAGCATAAACACATTTTAATAAGCCCATGTAAATCGAAGGATTAACTTACTATCGAAATCTTTCCGGATAGGTCGGTGGTATGGCTTTAGATTGGATATCGAATAATATTTACTGGATAGACCAGAAGCGAAAAGAGTTATCAGTAGCAAAGAAAGATGGTACAAATCGTCGCACTCTGCTTACAACTAACATGGATAACGCTGAATCATTGATTTTAGATCCAGCTAGAGGGTGAATAATATAACTTTGAAGATTTTAATACTACGCCTTAAGAATAAATTATAACTATTTGAATACTTTTCATAGCCTTTCAGATGCTGCTTGTAAATAGTACAAATGAATATGTAGCATGTTTTAACGTTTATATTGTAAACTAAACAGATATCTATACTGGACCAATGTAAACAATAAGCCTTCTATAATGCGAGCTAACATGGATGGCACTGGGATTACTACTATAGTTCAGTCAAATCTCGGTTATCCTTCTGGTTTGGCTCTTGATATTGCGCGACAGCAGCTTTATTGGACTGACAAAACTCGCCATATTATTGAAACGGCAACATCGCAAGGACACAGTAGACGAACAATAATAACTTCCAATGTTACATACCCTACTGCCATAGCTGTGTTTAAGGATAGCATTTATTGGGCGGATTCAGAATTAAAGAAAATTTTCCAAGCAAATAATAACGGAGGAAATGTGAAAGTTATTGCTAGTTCTTTGACTTACTTAACCGATGTTAAGGCTTTTCGGCAAGCTTCTCAAACAGGTATAGGCAAAAGAAATATTGCTACAAAATGCAAATATAGGCGAGTTGTTACTGTAATAGTAAATCGATACCCTTAGATTGAAAGTTGCAATAGTTTAACAGAATGTTAAAACGTATGCTGTTAAAACATATGATGTATATTAAGTTTATTGTATCTATTGGAATTTAAAATTTTGAAGTTTTATGGAAATGTCATTATTTAGAATGGTATATTTAAGTTTTTTATTGTTAATCAGGGACTAATGGTTGTGCTAACAACAACGGTGGATGTTCCCACTTATGTGCACCGTTACCAAATAATGGTCACGTATGTCTGTGTCCTGACAACGCTAAAACTATAACTAGTAATGGTAAAATGACTTGCGTATGTGAAAGCGGAGAAGTCTTGCAACCTGGTGGATTCTGTTCTGCAAGTATGCCTTACCTACACTGTATACAGTAATACCATTAAGTAACAATCTTTTCATTTTAACTTTTACAGCTAATTCAAGTAGCTGCAAATCTAATCAATTTACCTGTAACAATCACAAATGTATACCAAAGTCTTGGCATTGCGATCATGATAACGATTGTGGTGATAATTCAGACGAATTAGGTAATTTTATTTCATTAGAGAAAGAGTTCTCTTTACTTGCCTGATTTACTGAAATATTCATGTCTTTTCGAATTTACGATAAGCTATAAATACTACATTTTAGTAGTGCATGCTCTGCAATTGATCAGTATAAAGAACATCCTCATATGCTGTACTTTGATACTATTTGTAATTAACGAAAATGTCATTGTCAAGAATTCTGAAATTTCGGTTAATTAATAATGACCCTTTTTACTGCAGGATACCTTTATTACGTTTGCCAAATTGCGTTTACTTTATCAAATTACCTAATTTAGTTTATGAATCTGATTGTAAATGTTAGGGTGTTCTTTCCAAACGTGTGCGTCGTGGCAATTTACTTGCTCTGATGGACGTTGCATAAGTAATTTCAGGAAGTGCGATTTTATAAAGGACTGTCGTGATGGATCCGATGAATTAAATTGCGGTATTTAATTTCCTCACTCCTATATTAATAGAAACCGTCAAAGCCCAGGATTAGCTGGAACTTCTTTTCTATCTTATGAATGGCTTTCTGATGGCAATTTTCATTTCTATTTCAGTTCGTCCGAATTGTACCAGTGATGAATTTAGATGCAATAATAAGCGTTGTATTAGGAAGTCTTACGTTTGCGATGGAGATAATGATTGCTACGACAATAGTGATGAAAAGTATTGCGTTAGTTCTCGTAAGTTATCATCATTCGTAACTACAATCGTCTCTAGCATGTAATTACATGTATTATCATCATGACACTGAAATTAATACTCTGGAATTTATTTTTTTGCTACTAAGATTCTTGTAAGTCAAGTGAATTTCGTTGTAAGAATGGCGCTTGTATTCCCAAGACATTTTTTTGCGATAAATTTAATGATTGTGGAGATAATTCGGATGAACCCAAGAAATGCAGTAAGTACCAATCTAAAATAATCGCCGATTAATCATTGATGCACAACGTTAAAGAAGTATTTAAGATGGCTATAGTTATAGCTATCATTATCAATAGCTTGGTAGCAATGTTGATTGATGAACTGATTCCTTTAATATAAAACCTGTTTAGCTCCAAAACCATGTACAATAAACCAATTCGTATGTAATAATGGCGAATGCATTCCGAATATTTGGCGGTGTGACGGAATCGCGGATTGTGGGGATAGCAGTGATGAAAAGAATTGCAACAGTAAGTTTCACTATGCTCTTGTTGCATAGACAATGAAATTACTGCCGTTTGTTTCTTATAATTTCGATAATGAACGATATTATAAATTGTTTCTAGCCACCACAACAACAGCAGCTCCTACTACTCAATCCAGCCAATGTGGAAGTAACCAGTTTAAATGCAAAGTTACTAAATTTTGTATTCCGTTGTCGTATGTTTGTGATGGGGTAGTAGACTGCCAAGGATTTTTTATTCCAGATTCTTCAGATGAAGCTAATTGTCGTAAGCGTGAACTGTATTACAGCTACCAAGATTTTGTATTATTATTTCAATTTTGAGTAAATTACACTTATGTAATGTGGTCAATATGTATATTTGAATTTAAGCTACAACTCAACCGTCTGGAACGAGTACTCCATCATCGTGCGGTTCTAACAGTTTTGCTTGTCTGAGTGGTGGATGCATTCCTAAGGCATCGGTTTGTAATCATGTTACAGATTGTTCCGATGGTAGTGATGAACTCGACTGTGGTTTTACAGGTAGTCAGTTGATCTGTTTAGTGCTCATATCGGCTGCAATAGGCATTACAAACAGTTAATAATCTATCAATTATCTAACAGCTGCACCGACAAAAACCACTATAATGCCTACAACACCTACAAACTGTAGTTCCCAGCAATTCGATTGCGGTGCAGGTTCACTTCCACGTTGTATACCAGCTTCATTCAGATGCGATAACGAGCAAGACTGTAGTAATGACGCGGATGAGCGTCATTGCCAAGGTTAGCATTTTCGAGAACCTATTTTTTCCTACAAGAATTACATCCCAAGATTTTTTACTTTCCTTAAATTTTATCATATTATGAGTGAAATATCTGCAATATTAGTGAGTTGTAACTCATTCGTAAATAATTATATGTATATATAGTCAGTAGTGTCTGATTCTAACAACAGTCACTGTGACTCTCTGCAATATCTTTCGCGTCATTCAATCATGTTTATAAAGTACAGCACCTAAAAAGATATGACTCTAACTTTATATACTGTAGCATGCAGTGGTTTTAAGTGCGCCAATGGCGTCTGCTTAAAAAAGAATAGTCAAGTATGCAATGGCATCAATGAATGTGGTGACAATTCCGATGAAAAGCACTGTGGTAAGTAGATGGAAATTTTCATATATTAGTCAGTTGATATCTTATAGCAGTATTTTCGTTAATAAACGATGCAATTTTCTACTCGTAGCTTCACATCAATGTAGCAATTCTGAATTTCGTTGCACTAGTGGTCAGTGTATTGTAAAAAGTGGGCGCTGTGACGGATTTAACCAGTGCAGTGATGGATCGGACGAAAAGTCATGTGATAGTAAGTTAATTAATAAATGAATAGTTTTCACAGTTTCAAAGATTAATAAATAATCTAGTAATTTACTAATTCTTTCCTCGCTTTTTCTTAGTTGTTTCATCTTTAGTAGCAGCACCCTTTTCGGCTCATTCTTTAAGGATATCATGGAAATATGTACAGAATAGTAAATATCAAGTAGATCATTATCGTATCTATTACAGGTAAATAAAAATAAAGATAGTTTTTTTCCACGACTTAATTTAATATCTTGCATGTTCAACCTAGCGTACGAGCTATACGTTATCAACTCATTTAATCATAAATTTATTTCATTTTAGAATTTCTGGTCATAATCTCGATGCTAACTATTGGCCAAGCTACGTAGATGTGCCAAAGTTTTACCATTCGAAAATTATATCCAACTTACAGCCACAAACAACTTATGATGCAACCGTTACCATTATAACGAAATCGGCTGCAGTGTTACGTAAAGCACCATTTGTCACTACTTCAACATATGCGTCGAGTAAGCCATGAAAACAAAATGATTTCTTATTATGCTCTAATCTATTAAGCATAGCTCGATTTTTGGATTTACTCGTTTGAATATGGTAAAAATGTGACCACTAGAATTGATATAAAATATGATTTTGGTGATTTCATATCTATAGAACCGTTACCACCGAAAAATTTGAAAGCGTTTGTACTTGCTGCCAACAAAATTAAAGTAACCTGGGAGGCTTCGTCGGCGCCTGGAGTTGTGATCAAAAATTATAAAGTAGGACTCCTGAATTTAAAATGATCCTCATACGCAAATTTATCTCATGATAACTCGTTCAAACTAGGTCGCCTATAGATTTGGATTTTTAGATACAACAATTACAACCAGAAATTCCTTTGTTATCATCTCGAATCTTATACCGTTTACAACATATTATGTCAGGGTATGCCATTTTACATACGATTGAGCAACTACTCCACAATTATGACGGTATAGGAAATTCTTATAGCTAATTTTTGGGCTAAATCGTCTTTCAGGTTGCTGCTGGTACTTATGACAACGTTTTTAGTGATTATACCAATGAGTATGTGGTACATACTGCGCCAGCTGGTGAGTAGCAGCCATTAAATAACTTATCATGTGAGATCTAACAACATTAACTTTTTGGTTCCAGTGAGAATTACCAACGGCAAATACGAATTTGAAGGTCGTGTGGAAGTCTTTCACAACAATGAATGGGGGACGGTCTGCGATGGCAATTGGAACATTAAAGCAGCAACTGTTGTATGCAAACAACTTGGTTATTATGAAGCAGTGCAAGCTGTTTACTTTGGTCAATTTGGCGGTAGTCAAGGCAAAATCTGGCTAAATAATGTTCATTGCAGTGGTAGTGAATCATCACTATTGGATTGCACTCACTCCGGTTGGAGTAATACAACTTGTACTCATGCAAACGATGCTGGTGTTGTTTGTAGTCAAGCCCCAGGTATATTGTAGCAGCCGATGAAGCAAGTTTTTAAATGTCTAACTATCTTCAATTACTTTAATTAAGGAATAACATTGCACTTTTAATGTTGTATATATATCATTTTACTTAAATTTAAGTGAGACTTGTTGGAGGTCTATCATCTGCCGAAGGTCGTGTTGAAATAAAGCATAACGGTTTTTGGGGAACAATATGCAATTTTGGTTGGAGAATAGCTACTTCTAATGTTGTGTGCCGCAGTCTAGGGTTCCCTGGTGCAAAACCAGTTAATCTTGTTTTTGGTCAAACTAACAATTTTGGGCCTGGTAATGGAACAGTTTGGTTGTCGAATGTTAGATGCCAAGGCAATGAATCTTTCATAACCGAATGTCCGTATTCGGGTTGGGGTATTAGTAGCTCAGCTTGTAATTCGCATAGATATGATGTTGGCGTTTCTTGTCTGACTAAACCTGGTAAGCGTACAGTATTTGTTATCGATTTGTACTATTCATATTTGAAGTGATATATTCCATTTATTTATTTATTATTTATGTGATTTCTAGTTCGCCTTGTTACTGCCAATCAAGTCAATGTCTATAAACAGGGAACAATTGAAGTATCTCATAAAGGAAAATGGGGAACAATTTGTGATCATAAATGGGATCAGAACGATGCAGTAGTTATTTGTAAGCAATTAGGATATACTGGGGCCATCAGGGTCGCTAAAATGGCTGAATTTGGTCAAGGCAATGGTACGGTTTGGTTAACAGATGTTCAATGTAAAGGAAATGAATTAAATTTGCATCAATGTCCAAGCTCTGGTTGGGGTAACAACAAATGCAAACATACGCATGATGCCGGTGTCGTATGTAGTTATCCAATGGGTATGATTAGCAAATATCCATATTAAATATTTTGATATATTGTGTTTCCAGTATACTGTTTCAATATATCACCCATTAACGTCGCATTCAATAAATTTAAATACAGTTCGCCTTGTTGGTGGTAATCAACCCAATCAGGGTCGATTGGAAATAAATTTTAACGGTGTTTGGGGTACCGTATGCGATGATCGATTCGATATTACTGATGCAAATGTTGTATGTAAACAGCTTGGCTTTATTGGAGCCGCAGCAGCTCTAGGGAGAGCTCCATTTGGTCAAGGCAATGGTCCAATATGGCTTGATGAGGTGCAGTGCAATGGAACTGAACAAAGTATAGGAGACTGCGCTCATAATAATTGGAATGACCATAACTGTGGACACAACGAAGATGTTGGTATCGTTTGTGACACTTCAGAAGGTACAGGACATGCATGTATAATATTACCTTAAGAACCTCTTATATTATTGAATTGATATGTTACACTGCACCTTCGGTAATATATTTTAATTAAAATTAAAAGTAATTTAATCCCACTTATAATTTCCTTATAAAATATAAAGTGCGACTAGTTGGTGGTAATTCAACAAGGGAGGGAAGACTGGAGATTATTCACAACGGACGATGGGGTACAATCTGCAGCAATGGCTTTACTAAAGTTGATGCTGATGTTGCTTGTCGTGAATTAGGTAAAGACTCCAGTGTGCTTTTTGCGGACTATGATGTTTATATCATATATATTCATATCTCTAAAGTTAATTCTGCATTCTATAAATTCGACAATTACATTCATTGCCAATAAAATTGACAAAAATTACAATAATATAATTAATGAAATTATCTTAAAATGACCTTAGGTTTTAGCCAAGCCGATTCAGTCACCAGTACCAGTCATTTCGGTTCTGGAACTGGACCTGTATGGATGCAAGGTGTTGCTTGTAAGGGTAGCGAAAAACATCTGAAGGAATGCCATTTTAGCGGTTGGGGAAATAGCAATTGTGCACATACAAACGATGTTGGAATCATCTGTTCTATTCCACCTGGTAACTAGAATTTTAAAATTCCATTGATATAATGCTCCAGTATTTGATTGTGTCGTAGCGTTTAGTTAGGTCATCTCGTGCATTACAGAACCGAAGTACTACTTATAATACAGTATACGTCGACATAGCGACTCAAATAAGATTAAATCTTATATGTTATCATTGTCAACAGTCCGCTTAGCCGGCGGTAGCAACGGTACCAATTATGCTGAAGGAAGAGTAGAAATCTTTCACCGCCAAAAGTGGGGTACAATATGTGACGATTACTGGGATCTTAATGATGCTAACGTAATCTGCCGCCAATTAAAACTTCCACCAGCTTCTGCAGCGCCTAAGAATGCTTTCTTTGGAGCTGGTACTGGCCCTATCTGGCTAGATGATGTCAAATGTACCGGTTCTGAGACTTATATTAATCAATGCAATACGTCTGCTTGGCAATCGCATAACTGTATCCATAAAGAAGATGCTGGTGTTGTTTGTGGAATGAAACGTTAGTAAACGTCAGCCAATTTATTGTATACTATAGGTAGCACGTCTATGCCTGTTCTTGATTCAATAAGTGTTAATATTTCGTTAATATCTTAGCTACCATGCCTTTACCGACGGTTAAACCAATTCAATGTAGCAGCAATCAGAAAGTTTTTACCTGTAAACCCAATGAATGCATACCTATGTTTGGACGATGTGACGGTATTTCGCAGTGTAGTAATGGAGCAGATGAGAAAAATTGTTGTAAGTAGAATCATGCCATTGTTGATGGTACTAATAAATATTGTATGTCGGAAATCTGTTGTCAAAGAAACTGACCACGAATTAATTGATTATGTATTAGTACGATTAAAAACAACCACCAATAATTACACGGGAATGGTTGAAATTAATCATCGAGGCCTTTGGGGTACAGTATGTGATGACTTCTGGAATCTTCCGGACGCTATTGTTCTCTGTCGTCAGTTAGGCTTTAAAGGAGCTCTACAACCTTTGGTTATGGGTCAAGGTGGCCAAGGAAGCGCAAATCAACCTATCTGGTTGGATAACGTTTTGTGTAAGGGCAATGAGACCGATATAAGAAATTGTCAACATAGCCAATTTGGCGTCCATAATTGCGATCATACGGAAGATGCCGGGGTTATATGTGCTAGTGGTACTGGTATGTTTTTATTTTTTCAATAGAATTAACGCCTTAAGTATTTGATTCCTGCAATTTATAAGCTACTTCGTAATACGTTTCTTATCGCTATTTTAGCCGTACCCGTAACACCTACACCTAGTGGCCCATGTCATCATTGGCAATTTGCTTGCGATAATAATCAGAAGTGCATTTGGTTCTTTGATCTATGTGATAATGTAACTGATTGTCAGGACGGATCGGATGAAGCAAACTGTGGCGGTACGTTTCAAGTTATCTATGATTGCATTTTAATGCTATATTTCTGCTACTTTTACATTTTCTTCATTTTAGTAAATATTATTTTTATCACCTGTGGTGTTAGGTTCAACTACTGTTCAACCTACAGGAACAACTACAACGGGTCAGTGTGGGCATGGCCGTTTCAAGTGTCATAACGGCCAGTGCATAAATTCGACATACGTATGTAATAAGCGAGCCGATTGCGCTGACGGATCAGACGAATTGAATTGCGGTTTCAGTAAGTGTAAAATAGCTTTTAATCCAAAAATATACAATAATTAGCTAGATAGAATAGCGTATATGATTCCTAGATAATCTAGAACAAGCCTCATCTAATTAAACCTAATTTTATAAAATTTTAAATTTGCGGTATCATCACAGGCTTGGGTCCAACTCCTTCCCCAGGTTGCTCAGATACACAATTTAGGTGTCAATTCTCTAAAACTTGCATACCCAATGAAGCATTATGCAATGGAATAAACGATTGTACCGATGGATCTGATGAACACAATTGCAAACGTAAGCACTTTTTATACCTAATTCATTTAATTTTAATTTATGGCTTATTAAATGATGCCTTACTTTCTGATATTTAGATCCTCTCTACTTTGTAAGTCAACTGGCAGCTATCAAGATTGCAAGTTACCAAGTTACCTTAGGATGGACGCTAACTAGAACGCCTCAACAATATTCGTTCAAGGTTTATTCAAGGTAAGTGATGGTGTTATTAAAAATATTTATGTAGATAATTTAACAGTCAATATGTCTAATTAAAGGCAAACGCACAGTGGTAAATCTTGGAAGATGGAAGGACAAACATCTAACTTTACCTATGTCGTCAAAAATCTCTCTCCTTTTACTCAATATTCTTTTACTGTTTCGGTAATTGAGCCCAATCGTAATGGTCTAAAGGCAACACCGATTTCGATAAGAACATTAGCTGGAAGTACGTAAATTTACTATTAAATTTGATGATTTCATTACCTTTAAATAAAGATAGTACACTTTATGTGACCGCGTATATTTTAAGAAGTACATCATATTTTATAAATATACGATTTTATGATAATATAGAGCCTGGTTCGCCGTTAAACGTTAAAGCTTCATCAATTCATAGCAGTAGCATTGCTGTTATTTGGATGGCACCGAAGCAATCTAATGGGAATATCCTTTTTTATGGCGTAAATAAATTAATTACAGTTAGATTTTGTATTATAATTCACTGTCGTTAATTATCTATAATATTTCCATTTTAGATTTTCATTCATGGTGGGTCAATTATGTCCAAAGTAATAAAGACTTCTGGTCTGACAAATCCTAATGGTCCAGGACTCCGATATATTATTGATAACCTGCGAGCCAATACTAACTATTACATTCAGGTAATAATTTATGACTTGATAATTTCACTTACTTAATATATCTAAAAATTAAGGTCTAAATATTGCTTTAGGTCGCTGCATATTCTTCAACGCAAGGATACGGGCCTAAGTCGCCACAAATTCAAGTGAAAACTTGTAAGGACCAGCAAAATATTGCATATGGCTTCCTAATAGACAATTATAGATCATTATTTATTGCTAATAAATCAACGCTTTATAATAAAGATACCTATCTTTCATCACAATTTAGCTGTCTTTGAAGCGCCTAGCCGTTTGAACATTAGTATGGATCCTTCCACACTGAAAGTTGTCGTTACGTGGAAACCAGCAGCATCATCAGTTAAAATCCAGGTAATTTTAGCTTAATGCGTGGATAAGCCCTAATGGCATTCATCGTTATGGTTATATATTTACTGATCTATACACATAGTAAATATGTCGGATGTGTTACGAAAACTTCACTTGTAGTCATACTGCAAATGACCAGTTTTGAACTATGATTATTTATTTCAGTCCTATGACTTAACTGTGAGGGCGAACGATCCTTCATCTTGTGTACCTATCAGATACGTTATCGTTGATGCATCTGTTCACACAGCGAATATCAAACACCTAATCCCGGGTATGGAGTATATTTTTAGTATAGCGGCGGTAGCAGACGGTGGGCAAAAGTATTCAGGCAATTCGGAAATTTTTGTGTCCAAAGGGGGTTAGTAATTAGCTATCATATTACTAGATAGAAAATAACCAATGCATATCTTTCGCTGTCTAATATTTGCTTTCGCTGCTAATGCTAATTAAACTTTAATAACCTAAATTTTATATATTTAACTGTAGTTAAGCCTATTCCACGTGATCTCTCCATATCAGCGACAACTAACGCTATTTATTTGAATTGGAAAGAGCCTGTCTTAGCACAAGGAATGAAAATACTTGTACGTTTTCATATGCTAAAGTTATTACTGGCTTTGTATCGTACCTCTAATAGATTTTTTATTCCTTAGAATTATTATGTTCATGAGAGTGTTTCAGAAAATTCTGGATCAAAGGATTACACGACTACTAAGACAACCTTTTCCCGGCCGTTAACGAATACAACCTACCTGTATCGAGTTAGCGCCAACACAAATTTTGGTTCAGGACCTTGTTCTAAATTTCTAACATATAATTACTACCCCGTACCAACAGGTATCAGGATGAGCATATTTGTTACTGATCATGATATTTGTGTACTAAACATCCTAATATAGGTATAAATTAGTCGTGATAACTCAAATGAATATCTATTTAATGGATCATTTCCTATTGTATAGCCGCACCGCAGTCCTTGACAACAATTTTGGAGATATCCTTACCAATAGCCGCGGTTGCTGTCTTAGTATTGATAGGAGCTTGCTATTACTTCAATAGTTCCCGTAGATTAAGAAATCGATTGCAAACATTTGTTGGTAGCCATTTTAGACGAGATACTGACGAAGCAACATTCTTAATGTCTGGAGATGATGACGATGACGTATTGAACGGTAAGCTTGTATCTGTATCTGTTGTTACATGACCTACTACAAGCATTTGTATCCACAGTTGGTGATAGTAAACTTTAAGTTTAAATCAAATCTGCGTATTGACTTAATGTTTTTTAAGTACTTTATTTGATGCCTGGCGATAGTAATTACAACTTTCAAATCATTTTCTACATGCTTTCTCTATGTAGATGACGGCCTTTCTGCAAATGATCCGACGAGTGACGACGATGGATTAATAAGAGCTTAGAAGTTGATTTACATTTAAAAAGTTTCAAGTAGATGCATAACATAGCTCACTTACTATGGAAAGGAAATGTAATTTTTAATAGTATAGTCGATATTCTACATGATCTAACTGTACAATGTGATATGCTTCTCATCTTTTTTTTATATTGGAGATGTGACTATAGCGTTTTTGATGCTTAACATGCTTTATTTTTGAATGTTGTAAAAGTAGTTGAATATATTGTGCTCAATTTGATAATTTACGACGTAACAATAGATTAATAATGTAGTAAAACCACAGTCGCCAAATCTCCGTTTACGATTATATTCTTAGCTCTTTATATCTTGACAAGGTACAAAGTACAACTAACGTAGCAAACACAGTGTTATTACGTCTTTAATGCAAAATGCTAAAATTGTATTGCACCAGTTAACTCGAATAGATTTCTTTAAGATAAAACTACTTTTGTTGTTATCGAATATATCTAGAACAGAGCGTAAGCTTAGAATCTAGTTCAGTGAAATAAACGATAGCCATTATATTTTTTAACACGATTTGGCTACTTAGCTCTCTCCTATGTACATGAATGATACATTTGTGACCCCCATAGTAATCATGAACTGTAAATGAAATGGTGAACTAGCGCAAACTGGAACTATCCGTATATTATTTATGTATGCTTGTGCTATTAGGATACGCATATTTACAGTATATTAATCCCATTTAGACCATGATAGAATTTTGTAATGGTTACCCATAGGGATGAAACCATGGGATGTGTATTCCTTATATACCTTAGTAAAACATTTACATTAAATTCTTTCAATAAATGTCCTGTAAACTGCCCACGCTAACTGTAGGCGCAAAGTGAGGACGCAATAGCCACCATTGGCCTTACAAATACTTGCCATTCACAAAAGGCAATATACGTATAGAATAAGTCCCACTATAACTACTAGTTTATGGTGCTTAAGAAATCATGCACAATACTACCACGGTATATTCAAACTATTTCGGCGTATGAGACTTACGAGCATAGCGTACTAAACTGTATAAATCAGACCATCAGACCCTATGGAAAGTTGGTAAATATTTCAAAGATCAATTAAATAAAATCACAAAGGAAAGCAGTTTATTTCAGTAGTCTTGGGAAAATATCATGAAAAGTCATTTTTATAATAAATAAATTTTTAAAAGTATTTCGGATATATAGCCTTTAAATGTAATAAACTGATACGAGTATAACTGATATTTTTATCCATCGCCATGGTACCAGGTGTCAAAGTTTTAAATAGCAGAATACAAAGTTGCGACTTTTAATTATACTCCAATAAGTTCTAGATCCTTAAATTGGTTGTAATTAGAAAATTTTTGATTGCAATCTATGAAATTATTACTAGCCATCACTTATACATCCTCATACGCAACCAATTATAATAGCTTAACAACACAACAGCCGATATTTTATCCATTACTTTTCATTGGATTATGGTATAAAACACCTACAGTAGATTAATTTTACACCATCCACATTACAAATGAAACAGATTAATAAAATAAATTTAATCATCAGTATCGGCATAATGGTTCATAGTAATTGTAATACTGTAAGATCTTGTGAATGTAATTCAGCCGGTTAGTAAGCATATTTAATTGGAAAATCATATTGAATATGATAAAGACTGTACTTGCATGAGTAAGTATAATAAGCAATCTGACAGCGAAAATTTAACATTGCTACATCAAAATCGTGACTTTTACCTTTTGTATAGTTAAAGGAGCAGGTATAGGCATAATAATAAAATCATTGAGATAAAAATTTTAAAGCAATAATTCCAGATCGATATAAGACTAACTACTACAATTTTACACTTGAAACAATAATTCTAAGAAAATGATCTCATTTATACCCTTTAAAGAAAGCAATCCAATTTTTAATTAATCCTAGATCATATATGTTTTCTTTTGTTGGTTGACCAAATTTATCAAGATAATGACCAATACGTCGCGCACAACGCCATTCATAACTTGTGACATTGGTACTTATCAGTAATATTTGATAGCAGAGAAGAGATCCAACACTTGTTGTAGCCACACAACTATATATAACTGAAGCCATTACAATAGCAGACCTAAGGATATGTACGAAATTTTTGATAAGAAATTTATTACTCACCAAAACACGCATGATATTATTTCTAGCCGAGTAATAGTTAATCGATTTTAGGGTAATACGGAACCACTTCAAGGAGTTATAGACGTTACCATGATAATCATTTACTGAAATTGTTTAAATTGATTTTACGAGATACAAACTACGTATTTACTGTAGACATCAATAATCTTACCAATCTTCTTCGTAAGCATACTGACAATTTGGAAGCATTTTATCCCAGACACAGACAGTATCCAAACTAAAATAGATGCCACGTGAAGCTGTATAAAGAAATACAAGTAAAAGTAAAACAAAGAGCCTTCGATTGCCTTGCCCAACACAATTATTAATCCTGAAATGTAAAAAACAAGTGTTATCTAATGCGATAGTTTGAATTTGGTACATTTGATGTTGAATACTTATAAATATTGATTTTAAGTTACAATTTTTCACTTCAAAAATGCGCACTATTGCACTTACCAGACGCAGTGATGATCAAAATGTTTTACACATTTGTGGCAAATTCTACAAAATAGAAAGCAATCAATTATATTGTGTTAACTTATCCAAGATTTGCTGTATTACAACTAGATGACGAATAATTTGAATCCTACGTCAGCAATAACTATGATTATTATTCGCTCAAGTAAAGGCCAATTTTATATCGTGTACTCTCAAATAGTTTGTATGTTTTAACTAAATTACATTGGATATTATTATATCATGGAAACTAGTGGTCATCATTTGTAAAGGTGATGAGTGAGTTTAATGACAGGAAAGTACCGTGACTGGGCTCTTGTGCTGTTCTATCCAGAAATCGTGATTTGTACCGTAGCCTTACTATGAAATATTTATTGTTAAAAAATTTATCATAGGAATGTAACAAAATAGGATGATCTACTATGGCAGTTTTAGGGGCTGTAAAAACTACTTGCAGCTCAAGTAGAAAGATTCCAATTTAAATGTTCTATACGCACAATACAGAATTTTATCTAATATTAACGTCTAGCAAAATTTTCTTACCCACAGTGGTGCGATCGCCGAGGCATCTGAACATGACATTCTTGACAAACTTTCAATAAATTATTATCGTACGTATCCTGATTATTATGATCGACATAATTGCCAAGCTTGGCCCCTTTACGTTTGGGTTTAATTCTACCAGGATTACGTAAGCATAAGATAAAAATAATTAACGTCATCACTAAGCCAAGGGAGACTTCAGCAGTCTTGTCAAGACTACAATTTGGAGTAATATAGCGCAAGTAGGCAAATAGCATTCCCAATACTATAATTTAAGAGAAAAAAGAAGTTCAACATACATTATACAAGTTTCACGATAATGACGATACTTTGAGTTTTCTTATTTTTCATCGTCAACATTCATTTCCAACTTTCGTATCATTACAATATGAACAGGTAAAATGTTGTAATCAAGATAGTTTAATTGTTGTAGTATATTATATCTACTACGTGGTTTAAAGTTGATTTTAATCAAACTTACTACTAGAATACGATGTACGTATTAGGCATTTTAATGAAATGATGCCATTGGTACAGAAACAGGTTTGACTGAATAGTACATTTTACTTACTGGATGTTAACGTCCAGCTTAGAAAAAATGGCGTCCTTTTACGACCGCTAATGATAGCGCTATAATAGATAAACATCATCAAAGGAAAAAGGGACGTTATCATGCCTACGGTCGTATAAAAGCCAGAAGAGGCTACTTTTAGCATACAAGGTAAAATAATCATGGGTAATATTGTTGATAGTGGAAATCGTCGAGCTCCACGTCCGTCTAACCAGGGAATTCGTATACGATCATGCATGACTTCTAACAATTGAAGGAACTGATCTTTCCCAGCCCATTTACAATGGATAAATCCTTCGCAAATATCATCTAATACTTGGCAATCGCAAAGGGCTTCTAATAAATGGCTGCGTTGTCCACGACTGTTGAAATATTCACAACAGCATAAGATTTGTCCTTCTTCCAATTTATTGATTTGATCAAAATCCATGTTAATAATACCTTTCTCTATGGTTTGTTATTATTATCAAACTCTTCTCGAGCAAGGTTTCCAGTATCGACAGTGGTAACTACGGAAAGAAAGGCAAAATTAAAACACTAACTTAATCATCTATCCTCCAATTCCAATAGGATCAGGTTTAGCTCTTGATAAAATACCCCCAGAAGCATACTAATAACTTACTTTTGCTCACCAACCTTCAATTCAGCCCGTCTACTTGATCCTCGTTGATCAATTTAATCTTGTTTATTGATCTTTACAGATAGCCAAGTTACCGATGCAACTCGATCATGAAATAAACAGCAACATTAACAGAAAGACTCTCTTCAACTCAGTCATTTATCTTATTGCAGGCTAGTTTGGATTTATCCTAGTCGATAGGATACCATCGACAAGATGATGCCAATGATGCAAATCTTTACACTTTCAACCGGTCTAATTTGTCGTTTATTGTTTGGATTGCGATGGTTCCAGGTAAGATATCTTCCTATAATCCACTCTATCTTGTCCTTGTTAATAGCCTTAAATGGCAACTTAGAAGCTATGCGACAGATGCACCAATTGAAGCAGTCATTAAACGATGGGATAATTGACAACGTTAGCAGCAATGCTTACTTATGGCCAGTTATGGCTTCCACCTTTCGATGGAATGAGAAAGAAGAAATTTTTTCTTGATGGGTGGGATTGGACTTACTACAGTCGCAAATGGACTAGAGACTGTATCTCGCGGTTTAGTACTGTACAGGATGTACTGTAGCGTATGGTACCATGATAGCATGACCTCTGGTCCGGAAGAGTACGGTACGGGGCGGCGCGGACCGGTACGGACGGTGCGGTACGCATTTTTCCGGGTCACTACAGTACAGTACAGTATAACTGTGTGTACTGTACACTCAGTACTGTACACTGTAATAGGGTAATAAGGTAAGCAGTAACTGTAGTGCGCAAACAGTACCAAACATTGATTGTAGTGTGTGAAACAAATGTCGTATAAAAGCAAGAATATATACATTCTACACTGACAAAAACCCTTTAACATGCGACATTTGTTTTAGACATGAACGGATGCTGTTCGTTGGGCCGCCATTTACCGGTCTAAGGGTCAGTAATGAGGGTCACGAAGTCATACGAAACCATGGAGATATTCCCCCCAAAATTGAGGACGTTTCTATGGACGAAACCCACAAGTTCTATCATCAAGAATTGATCTCGACATAGACAGAATGACATTAGAACTGTCCATTTTCTTCTTGATTTACACTTATGGACTGCAAAACCCCCATCGAGAAAAAATTCGCTGTAAACCTACTGCAATATACTGTAGATAGTACACACTATCGCGTCGAAACCAATTGATCATTTTCTCTTTACACTTTGCATCATTTCAGCAAAGTGGATGAAGAAATCTTGATAAACACGAAAGAGCACTGCAGTTTCGATAGATTACATTGATCTAGTCATCGACAACATGACGGTAGTCTTTAGTAGCACTACTCGTTCCGTTCAGAGCTTTGAGGTAGAACGCTGATGGGTTGCCAGTAAAGACTGTTTGGTATTATCGTGGGCTTGTAGAAAAAGATCTTTTCTACTACGTAGTCCATGACTAGAAGCCTTTTCTAGCAGTTTATGACTAGACTAGAGCTCTTCTCCAGTAGTCTATGACTAAAGATGAGAGATCTTTTCTAGTAGTTTAGGAGGGAGCCCGCACTATATTTATTTAGTGGACACAGTACTAGAAGAAGACCTGGACTGATCATTCCTCAGATGGACGGACTTTTTTAACCAAATGAGGCCGCCACTGCACTGTCGAAAAAATAGACTGCTGTACTTAGTATGGATCTTCCGTGTCTGCTTTCCTAAATCACTGGCACTATTTCAATAATATTCAAGATCTTATATAGCTATTTTCAAGCAGAACTTTAGCAACGGATAATAAGATTCAACATGATATGATTACATAATTTAGTAAAAATCAGTCCATTGGAACCATCTGCATACTGAAGTAGTATCATAACGAAGTGTTTGGAGATCAGGACGAATGTGTCTGTCCGTCCAAGAGTGATTCGCCAAGGCCTAGTGTAGTCTAATCCCTTGGTAGTTGGTACAGTACCAGTATAGCAAAGTGGATAGCTGAATCTAGCTCGCTCTGTCGCCATAGCAACGACTTCACGACAACAACGTTCCGATTTTAACCGTATCTGACTAGATTAGAGATCAATATTACTGCTAGTCTTATGCATAGAAAAGCTCCATCGCATCAATTGAAATTAGCCATAGCAGTAGTCAACTTGAATGATAGTAGACGAGTCAAGAAAGATTAATTATTACCTGGAATACGCGGTATAATCATGGCTGATAACCATGTTCAATCAAGTAGCAATGTCGAAAACGACACCCATTCGCATACAGAAGAAGAGAAGCCTGTAGACGGTCCATTGGACGAGGCATCCCATCAAGATCATTCACCAACAGTGGATACAGATGATACAAGTACAACTCCAAAGAATGATATACAGGATTCAACCCATCCCACACAAGAAGTACTAATGGATAGCAATCAAGATAATTCTACGCTTGCCGTTCAATCCGATGATACTCCTGTTCAACCAGAGACACCAGGATTAACTTCTACTACTGAACAATCACCTACTACAGATCAAGATAATCCATCATCAACCGATAATAATAACGCAAGTACATCCCAACATGATAACGCACCTAATACAGATCAGGGCCAAACTAAACAGGCTGAAGATGTAAAAGAAGACCATCAAGCAAGTGCCCATGACAATAACCCAGGGGAGAATGTTCAACGAGACGATAACGCAAATCTGCAAGAAATCAGTCTCCCACAAAGTGTATCTGCTAGTCCTAGTAAGCAGCAAATATTTTCAAAATATGATGCTTACCTCAAAGATGACTCAGATGATGAAAGAGAAAAGCAAAAAGCCACCAAGAAAAAATCTTCCGACGAAAACAACTCAGATGAAGACAACGATGAAACAAGCGATGATGAAGCAGAACATAATTCACCCAATTCACAAGAAAATCAAAATAGTCATGATAAAGAGGTAGTACAAGATGAAAATATGCAAGAAGAAGAAGAAGAAGAGGAAATATTACCAGATGATTTCTATTATGATAACAATGAATTAGAATCCAAGCCTATCTCGACTTCTAATTATCCTAGTAATTTCATGGATTTATTTCATTCTTTTGGTTACGAATGTACTAAAGCATCCAATCTCTTTATGATGGATACTCAACACGTTTTATTCTCTGCCGGTAACTTTGTACAAATACTAAATTTAACGAGTGGCCAGCAACAGCATATACGAACAACGGGAGGCGGTGGTATTGGTGCTATTGCTGTTCACCCTGAGCGAGAGTTCTTCGCTGTTGCAGAACGTGGAATTAAACCCAATATTAACGTCTATCATTATCCTTCGCTTCGGTTGCATCGTATACTTCGATGTGGAACTGAACATGCTTACGCTCATATCGATTTCTCACCAAGCTCTGGTATACATCTTGCATCAGTTGGCTGCTCTCCTGATTATACCCTAACTATTTGGGATTGGAAAAAAGAAAAAATTGTCTTACGCACCAAAGCATTCTCACAAGATGTCTTCAATGTTACATTTTCGCCAGAAAATGAAGGCCACTTAACGACAAGTGGTACTGGCCATATCAAATTCTGGACTATGGCAGAAACGTTTACCGGTTTAAAATTAAAAGGTTATATTGGTAAATTTGGGCGAACACAAATTAGTGATATTATTAGCTACGTTGAATTGCCTGACGGTAAAGTCTTATCTGGAACCGACTGGGGTAATATGCTAGTATGGGATAATGGCTTAATTAAGGTACAAATCGGACGAAAAGCTAAAAAGTCATGCCATATTGGTAGTATTGAAGGATTTTTCTACGATGAAGGTGAACTAATTACCATCGGAAATGATGGTTACATTCGTGTATGGGATTTTGAAACAGTCGATTCCGCAGAAGTAGGAGAAGAAGGACAAATCTTTGAAATGGAACCTATGTATGAATTAAAGGTTGGCCAAGATGTTAAACTGAAATCGATGGTAAAATCTGTAGATACAAACTTGGCTAGTATTTGGTATGGTCAAGATGCTAGTGGTGGAATATGGAAACTTGATTTATCCTTTTCTCACACAACTAAACCACCTGAGAAACTGTTTTCTTTTCATGCTGGTGAAATTACTGGCATGCAAACATCACCAAAACATCATATGGTAGCTACAACTGCTGAAGATCATACGGTCAAAGTCTATCATTATATAAAGAAGCAGCAATTGTGCTCATCAAAATTTAATTCTAGCGGTACTTGCCTACTTTGGTTACCAGAAAGTGTTGATCCTCTTGGAGTATCGGTCTTGGTTGGATTCGATGATGGGATAGTTCGTGCATTGCGCATTGCAAAGAAATTAGATGAAGGAGCAATTCAGCGTCGAATTCGATCACCTAGTGATATTTCAAGCACTCAAATTGCATTAGAACAAGTCATGAAGCCTCATAATTCCTCAGTTACTTGCATGGCAATTGATAACACTGGCGACATTCTGGTTACAGGGGTAAGCTTCGAAATGCCTTTTATTTATATTAACAATATTACGTACTGCTTCATGTGTAGAATACTGCTTATCAGCATAGAGTATTAGATATTACGAAAAAATGTAATAATGAATCATAACAGTGATATTATGCCCTAATTGTAATTATACTCTATTCAATTTTTACTATTAATCTAATTTTAAGACGTTGATTTATAATCAAATAATTTATTCTTTCGTTAAAAATACGCTCATCTTTATTTGAAAATATTATTAGGGAGCCGATTCGTCCATATTCTTCTTCGCTATCCGTGATACTTTCCAGGCTATCGGATTTATTAAAATGCCTTGTCCTGTAGTCTCGATTGCATGGGCACCTGAAAGCCATGTTAGTATAGCACTATAATAACGCATAAAATCAATTTATATCAAATTGATGATATTAATGTAACTACAATAAGCATCTCTTCATTACTTGATTAAATCATTTTCTACAGAAAAAGAAAGTCGTCCTAGTGTGTTGTCAAGATGGTATTGCTTTAGAAGTAGTAGCCCCAAAACCTAATACTTATTCAACATCTAAAACTTATCAACTTCCAGAAGAAGCAATTAAAATTAGGCAATTTAAATTTCACACCATTAAAAAGAAGCTACGTGTAAGCATAATACAACATTGTATACTAAGTTTATTTCAATCATTGACTATTACGATATTTATCACCATCTACGAACCTTTAACGTATTATTACTGTATTTATAGATAGCAGAAGCTGAAGAGATTAAAAAAGCTGAAGAAGAAGCTAGACAAAAAGCAAAAGAAGAAGCAAGAGCTCTTAGAAGAGCTAATGGTGAAGAAAGCGGGTAAAATGTCATGATAAAAGAATTATTCTTACTACAACTAATATGTTAAGAAATAAACTGATAAATAATAGATTTAATTGCATAAATTAAAATACATTAAAGCTAGATATAGAATGAATAAAAATAGATGTGAGTATATACATATACGACATGATGTGATGTGAATAGATATAAAATAAATATCTTATTTCTCTTCGACGTAATAATTGAATGTGTTCACTTTTTAATATCGGTAATAGTGAAGAAGAAGAAGACAATGAGGAAAAACAAGAGGATACCGCAGCAGGAGAAAAAGGAAAAGAAGAGGAAGAAGTAGAAGAGGAATCGGATAATGGAATACGGACAATTATTCGTGGATTCTATGCGGATGAAATTGACCATTTCTGGCTATCAATGGTAAAGCAATCACAAATATAAGGAGTAATGTCATATATTTCTTGATCTAGTATTAGTTATTACCAATTAAGGTAGTGTGCATTATAGAGTGATGTTATTAAAGTTGTCCATGTAAGCCTGTACGTATAAAATAGGCAAATTAGTTTTAAAGCATCACTTTCAGGTTGTTGCTAAAATAATACATTAACCTGACAGTACTAATGAAATATAGAAATGTTTTTACAAAAATTAGGTTTTAAAATATTATCCTCGGAGAGTTGATGCAAATTTTATTTTTTTATAGGGAGGATACGATGCTGGATATCTTTATAAATGTAAAATGGAATCATATGAAGAATGGCAGGCTAGAATTCAACAGAAAGAACCTGATAATCAAGATACAAATGAAGTCGATCACTTTGGTGAGCCAGTTAAGGCTATTCCAGTTACTGATAGTAACGATTCTCCTATCCGATCTCTTCATTTGAGGTGAGTAAACATAATACTAAAACTATTCTTCCAATCCAATAATTATATATAATAGCTTTAATTCTAGATCTCTTAATAGCTGAGTTAATTATCGTTTCACTTTTGCATATTGATCATTAAATCAGCCGTGATGGAAAGCTGTTGATACTTGGTTTCGATAATGGTATTGTTCGCTGTCAGCCGCAAGAAAATGCAATAAAAGGGAATCAATTACCTAGCGATATCCCAGAATTGGCTGATTATTGGTCCCTCTCGATTCACGATGGCTTCTACGGACGCGTGACTAATATTTGTTCAAGTTTTGACAAGAAATATATCTTAACCACTGGTAGCGATGGCAACTTTTTCGTTTTTGCCCATAACGAAATGGATACCGTTGACGGTGGAAAAATAGATTCTATGTCAATGGTAATGGCTAGCTTGATCTTTATTCCCTACAAATTTTTAATGCTATGGCAGTAAATCATCCATTTTGACACTCTATATAAAATTCCGTGTAACTTAATTTCTTTCCCTTTCACTTGTCACAGTCAATCATGGAAGGCGATAACCGCATGGAAGACATTACTGACCGTTCAGCTTATAGGTAATAAGAATCAACTTTTTGATTTTTAATAGCCGTCATTTCCTCTTGCTTATTTCATAATTCTAGCAGTTTCTAATTTGACAATATTTTAGATGTTAATTATATAACCAATGTCAGAATAGTTAGTGCTTGATAAACTATTACACCCTGTATCTGCTGTCATTTAAATGCTCAGTTAGTTACCGTATTTCAACATTTCTACCTAGAATAAGATAGAAGTCTTATATTTGAACTTTGCATATATGTTATTCTGATTTCTTACTTTTATTCAATTCCATTTTCACCATTTAATAAACCAACAGCTTAGAAGATGCTAAACAAAAATCGGAATATGACAAGCGATTAAAAGAAGCTGAAGAAAAGAAACAGGTAAATACACATATAAGATCAACTTTAGCCTGATATTGATAATCCACTTCATAATCAAGGCTAAATACTAGTAGTCTGTGAAATTAACGCCATTTCCTGTTCTTTTTGCTCACAATCTAAACGAAATAATAGAATGTTCGAAATGAAATGGCGAACCTTCGCTTACGCTTCAAGAAAATTCTTAACCGCAATAATGACTTACCGACAAAATTGCAATTGAAGAGAACGGTATATAAATGATGAGATAGCAAATAGTGTATATAGACTGGCTATTAAGTACCCTTAGGGTATAGGCTAGATTTTAAGATATAAAGTATTTAGATCTACTATCTACGGCACCAATCTATCCAAGCTTAGCCGACGTCTCTGCTATATATCATTGAAATTTAATAAAATTCTAACATAGTTCAAAGTTTTATCCGGCCTTACGAAATCGATAAATCTGTAATCATCCTCTAGAATGTATATTAAAAATTTGTTGAAGCTAATTTTCCTTAAATTCAAATATCGCATTATCCCCATTTCTTTATACTCCTATGCGGATATACTGGACTCATTTCTATCATCCAATTTGCATCTATAATTATTACTCTTGAAAGTTACTATAGCATTTTTAATACAGTATGATATCGAAATATTAGTGTACAAATGAGTAGTTAGACTTCATCAGTATCATCAATTTATATCTTTGTAGCTAGTATATCAATAATTGAGAATTTCCTTTTAAAAATATACTTTTATTATATAGGAATTCGAACTGGATCAGTTAGTTAAGGGTGATATTGAAAAGCAAAAGCAGGAAAAAGTAAGTCATTTTATCTTGTAACAGAAAAAATTAAACTAATTTGTTATGATAACGATGGTAATCCTGTCTATTTCTTACGATTGCTAATGATTACAAGTATTTACTTCTTAAAAATGGAAGATTAACTTGATATATATATATATTATCATTTTGCGCTAATTTCAGATTAAGTTAGTCCAAAAACAATTAGCGTGGGAATCGGAGAAAATGGACGTTACCTTGCGAAAATTACAATCTAAGTTAGTCAGCTCTACTACTCTTGTATTACTACGGCTTAATAACAATGAAATTATAGACTAATAGCTACCAAACACAAAATGATATGATAATATTCTCACTTTCCTTGCTTATCTATGTTACCTCGATAGATTTAAAGATGGAATCGAAATAGAAAGAATTCTTATTAAAGGATTTAAGAAAGGCTATAATGTCAGTACCTTTCGTTTGGCTTATTCTAACGCTGCTGATCAAGAAGATTTTAAAGATAGTATTCATCGAGCTGTCACCGAAGGCGGTGAAAACCAAGAAACAGCAACTCGTGAGAGAACTAAAAGTCAAGCTGCCAGTATCAGTGGTAAAAAACGACGGATAAAATCTCGAGTAAGTAGCTTAATTTAGACAGTTGTTCGTTAAAGTATTAGTCTTCATCGATGATATTTTAGCCTTGATACTAACTAAAATTTATTAAATGAACTATACTAGGGATCGGCAACATCTACACGTTCTGATCGGCGGATGTTAGGTAAAAAGTCTGTGTCTAACTTTACTAAACTGCCTAAAGCAGAGCAGCGAAAGAGAAAGAAATTAATCCGTCAACGTGAGGTAAAACAGAAACACCTCTGAGATAAAATTAGTTACGCATTTAATTGCAATCTGATCCGATAGCCTTGTAAACAGTAGATTAACATTCATGATCTACTTAAATTTATGCCAACATAATTTTTGTAATGCAATCGCCCATTATAATATCCATAATTAGAAAATGTATAACGGCAACTTATTATTTTTAGTGGGAAGAATTAGAAAAGAATAGGCCATCAGAAGACTATGAAGATCCTGAGCTCGTTGATGCAATTAAATTTGCGCGCGAGAATATGGGCGATTTTAAATTGAAGACTGCTACAGATTATGTTGTTCCAGAAGATCAACGTTTAACAGCAAACAGAAAGCGCGAGGAATTAGTTCTTCTCCGTAATCGAGTAAGTTCTTGTTCGAGCTAAGCCAGATAAACCTCCTTTATGTAAAGATTCTGTCCTTTTATCTCTATCGACGATTATGACCATCCATTCCTTCTCTATTCTATGCATGGGTGTTAACGAAATCATAAATTTAATCCTTTAAAATGCGATATTTCACACATTGACGGCTACAACTACGTAGCCAGTGTATCGATATGCGCATTTGTTGCATACTTGCTACCTAGACCTTCCTGATTTTGATAGACCTTGATATCATTCATTCTTTCATAGCATGAATAATAATATAGGTAGAGATACCTACTGAATTAAGCTAGTAGTAATGTGGCATGGCAAAGATATATCATTATATGCCATACTTGTTCGATATACAATATACAATAGATAATTGCAAAAGGTATCGGCCCTTTAAGAATATTTACGAATTAAATGCAATCCTCTAATTCTTACTTTGTTTCCTTATAGATTTATCGGCATAAGCGCGAATTCAATTTAAAAGTTTTGAGATTAAGAGAGAAGAAGAAAAAAGTTATTAAAACTGTTACGATGAAATTGAACCAATTGAAGGATATCCAAAATCAGTTGGGAAACCAAAAATCGGTGCATCTGATGGATGCCCCTAAACTCGATATCGAAGAAGAACCGGAAAGGTAAATTAAACTTATACTGCCTTACTGTCATCACTACGATGACTATGACAGTTAATTACCGCAGAATAATTAAATTTAATAAACTAGCATAATGGTTAATTAAGGAATTAAGCGTTAAAAAACCTATAACTTTGCTACACGACCATTCCGAATATTAATCTATATAATACGGAATAAACTAAATATACCAATTTTTTACCAATTTCATCCCATATAGGCGATTTGAATATACTAAAGAGACGCTGATTAAATTTCAAGAAGATATGGCAGAAAAGGAACGATTAGAAATGGCTGTAGCGGCTTCTGAAGAAGGCGCTCTATTTGGTGGTTTACTAAGTGCATTTCCTAGTGGGGCCAATAACGAGGCTTCATCATCACAGACAGCAAATAATGAAAGTAAAGAAGCAAATACTAGAAGCAATGCTATGAGTTTCACTAGTGATACTCGAGCTTCTCGAGCTTCTTCTCGAAATTCTCAAATTGAGACTGAAATATTGCGTTCACGTGGAGCATCTGTAGAAAAGATTATATCAAAATCTCCATTAGAAGAAGAATTAGAAGCAATGAAAGAAGTCAGGTAAAATATACGGAACTCATTTTATGAACGACATATCTAAAAATTTAGGAATAATTCCCATTCGCTAACCTAGAGTAAATCGTTAGAAATATTCATATTCATTTGATATCCTTCATTACCATCATTCATACAGCTACAATCTCTAGATTAATACACTAAGAAGTAAAGCTTAACCGTAAAGAATTATCACAGTGTCAAGACGAAATGATATAATATTTTATCCACAGCTTCTGAATAATAGTAAAAATGAAATGACTTTACGCCAAAATTTCAATCTCTACATATAATCTTTGCTATATTACCACTGTAATATTAAGAATTACACTACACTATGATTTAATATGTAATACCAGTTTTACCCTTAAATAATGATTTTGGTGATATTTGAATTAATTTTAAAGTAGTAGAAGAATATATTCTTATTATTTATAATTTTATATAATATCTCTGCTTAAATCGATAGTACAACTTAAAATTATTTAAGTAGCGACAATGGTATATTCTATTGTTAATATTTTTGAATTAGAGGTAGAATATTTGTCATGTTTAATGATCTATAAAAAGCACTGTTAATCTGTCAGATAAACTGATCGATTTCCAATTAATAACCTCCTTTTGACTTTTATAGATTAATCTATGAACGTGATAGCTTGATTGAAGAAATTGAAAATTTATTGAACGAATTTGATGAAGAATTAGCGGAAATTAGAGAACAGAAAGCCAAATTAAGCGTCAAATTAAAGAACGCTGACATCAAGTACGATTCTTTTGCTTACATAAATCGTTACATACATATACGAAACAGAGGTTTGGATAGTTATTCAGGCTATCCTACTATAACATAAAATATAAGAATAATTTTATGGCTACAAGTATCGTCGATAGTTCTACTGTCGGTGTATGTTGTTTGATAATTGTCTACACTTTAAATTTTCAGATATTTAACATTGTTTAAAGAGCTTGCTTTACTAAAAGAATTTGAGAAGAGTGAAAATGTTCTAGCTGATCGCGTGGATGCTAAAATGGATGAAAAAACAGATATGCAAACTAAAGTAAAGATTGCTCCGATAGCTCGTTAGAATAGGGTTTATTCAGTAGGAAGTTTAAATAACTAACCTATTCATTGTTAAACTACAAAATATAGGTAGAAGAATGCTGGCAAAAATACGAAGCTAAAAAGAAGGATATTGAACGACTTCAGGAAAAAGAGAAAGCTCTGCATCAATCCTTTCAAACTTCATTAGGTGACAATAATAAATATGCTGAATTTTTGACCAAGTTATTCAAGAAAAAAATCAAAAAAGTCAGAAAAAAAGCTAAAGATAACGCAGGTAAACTATTCCCTACGGCATTAAAAATGTGAAATTTTATCTTAATTGATCTTTCATCCGTAATACTATTTATAACTAGAAAATTCTAAACAATCTTTATCATATAATCTACTAGATTCCGATGAAGAAAGCGATGACGATGATGATGATGATGATTTCTTATCTTCTGAATCAGAAGACGACGATTCTGAAGATGAAGTCGATTATAGTGTCTGCCCTGCAGGCTGTGATGAGGTATACTATCAGGCAATTAGTTGGACTACATCTTGTTCGTCCTATAGATGTAATAAAATATAGATACGAACAAATATAAGTTTAACAATTTCATGGAACTATTTCGTACCTGTCTATTCCAATCTCCTGCTAGTCGTAATATGCGCCATTGATTTCATAATTAAAGTATTCCTCTGTAGTGCAATCAACATCAATTATTACTCTAAACATGATATATTTTGAAAGTACTTATCTATATCAAGCTGATTAGTAATGATCTTCCCACATTTTTTATTTTCATTTGACGTATAAATGATGGTCTATCGTAGGAATTATTCGATGGAACTATGAACATCAGGGAAAGACGACAAGAAAATGAAGAGCAACTAGTTGAAGAAAAGAAAGCCTGCGAATTGTTAAAGAAAGAGCATGATAATTTAACTAAAAAATTAAAAGCTATTGATGCTGCCTTAAAAGCAGCACAAGGAGAACTAGAAAAATTCCAGGTAATTAATCTTGTGTTACTTATTGTAGATGGTATTAACGGATTAAAATATTGCTATACAAATGCTACAAATTGCTTCTTGATTAGCTGATATTGCAAATATTATAACAATTCTTACCACATTCAAATTTCAGTTAATTCGATCGGTGTTAAAGTTCTTGCAGCTAATATAACTTAGTTCTGCGTAATCTCTCTTCCCTACAAAACATATAATCTACGCTCTTAATTGTAGCGATACCTGAATTATTTTAATTAAATCTTCTATAGTTGGAAAAACAACAGAAACTGAATGAATTGGATGTTGTAGTTACCATTCATCTTGATCAAATTCAATACATCGTTAATGGTACCTTACCTCGCGATTTATCGCAATGTTTGGTGTTCCGAAAATCAAGCCAAAGTAAATTACGTGAGAGAATTGAAGAACTCAAGTCTGAAAAACAGAACCAGCGGCGCCTATTTAAGTATGTTTTTTAGGCTGATTATTGCTCTACCTTTAAAGTGCTATTAACATATCACTAATAACACCTAAAGTACCGTGTATAGTATATGTTTAGTATTGAGAGAAAAAACGTCTAAGTAAGTTATTTATACTATCTTAAATATTTTAAATTAAGAAAAACATTCAAAAAATCATTTTTATAAATATTAAGTTGGATTAAAATTTTGTCCGTAGATACATGTAGTTGGTTATTAATAAAGATTAGTTTAGTCGGTGATATATATATATATATTTATCTCAAGTAAGAATATTTAGTGGCGCAAGCAAATTATCATCTAGTTTTACGTTTATCATATATAAGAATATGATACGCCCAAAGAAAAGAATTCGATCACCTCCTCATTTTTCTAGCCTTAACATGATCTTATTACTTTCATCTTATAGAGAAGATAGGCAAAAATTCGCTTTACTAACTAAAGATAAAAAAGTACAAGATGCGAAGGTAAGTTCAATTCACCCAATAGATTTCGCTAATAGCATGACAATTTTCCGCTTTGGATATATCGAATTATTGCCTAGATCATTTGGCATCAAGTAGTTAATATCAAATTCTCTCGCTTAGATTAAAGAACAAGAGGAAGAGGTCAACGAAATGCAATTACTTAAATTTGGAAGAATCATCGATTTGGATAAATTGGACAATGTTACCGTCAATAAAGGAGCTGAAGAATTAAAAGAAAAATTGCGATATTTCGAAACAGAGTATGATAGAGAAGTAGCAGATTGGGATGTAAGTAAATAAAATAGCTCCTACTTTAATTCTTGAATCTATTCTGGATGATTTCCTATAAAAGACTGGAGTGATGTGCCAGTAATTTATATGTAACAGTTTATTCCAAATTACAAGGCGCGTAATTGATTACTATACTTTAGTACCCTAGTTGATGCGCTCATGCAAACAGCTATAAAATATTACTACTGTATAATACTGTACGTATACTGTATCATTTTATAAAACTTGATAACAATTTATGGCATAAGGAAAAGCATAATGATACGCTAAAAGTCCATTCAATCTCCTCTCGATTTTAATATCGTTTTGTAACCTCATCCCTTTCCTAGAAAAAAATTGAAGCTGAAAAGAAGTCTTTAAATGCAATGATGCACGAAAATACAGCTATGCTAGATAAACTGATGGGTATGGTGCAAGAAGGCAACGAGTTGGAATCATCGCTAAATGCTTGTCAGACTGGCTTGGTTAGTACTTGTTCATAATTTAGGGCACGATAATGTTTCATATACGACCATGATAAAGTACACTTCAACATTAGGTGACTGGTAATTTGATTCGTTTTCGTTTGGATATGATTTATTAGGGTGCAAACTATCATAGCTTACATAAAGCTGATAAACGTGAAAGATGGCGTCTTAAGCAATTAATTGAATTACAGTCACAAGAAATAGAGGCATTAAAAACTGAAATTCATCAGCTGTCTAGGAAAGATGGTCAAGTTTTACCCCCTGCTCAAGGCCCAACGATGCAAAAATCACAACCGTTACCAGCAATTATTCAAAAATAATCTATTGCGCATAATATACTATTCGCTTAAGCAACATAAGCTAAACTCAAAGACAAAACAGAATATAGAGTTAGTGCAACATTATCTGCTTTAATTGTAAGCATGGATACCGTTAGAAGATAAGACTGTGATGTAACATTTTACTGTAAATTTAATAATGAAAGCGCCATGTATGAATTTAATTATCGTTTGGCTTATTCTCACTGATTACGGTCAAAATTAAAACTTAAATCTATGTATTATTTGATATGATCGGCTAATTTTATACTACCATGTCATATCGTGGAAATGAACATCTTCTGTGCTATTTTGAAATTGCCCTTAATAGCTATCGATCACGTTTTCGTACTTCAATAGCAGCAATGTTATCTTATCATAAGCAATTACAACTTGTAAAAATATTTACTTTTTAAGTATAATTACTTTTAATAAAATATTTTATAATTATTACGTACGGTCTAATATTTGTCGTTCACGCTTAAATGATAGTTTTGACAACCTACGGTAATCTGATTATTGGTATAGCTAGCCTGTGGTCTATCCTATTTATATTATGATACAGCTTAACAGTTTTACTTGATTTAGATTAATGGCAAAAGCGCTTTGTAAAGATTGCTACTATAGTTACACTGAGTCTAAAAAAATGAATATTATAATAGTACCGAGTAAAATACAGTATAAGAAAAAAAATAAGATTATTTGTAGATGTATTTAATAAGTATATTTATAACCATCGATAAACTGATAATCCGGTATCTTATAGTGCTCTTTCGTGACAATACAAGATATATCCATTTAAAAATATGTCGCATGAGTAAGAGATTTGTACACTAAGATATTTAATCACGCTACATTCAATAATAAAAGCCAACGTGTTAACCGCTGGAAGCTTTTCAGATTTTATTACAAATGCAATCCGTGTAGTAAATTGGACCTATAAAGTACAATAACATAGCTAACGCTGTGTAATTTAGAAGTTACAGGTAGGTTGCTAAAGCGGCCATTATAAAATTATAAAATAAACATTGTCAGAGTAAACAACGATTGGATGAAGGTATGATACAAGATATTTACAGTAGTGATCTATCCTTAAGCATTTTTAACATCAATTAATCCATAATTTGGAATACGCCTAACAAAATGGTTTAAAATCGAGCGTTTTCAATTGGATATGAGGTATATGACAGTTGCAAACGAAATGAATAAATGGCATTATTTCAGGCTATTACTACAAACAGTGGCAAGATTTATCTAAGTTACATCGATACTAATGGTAATTACTGGGTAGACTATCTTATTGAATTATCATTTTATATAGTATTAGTTGGTATATTAGCATTATATTGTTGATTCTTTTCCGCTGCTTCCAAGGTACGTTGTAAATTGAGATCAAATAATTCTAACCTAATATAAAATTAAAATAAGATTGTCATGATTACACATAATTTGACAAAAGGATGATTATTGCGAGTTATGGAATTTTCACAAAGTTTAATAGGATCTATCACCAAAAGTTTCATATTATGAGACCATATGTAAGCGATTAGAGTAAAATACTTGAGGCTAGAGATCTTCTAAGCTAGGAGTGTTCCACGAGTACTATGAACTCATGAAACTTTGTTCTACTAACCTAATAGGCATGTCTAAGGAATAAAAGGGATTCTTGAGTGCGTAGTCAGTGTAGATTTCATAAATTTTTCGCAGCAACGGTTGAACACTTGATTGGTGTTGATCAGTTATAACGACAAATTTAATTCCTACATGAAAGGCAGTATGAAGAAATTGTAAGTTTGGATCTATTCAAGTGCATTTATTCATCAACAATCTATCTAACTATCTATCTCTATCTATCTCTCTCTTAATAAGATTTTCATTCTATTATTTAAAAATACTTGATTTATTACTTCGATACAAGCTAATTTGATTACCTGTTAATGTTTGATAGCACCACAATCGAAATGTTCCAGTCTCCAATACTTCAATACCGGAAGAATTTGAGACAGGGGATAATTTGCAGGCGATAGCATACATTCTAGTACCGTATTAAAACGAGAGGAGATACAATCGTTGTTATTACAGTTATTTATCTTGGCAAACTATTTCTACCGATAATGCAAACAAGATGGCAATGAGAGTACGTAGTAATGCTCGAATAGCGAGCACATACTTTCTATCCACCTTGACTCTATAAGACGACTTTAAATCGATATCAAAACTTACGAATGAAAGGTACTAGCCAAGGTAATTTTCTCATTGACGGATAGCTTAGGTTTACCGAAGCGAATATTTAATGGAAAATTGTCGGCATTTTGCAAGTAAGCTATAATAGGAGTACCATCTAGCATCTTTCGACCGCTTACATTTTCACCATTGACAGCAATTACAGAATAGCCAACTACATGATGAAAACGAAGAAAGCAGTCTATATTACACCTCTATCATTATAATTCCTTTTCCATTTACTGCCTACAGACTGTAAGAGAAGTATTTTTTATGTTATTGTGAATGAATTTACAGTATCTAGATGCAGTCCTATTTTTTTTTTTGATGCTGACAATCATTGCTGCAACAGCAGGTTTATTTGGATCAGTTCATTGCATTCATTAATGATCAGTAGTCCAGCATGAGCACAAGAGCAATCAGACAGTCATGATATAGTGACTATAGTAGTGGATGCAATCACTTTTAAATACGATTGACTTACTCTTGATACCATCTCTCTCTCCATAAGCCACAGTTAATCTTTCATCTTCGCGTAAAACCATCTCTAATGGGTAACTAAATGTTTTTTCGACCTCGGTTCGTGGTGTGACATGATCATAATTATAAATTAAACTACCAGCTTTATTGATAATATACACGCTATACAGGACCATCTTGATGACCACTGCTAATTTAAATCTATTCTACTCATATAGCTTGTATGTTTAAATGTTCCTAATGGAAATGGTATCCTATTTTCCTTCGTTTTCGACTTAATTGAGGATCAAAGTTGGAGGAAAGGGATGCAAGATCCGATCTAGCCAACAAGCCCTAGCAACGTCAGACTGTCGAGCGGGTTCGTTTGGGACCACTATGGACTAGCTTACCACTACTGTATCATGGAAGACTCTAAAAGATATGGATTTGTATGACTGATTGACAACCATTATGAGTAAGCTATGGTGTAGAAAAAAGATTGCACCGCATTGCACCCTCATACAATAGTTATCATTATATGGATTACTATAGGCGAAAGCGATTTTTGTCAATCTACACTCGCAGAAGGAACTGTCTGTCTTGCTGTATCGTCCGATGCAAGTAGACATTGGGTGCGGCTGCTCTTGTAGAACGAACGAAATGGCAATGCTTTCCTATACTGAACGCTATACTGTGCGCTTTTGACACTTTATAGGACTAGGAATAGTATGGCTATCGTTGGTGGATAAATTTTCATATTGTTGGATTGAAAATGTTTCTGGAACTCTTCTTCTACAAGATTGCAAAGCTCATCACAGTGCAAAATAACAACTCTAAACTGATGTATTATGATCCAAATATGTTGAAAATACTATGATAAACACAGCATGAGTTATTGCATTTCTTTATACCATGCATTTGCGATCAGTTTAAAGCAGTTCTCAGGTTGCAGCTGTAAGTAGTGTAAAAGTACAACATGGACGAGGTCCCAAATTTCCCTGCGTCTCCAACACTAGCTGCAGCAGAAACAGCGTCAAAGGTCATAGTTACTAGCAAGCCGCTAGTCGAAATGACCAGTGAAGTAATTGGTCTCTGTGTCTTTAGTACACTGAATTGGCATGTCTCGTCTTTCTCTTCCTATTAACTAACTATCAAAAAAAGACAGATGTAAAGTGGCTATTTCAGAGCAAAAATACTGCAGAGGCCGATCATTTTTGGCGGTCATTCTACGCCACATCGGGTTTGATGTCAAGCTAGTGAGGTATACGCCTGCTGCATAGTATACCATTGCAGAGATGCAATGCAGTTGAAATGAGCAGTAAAATGGTCTGATTTTGCATTTTTACTACCCTCAAGGAGCATTTCACGTTCCTTGAGCGTTTGGATGTTTTTCGTAGGTAGGACAGTTTCAGCGAGGTCTACTAAGAGAGAGGGACGAAAAGTGGCCGTTTTAGTGACACAAAATGCGAAACTCTATCCTTTTTCAGGTCATTCTATACTGTTTGAAATCAATCAGCCAAGCCAGCAGCTCATTTGGCTTCCTAGCTCGGACAGTATATACTGTAGTGAACCGTTGCAGTCATGCAATACAGTTGAAATGATCGGTATACTAGTCGGCCACTATCATTTTGCTCCATCCGCATTTCCTGTCCTTCTCTTTCGAACCAAAAGAGGGACCTCAAAGTGCCTGCAATACGGCTTCAAAAAACATGGAATGGAAACCAATCTTCAACTCTACTGCAAAATACAGTAATGCGCATTTTCTAGGCCATTCTCCAGTTCCATATCGCATCACTGGAGCGCGATACACACCTGCCAAATACTTGTATTGACTAGTAGAATAGTCGCCCTCGGTGTTTTACAACATTGCATCAGCAATGGAGCATTGCCCGTCCTCCTCTTTCTAAAACAGAAAACTGACTGACAAGACAGACAAAGTAACTGTTTCCCTGCAAAATTATAATTATGCCGAGGCCTATTATTTTCTTTTTCCAATCATAGTAGTGTAAGGGTTCTATATGCAGAATTATCCCAGGTATAATAATGGATCGACAGTAGCCATTCGTAGCCATCGAGCCAATCCGTAGCTGAATTGGAGGTCAAGCGATCGCAGTCGAGTGTTCCATTACAGGCATACGGTACAGTTGAAATGACCAGTAATAGACTCAACGTCCAGGTTGATAGCAGACCGAAAATTAGCATTTCCCGTCCTGCTCTTTCTAAAACAGAAAACTGACTGAAAAAGACAGACAAAGTAACTGTTTCCCTGCAAAATCATAATCATGCTCAGGCCTATCATTTTCTTTTTCCAATCATAGTAGAGAAAGGGTTCTATATGCAGAATTATCCCAGGTATAATAATGGATCGACAGTAGCCATTCGTTGCCATCGAGCCAATCCGTAGCTGAATTGGAAGTCAAGCGATCGCAGTCGAGTGTTCCATTACAGGCATACGGTACAGTTGAATTGACCAGTAATAAACGCAACACCCAAGTTGCTAGGCGGACCGAAAAGGAGCATTTGCCGTCAATGCCTTTGTCCAGCCGCAGAGCTTGGCGGTTAGCTCTGTCTTTCTATCCGTCCAATACAGCCCGCCCAACCATTACACCAGTTTCAATCATTCTCATTTGTGTCAGCTCCTGCGCTCTCGTCATCGCTCATTTCGATTAGGGTAGCTCGCCATCTTATGCATCAATGAATTTAGCTTTGCTGAGTAAGTCCAATAGAATCTCCAATTTATTAATTAGTATCTTACCATGTATGCTATATGTAGTATGAGAAACAATTCGATATGGAATGGAATGTTAGGGTTGATCATTTGCGTTCATTTTTTATCTCATTTTTTTTTTCTCTATTGTTGCAATGATGCTTGTTGATGAAATGATGATCAAAGTGGACGCTAATCATGCATGGCTAATAATTTATATTAACCTTCTTCTTGTTTACTCTATTTTCTCATCGATTGCTACGCTGATGGAAATAATACTCGGTGGAACACTATTTTAGAGCCTTTTGAGCAGAACTATCCAGAAGTAAGTGTATTTATTCAATACAACAATCATGCTAGTTGTAGCTATCAATGGAAGAGTGTTCATCAGTGTATAGGATTGTGATATTGTCATTCAATTTATCGACTGTAATCATGTTAACATTAGCAATGGCACTTTTAGAGAATGTCAGTAGACTGGTAGTATCGTCAAAATAGGCCTATCAACGAAGGAATACGTTGTAGTGATAGCAATCAATATCTTGTTGTCCTCTCTGTACTCTTTACTATTGGCGATCGATTGTCATAACGTAATCAACACTATCTTACAATAGTTGTGAAATAAATTCATTGAATTAGGAATATTCATGTTTTGATTTGATAAACTAAAAATGGCTCATTCATTGACGCTTCTAAGGAACACGATGGTACTCTGGATTCTGCCAGTGGCTCTCTTACATGTTCCTTCAATCGAATGGGTACTTTATTAGCTGTAGGTTGTAATGATGGTAGATTAGTCTTGTGGGATTTCATTACACGAAGTATTGCAAAGATTATCACTGCTCATGTTCATCCTGTATGTTCTGTCAGGTAACTTGAAACCATGAAAATAGTATAAAATAACGTTTCTGTCTAAATCCAACTGAATAATTTCAAATCATCTACATAGTATCACTTCACACAACTGTTAGACTATATGCTATCGTTCAACTCATAACCAACGTAACACCTATGTTAATTTAAAGTAGAGGATTGCTAATCAAAACTTGATTTCCTCATAGTTGGAGTAGGAATGGACGACAGCTAGTCAGCGCATCAACAGATTGGACAGTTGGCATATGGGATGTACTATCTGGGGAATGCGACAAACAGTATCGCTTTCCGGGTCCATTAACAAAAGTCCAATTTAATCCTAGGAATAAGTAAGTTAAGAATAATACCTATCAATGATTGATGATGTTGTAGATGAACAGGTAGAATTCTATAGAAAGTCGTACTGTCAATGTAAATTGAGTTAACCAAAAAACATACATTACACGAAGGCCCATGCCGATGATTCAAGTGACAACGATTGAATTTTTCCAGCTAAAGTTCCATTATCAGAACATCTAAACCAGCATAATATTCTATAGCCTGTATCTACTCGTGAATATAGTAAATTGCCATACATGATTACTTTTACTACCGCAGAGTATTGTACATGTATTATTCATAAATTGGCATGTTTGTATTAAATCGGCCTACCTGAAACGTTGACCAATTTTTATGTAAATCTCTTTCATAAACATTAGAAATCAAATCTTGGCCTGTTCTTTAAAACATGCTCCAGTTTTGATTGACATGAAAGACGCTACTCATCATATTCTACCATTTGATAGCGAGGTTTGTAAGTGTAGTTTACTTTAATTTCTCACGAGGATATCTTACAGCTAAAATTATCGGCAATGCTACAGTTATTAAATATCTAATTTAAACCGAAAATATTGTCTTATCCATATACACGCACTTGTATGGAAACATGCTATATTGGACCCAATGATGCGATCTATACAGTCTGAGCAAAACATTGTAGCATCTTTCGATAGAAAAGGTGAAAATATCTATACGGGCAATGCAAAAGGCAAAGTAAGTTGATTATTTTTGAATATGAAATCATTCAGATACCCTAACGGCTTTTACATGTCACAGCTTACATATCTCCTTTGCTTGCATGTTACAGATTATGGTCATTGAAGCAGAAACACGAAAGGTAAAATTGTTAATGCGTAGTGTAATTGTTGTTCTGACTACCTTAATAATGACTAAGAACAAATTTACTCATCAAACCGCGTACAATGATTTCATTAGATAATTGTTTCATTTCGAATTACTACTGGGACTAGTTCAACTTCGGTGAAATCAATTGAATTTTCACCAACGGGCAGGTTATGAAAGATGACAACATTTATTTGCATACTCCTATTGACGTTAATTTTTTAATCTGTAGCATATAAATGGTACAGATTAGACACTATGATTTTAAACTCAATTTATTAACTTCTTTGAAAATGACTACCAAATCTACAGCGTCTTTCTAGTTAATTCATCGGATCGAGTGATTCGTGTATATGACAGCGAGATTGTCTTGTCGGCCGCGGATTATGAGGGTAGAGAGCCGGAATCAATACAAAAATTGCAAGATCTAGTAAACAGAACCCAATGGAAGAAATGCTGCTTTTCAGGAGATGGAAACTATATCGTAGCAGGTATAAGACATTGTTATGGCCCTAAAGATTTATTTTGGTGTATTTAATGCGCCAGATTTTGTATCTTAAATTGGCATATAACAGGTTCCGCTAGGCAACATGCCCTTTCAATTTGGAGAACGAGTGATGGCACTTTAGTTAAAATACTGAATGGTACCAAGGGGGAAACTATTTTAGACATTGCTTGGCATCCACTTCGTGCCATCATTTCTTCCATTGCTAGTGGGGTTATTTCCATTTGGTCGCATAGTTTAGTAGAAAGCTGGAGTGCCTTTGCACCCGACTTTAAAGAGCTGGATGAAAATGTAGAGTATTCTGAGAAAGAAGATGAATTTGATATTGTGAGTCAATATCTTCTGAAGCTGATTACGACGTATTTACGAGCCGCATTTAAATTGAACCATTAAGAATGTAGCTAAACATACGATACTATTTCAAAACAGGAGGATGAAGATAAATCGACAAAAGCTCCATCCAATGATGGAGACGGCGAAGAAACAGAAGTCGATATAACGACAGTTGACGATGTCCCTTTTCTGGATAGCAGGTATAAATTACGAGTAAATTACCGGATTAATTTATCCACTAATGATATGAGTAATATAATATTGTTTATGTATAAGAGATGATATACAGTAAGTTGTTTATCTACCATAATATCATCCTAATGTCAAATACACATTGCAGTGGTGAAGATTCGGAAAGCGAACACTTGGTTTCATTACCTGTTGTCCCTGAAATGGACGAAATGGAAAATTTTGGATTGAGTTTACTGGAGGTATATCTGATAGAAACTATTACTGGCCATCAAATCATAAAATGAATCGGTATCTTTCGTATCTAAGAATTTTTTTTTGTCTATTGCGATAGAAAGAAGATTTTGAATATGAAAATGGAAGAAAACGTAAAGGAGAGCAATCTCAAGACGATGATAGCGCCAAAATTGCTAAAATTACTTCAGCTGCTTCGGTTGATATAAATTTTCCAACTGATTCTACAGTCCCAGAAAAACAGCCAATGTTGTCAGGAAACGATGGTAACGGTAATGGACAATAGCTATGAAATTGCTTGTAATCTTCTTTCAAGTAAACTTTGCAACTGCGAATGTCTAATTGATGTAAGATATTATTAAATGAACGTAAAATATTGTAAATGTGACACGATATTTACTAGCCACTGTACATAATGGTTTGTACTGTTGTATTTTTTGGTCGAGCAAATTTCTAATCCTGTTATGCTTTATAGAAATGTGCACACGTTGTATGCTATCTCATCAAATTCTAGTAATATTGCATTCATATTATTGACATTATTGATGTTATGTAGATTGACTTTATAGAAATTCCACTAGCGTAAGGCTTTTTCTATCTGTTTAATGTGTTCGGTAAAATATTTGCTGTTTTTCAGCGCGATCACTGATACTGTGTAGTAATCAGCAATGTCAATTGAGTTAAGTTATTAAGGTTACCAGAACGTTGCCGACGTTACAATGCTACAGAGAAATACACTTTCGAAATTTTTGATTGATTCATTAACTATATTCTTATACATTAAATTGATATGAAAACCTATTAAATATCTATTTTATCCCTTTGCCAAATAGCAAGTTACTGCTTGAAACAACATTGCTACTCTGTTTACATTAACTGCTTTGGAATATTTCTGACCCCAGTGATTACATCAACTTCGAAATTTTTATAGTATAGTATGTCTGTAAATACAACACGTACTATTTTTCCAATAATTAACAAAGTAAAAATAGAAAATTACATCAAAGTAAAAAAATTTAACATCATGAAAGACGCATCACTTTTGTTTCAAAATTAATTCATTTCAGTATCATTGAAATGGCAAACATAACAGTTCCATTTGTAATTTTGGTATAAACCTATACAAACACATTGTAGATAGATACATGTCTAAGTAATTGCATCCAATGCCATAAATAAATTTCTCGAACAGATTATCAGCGGCAATATCAGAGCTTGTTACAATCTACACAAATAACAGTTATCCGCTTGTCGAGATGATTAAATGATACTGTTTCATACAGAATGCAATCAAAATACCGTAAAACTACGTTAGCCGCGTTAATAGTACTGGACCAGCGAGTGATTCTCATTAACGTGGCTTTATCAATAATACGGATTGCAACATGTAAAATTTTGCAAAATTAGATCAATTCTAATTTTCTACAGGCACGTATAACATTAGATGAAACAAGAATGGTATGATAATACAGTTCAGTAACAATAGAGTGAATGGTATTATCACTACGCTTAATTTGCTATGAATAACAAGATAATTAAAATTATATACGAGATTACGCTATATTATGTTAGAACGCAATGAAATGCTGGACAGGAAATAACTGCACTTAGCACCTAATAACTAGCACAATAGTAAAATTATTCACCAGTTAGTGTAGATAGATAAACCATCGGTGAATGTTGGAAATATAGATTTTAGAAATATGATCGTCAATTTACAGTACTGCAATCTAATTTAAAACGTAACATAATAATAGTAATCTAGTGGTATGTTGTTGCTGTACAAGTAATGTGAAACGACTGCTAAAATAAGCTTGATATAAATGATTGTTGTAGTCTTGGTAACTGTTGGAGGAACATATCTTAGCGAATAAAGCAAAAATTTTCCTTTCCTTTTGTTCCAATGTTGACTAGCTAACTACGATGACAACAGGGCATAGATCAAGTATCATAATTTATGGATGGGCTGGATCAATGCCGCTTTGTTGCAACTGTGTAAGATATAAAGTGTTTAATTTGCGTAATTCGCCAACTTGTTGTCTAAGTACTTCGACATCAACCATCAATTGGTGTATCTCTTCGGATTTCTTGTTCACCATATGGCTTTTATCTACCAATTCGTTAATATAGTCCACGGTTCTTTGCAAGATGGCTCCCTTACTCTATTAAAGTAAAGTCGTCCATAAATTAAGAGATGAAACGCTGTTACTGTAACATAAAATAAAGAAACTACAGTATTGATAAAAAATAAATAGTAATATCACTTTAAGGATTTACTACCACTTGGCCTTGTTTTGAGTGATCGCCTTCGGCATTTGGAACAAGCTTAGCTAGTCTATTAATCCAAGTATTTATCTTATCGCGACGTCTTCTTTCAACTAAAAATAAATTCAATAATAGCATATTACAGTTAGTCAAATATATTACTTTATATCACTTTTATTGCCTAATTACTGATAATAAATGTTTATTAATTTAGATTGGAATTCATTAAGATAACCACCTTCGTTATGTGTTGCTCGTCGTCGTTCATCTCTAGGTGTACGAGGTTGATCTAACTTGTTTCTATAAAATAAAGTATCAATAGCAAAATTTTTAATGCTAGCTTAGCATCCATAGAAACAATCACTGTTTTACGATTACGTAATTACTTTACATAAATTTCATAGATCTACGTTGCCTATTCATTGCAGCTAAGTTGTTAAGATCGGTGAATGATACACATCATAATGTTAGTATAGTAGGTAAAAGATGCATAATGAAACTTTTTCTATCATACTATTATCTGTATGTTGACAAAATGAGGTACCATCTGATAGCAATCCTGATTTAGAAATTCCAAGAGTTTATATTTTCTATAACAATCTTAGCTGTGTAATGTATACTGTACAGTCTTTAGTAACTTACGAGCGAAATAATAGACACTAAACATCGATACATTTTATTTCTAATATATAATTCATATAAAACAATTACGCTATTTCGATTTTTCAATCAAAATATAGTGGCGTAATATAGTTATCACGAATGATAAACTTACGCTGGAATAGGGACACGCGGCGCAATAGATCTTTGATTTGCAGCTTGGGCAAGATCTTGAGGCTGCTGTGGCATCATTACGTAGTATTGTCCAGCTACAATATAAAGAAGAATCAAAATAAACCCCTTTCAATTTCTTGACATTATATTTCCATACATTCAATATTGTATTGTAAGCTTCATTAGTGCTATTAATCTGAGATTAATCAAGATAAGGAAGTTGCATAGTAGATACACAATCGCTACACTTTTCCAATGTCATATTATAGCGTACAATGAGGACATTTAATGATGAATTGAATTTAGGGTAAAACGTAGCGGAAGCAAAGAATCCAATTTACTGGAAATTGACTAAAGTCAAAATTTTTGATCAGTCTAAAAATAGTCCCGAAATTAGTAAGAGCAATTTTCATTGTCCATTAATTATTATTACAATTGATTGATTGATTGATAATAAAATTTCATACAACTTTATATAAAAACCAGGTCTATAGATCCAAATTCGTCAACTAAAAATTTTTGATCAGTCTAGATATAGTTCCGAAATTAGGAAGACAGAGTAATTTTCATTGCCCATTCATAATTAAAATTGATTGATTCAAAATAAAATTTCATGCAACTTTGTATAAAAACTAGGTCTATAGATTGAAATTCATCAACGTTAGAGAAGCTTCTAACCTTAAGCAGTGATTGTACAGTATCATAAATATGACAGATGACAAGTAGGTACATAGAACATATAAATAAAATGCTTAACAGATTACTTTAATTAATAAGGATGAAAGATTTTCTTGAACCAAGTTAAAAGCAAGCTAAGAAGACCCCCAAAAATGTTCAACACTGACAGCTTAGTATATTGCAAATAGTGCAACACTAGGATTCGACACTGTACTGTACATTCGCAATAAACCTTTTCTAATAATCAATGCAATTTGTAAACTATTCAACACTTTCTCGACAAGACTAGACAGTGTATCTCCTAATTAATTCATTAAGATGCGAAGATAAAGTTATCAACGATATTGTCGCTGCTACTATTTTAATTCCTTCCTGAACAATTTCGATCGTTCTATTTTGCGTATTAAATACTCTCCAAATACATCAGAAATAATAATATCAATGGAAAGATTGTCGAAAGCATGAAAGGCGATCATGATAACATAAAAGGGCAAAATAGTACAGTGGGCCATACTGAAAGAATATCATTTAAAATGAATGGCATAGGATTACAACACTGTTAAATCGAATTCGTCAAGAGAAGAAATGAAATCTGTGGCATTGTGAATATGAGAGGATACACGTCCATCGCTGGCATCCAAATTATTCATGCTATTACTATTAGATTAAATAAAACGATGACAGTCTTTCAAGTTTAAAATTAGAATGACGGGTAGACTGTCCCCCCAAAAATGAAATCTATCACGTATTGCTATCATTTTTTCTCCATAGATGTATACAGCCTTTACATTGTTAATCGATTGAAAACAACTTTACTACTATCTTGCAGACTGGGCTATACAAGTTTCCACGTAAATATTGCCATGATTCGCGCTAAAATCTCTCTTAGTTTTTGTCACTTTTACAAGCATTGCCATCTCATTTAATTTGTAATTATTACAACATAGAATATTCACTTGTAAAGCTTGAAACGACTATCCAACATAAAGTATTTTATCGGTGATAAACTATAATCGTATACTAAGTCGTGCCGATTATAACTACAGTCACCATCTATAGTTGAAATATTCGATCAAAATTATGTTTTACTAGATAAAGTATCGTTGATTATTTTAAATTATCATTGCCATTTCGTTGTCGAGACCGTTTTGTACAACAGTTAAAAAGATGAAATTGCTTCAGGAAAGCTTTTTCGATACTGAAGCGAGTATTTTCGGTTTCAATAATTACATATACGAAAAATATCTTACGAGAGCTTGCAATATGATGATCAGGCATCATTATTCCGATACAGTAATAATAATCATATTACAGCTATTGCAATTGTTCCATTTCTAGACATCCCATTATGATACAATAATAATAATAATAATAATTATAATACCTTAGATTAGTCAGAAGATAGTATTAGCATTAGTAAAAACATCTTGCACCGTTGAATTAGTTTCATTAACTGTGTTCGGTTGATCAAGACAGAGTAACGTTGCAGTCTACGTACTATATCATAAGCTAAACCGTATTATTTAAAAATATGTTATACCGTTGAAATAGTTTCGCCATGGACTACTCGAATACGAGGCGTTCGAGTAGTCCATGGTTGTCGCTAAATGAGTTTGGTCGATCAAGGAAGGGCAAAAGTTACAGTCTATGTACTAAATCATCAGCTAAACAGTATTGTTCACTTGCACCGTTAAATTCGTATGGCTAAATGAGTTCGATTGATCAAGGAAGGGTAAAATTAGAGTCTACGTATTGATAAGTACTTGATCTTCTCCAATTTCAGCGCAAAGAAAAGGTTGCAAAATCATGTCGTTAAATCAAGTGCTACAGCAATTGAGTAGCTTTTCACATGAAATAGTTTATCATCCATGAATTACTCAGTAAAATGTACAATATGTGCTTAAATATCGCAATGCCGATTCTTTTTAGCGACCATATCATAACGGTAGGAGATCAATCTGGTTAGCACAGTTATCATCAACTACAACCGGTTTTAATTCTGTCACATATTATCCCCTTTCTATAGTAAAGATTGGCTTGAATGTCATTCCAGACTACTGGTATGGAAAATAACAACACTGGCCTTGCGAAATTGTGATATTCTATTCCAGTGGCAATGGGAAACCCTGTCGAGGGTATGACTTGTAGTAATCTATGCTTACATGTAACGGAAAATTACACCACTGACCTTGTGATCCAGTTCTAACGCCATCAAAATAACCTGGCAGTATATAGTACAGTAACAAAGTCTAGAAAAAAACATCAAGGGCATTCAATTGCATGCTGAATACGTAGGTATGCAATAGTAACGTTTGTTTTCACGCCATCACAACAATCATGTAGTAGAGGGAAAGTGGTCTTATTTCTAGCGCAACCGAAATACCCATGGAGTTTGAACAGCTGAAAAAAAATAATATTAATATCAAGGCATTCCATTGCAGATTGAATGGGTTGTCATGGGATAATAAAAGTTTTCATGCCATTATGACAAATCGTCTAAAAAGTCTGAACGTTAGAAAGATTGAAAACACAACTAATGATTCAATTTTAGTCGAATGCTACAAGGTGTAATAATTTGGGGTGATTATTGATGCAAGATTTAATTGATGGCAAGTTGATACTAAGCTACAATCTGCTACTTTTGGCCATAAAATGATTATTTTCTACCCCAAGTCAGAAAGGTCAAAGGATGAAAAAGCTAGTCTTTGACAAAGAATTGAATACATGATGACTACGGCAGGTTCAATACAGTTCTTGGGCCTATTCAACGGACAGAGCTTGGATACTAATACAAGTAAGACGGTATCAGGGTTCGAAAAGAGCAATGATGTACTTTCAGTTATTCGTTCAACCCATGAAGGTAGAAAGATAGACCTAATTAATTAGCCCAATCGACTGACTAGTGACTATCCATCACTGCGTGATAGCTAGATACACTCTATTCTACAATCGACCATTAAATTAAGACTATTTGTTGTATAGGATACTATTGAGCCTAGGCTATTTAACTTGTAATAGCTAGGATTAGACATTATTCTTGATATATTGAAAAAAAAAAAAATTCAATCCACCATGATAGAGTAGACGAGGATGAGAGAAAATGGGAAAAAGGGTAATTTTTTTTCGTCTGGCTAGCGAGACGACAAGTTGATAACCAAAAAAGGATAGTTGATATAAGACTGAAGACGTGTCCTTGTCTACTGTAGCTAATTGCAATTGCTAATGTGCTCATTCAAGAGTCAAGTAAACAAGTCAAGCGTTGTAGCTGATGTTGTGTGCGCTATCATCGAGTAGAGAGAAAAATAGACGATTTATCTTGCATCTCTCCAACTACAATGCTAGACTATACAATTTTGTATTGAACTAGGTTGAAAATTTACCAGCAGCAGCAGCAGCAGCCGCCGCAGCAGCATTGGGTGAAACTCGGTCGGTTTGTGGAGCGAAATAGCTATATCTTGCTTCATTACTTTCAGCTAATGATGATGCAGGAGGTGTGGAAGAAAATTGGCTTTGAATGACTGTCTGAGCGGTGATATTTTGCCCAGGTTGATGTTGTGCAGCGTAGACCACAGGAGCTGCGTTGGCATTGCCGTCTTGTTCAGCTGTCGTTAACACTCGAGCATGTTGATGGCCACCATTAAATAACGGATTGCCTTGAACTTGTCCACTTGCATTGCCTGCTGTAGGATGTTGACTAGGAAAATGCATCGTAGAATATTGGATGCTATGCTCACCATATTGGACTTGGCCAGTCGATGCACTGCCATTGTTACTACCATCATTCGCCATCGCTACATTACTATTACTTCGTTCATCGTCATTTCCTCCTTGATTGCTTGTTGCAGTTGTCGATGCATTTCCAACTTGTACATTACTTTCATTGACTTTATTATCCATTCTAGGCTTTTGTTCTTGATTACTAACTACTGCTCCTGCTCCACTCACCTCCAACGAGGAGGCATCTAGATTAAGTTGTAATCCACTTGCAGAGGTCATGTGGGACCAAGTTAAAAATGCCAATAGACGCGCCTAAAAAACCTCAACTTGATCATGTGGTGACCACTGGTCATGTGAAGCCAACTGAGATCAACACGGTCTCCACTCAACTGTCATGGCGGCGGTCACCCACCTGGCCTACGTAACCACTGCAAAATAGGCCATCACACAGTCAGTATCAGTTGGCAGGGAATTTTTTTTTTTTTCTTTGCCTCCTTTTTCTCCCTGACCACCTGACTAGGCACGTGATAACACAAAGCCTGACGGGAAGGGCCCAGCGATGGCCACGTGATAAATCCCAAGGCAGGGGCTTGGACAAGCACGCCAGTGGAACCGAACCTCGGACGCGTCCAGTCCTCCCTCCTTACGGGACTCTACAGTGGAAAGCGAGTGGGTCGACTTGATCAGATAGAATAGAGTCCATGGAGTACTATTTCAGTCATTTCATATTCTAGTTCAATGAGGCAAGGATTCCATTGCTATCTTATCACATATCTCACTTTACTACTGTAAGAACGCATGTACTGTAGAGAATCTCCTTTTCAAGCTGCTTCTCAAACTGGAGCTAGTCATTTGACTGTCCAAATAGGGTATGTCTGTCATGACGTCTGTCTGTCGTAGAGTGATTTTCAATACCAGAATTGACAAAACTACAGTACTGTACACTGCACAAAGTGGTCTTCAAGCCTACTGTAGCCCTCCGTCAAAATAGTACTACTGTAAGAAAGAATGTAGAGAATCTCCTTTTCAAGCTGCTTCCCAAGCTGTAGCCAGTCATTTGACTGTCCAAAAAGGGTGTGTCCGTCTGTCGTCGAGGACGCACTATCCAACCTACCAGACAGTGATGTGCTGTAAAAACTTCCAATACTGTACTGCACGCTGCACAAGTGGTCTTCAAGCCTACTGGTAGCCCTCCGTCAAATAGTGCTGTACTACTGTAAGAACGAATGTAGAGAATCTCCTTTTCAAGCTGCTTCTCAAACTGTAGCCAGTCAATTGACTGTCCAAAAAGGGTGCGTCCGTCCGTCTGTCGTTGACGACGCACTATCCAACCTGCCAGACAGTAATGTGCTGTAAAAACTGTAAAAACTTCCAATACTCTGTACAAGTGGTCTTCAAGCCTACTGTACTATAGCCCTCCGTGAAATAGTACTGTACTGTACTACTCTAAGAACGAATCTAGAAAATCTCCTTTTCAAGCTGCTTCTCAAACTGAAGCCAGTCATTTGACTATTCAAAAAGGGCACGTCTGTCGTAACGTCCGTCTGTCGTAGAGGACGCACTAGTAGTCAACCTACAGACAGTACAGTACTGTACTGTAAAAACTTCCCAATACTTCAAGGCTACTGCAGCCCTTCGTGAAATAGTGCAATGGCCACTATACTGCACTCTTTCCCTCTCGACTTGGTCTCTTTTTACTGCCCTTATCCAACACGCTTGAATTTCATGTTCATTGCTCATAGTCACTTATCCTTGCTTTTCCTACTGTATCATAAACTATGAAAATATCAATCAATTAACTATAGTGTATACAGTATACAGTATACACTCAAAAATAGAGACAAAATTATTCAATGGACTATGGACTACTCAATCTTCCATACCATACACAAGTATACAGTATATGTCGTTTACCGTAGAAAAGAAAAAAGAATTCAATCAATCAATAATACGGGATAAATTGGACAAACAACGTAACAAGCTGCTGGAAAAGATTCCTCACTCAGTGCAGTGAAAGTAATGGGAAAATTTTCTCTTTGATCTCTATCATAGGGCCGGCCCTACTCACCAATGATCATACGTAAATCTGTATACGACTGAAATGCGTACTACATCATGGGTCTATTCAATCTGGCCTACCGACTACGCGAATATTAAAGTATATATCAATACAGTAAATAAATAATACACGCACGTACAGCATTAAAAAGGCCGCAAAAGCAATCTCCTCTAAAACAAAAGTAATGTACTTTCGCATAAAAAGAGCTCGACCTATTTGATTTACAAATAATTCTACTTCGCCCATCACTACAATACTGTTCATAATAGGATTTTACAGACAGGTTTTAGAAGAGTGTGCCTTAGGCCATAGCACTGATTCCCACTATATGCCTGAATTTAGACTGAAATCACTGCAGAAAATAAATTTCATTTTTAGGCCCTTAACGGAATCGAAAAGAAGTCAATCTTCTCATACGCGTACCGCTGCAACTCGCATTTACCAACGTATGGGGTGCATTTCCTGAATCTTGAATACGTTTATGAGATGATACTATTCATCCAACTAAACCGCGAAATGGTGGTAATCCATGGACAAATTCTATCCCCCTTTAACCCATTTACCACGTATGGGGTGCATTTCCTGAATCTTGAATACGTTTATGAGATGATACTATTCATCCAACTAAACCGCGAAATGGTGGTAATCCATGGATAAATTCTATCCCCCTTTAACCCATTTACCACGTATGGGGTGCATTTCCTGAATCTTGAATACGTTTATGAGATGATACTATTCATCCAACTAAACCGCGAAATGGTGGTAATCCATGGACAAATTCTATCCCCCTTTAACCCATGCAGTGACCAATAAAGTGATTATTTCTTCTTTGTACTGTAGACTACTACTGCAATTATTACTGTACAGTATAGATCAATAAGTTGTAACGTCAGATTGACAACCAGATTAGGAAGAACTACAAAGCTATCCTAGCTGCATGTCAGTAGTAGGCTTCAAAGGATTGAATGGATGAGTCAGAAGCATTCTAACGTTATAATAGTGGTCCATTTTTTCACTGTAAAAAAGTATGACTCATGGGATGTCCTAGTTCAAACAAAACAGGATTCCAGTCTAAGCTTTGTTACTCTAATACTGAACTTATTGTATATAGACGATAAATTACCCGCGTAGAGTCCAGTACTACTGGTTATTACTGTTTCGTGGCGTCATAATCAACAGTATTATGACTCATTACTGTCCATCTAATAAGGGAAAATCAAGTTGTCCACTTGATAAATGGTGCAAACAAAAAGTAGCCATTGCTTGCTTAAGGGATATTATTAATACTTTATTGAACGAACTGAATATGCAAAGCTCTGGAATATAGCTAATAATAATAATAATAATAATAATAATGCTAATATTACTATTATGAACATTATACTGTATGGACTGTATACAATACAGTACTGTACTGAACTACCCAGTGGAAAACCAGATCCCTTTTGCCTGCGCATGCTCAATATGGTACCCAAACCGTACAATAATTATATAGCGTACAGTAGGATCGATGGAATTGCTGCTGCTTGCGTATGCGATGGCGGTGATCTTGACGTCAGTTGACCTGGGTTCGGTTTGGGTGGGTACAAGCGTGCATGCGTACGTGCTGTGGACGCTATTCAAGGCCAATAAATAACGGTAAAGTATTCAGTGATTACTTTAAACGTTAGATATACATTACCATAATAATTAATGCATTATCATCGCCATTATTCCAGATCAATAATAATTCTTATTTTCGCATCGATCAACTAGCTTTCAAGGCCCATTTGAACAGCGTGTGCAACTTTAGCTGTTTTTACGCCCGATCAGAAAGTGCTCCGCCTTATCTCCAACTTAACACCTCTATTTCTAATCGATTCCTTATCACTTTAATTCGATAAGCCAAGTCGCTCCTTTTCACTCGTTATTTTAATCTTCCCTTGGATGCTGAACTTAACTTCCTTGGCTAATAGTGAAGACGATTATTAAAACTAGACGCTCCGTCATCCGAATCAAGATAGATGACGATAGTGGTAGTACATACACAATTGGCGTGGTTGCTGACCTTGAATTGAAACGTGAAATTGTCGGCAAGCAAGGAAAATAGCTCTGGTTTATTAGTCTGCTCTAAAATTCCAACGCAAACTTTCTCCCCCCCCCCAAAAAAAGACATTATAATATTGAAGTTGGTGGTCGAAAATAACTAGATATTTTTCAATTGGACCCAGACTTATATGGTGATTCGGTAATGTAACCCATAAATAAATATTTTGCAGCGTTAACATGCAAATAGATTGGAGTCAATACATAACTGTAGGGCTATATAAAGTGCCATTAGTATCAGTCATGGCCGTCGGTTGAATAGTATCAATCAGGATAACGATTACAAATTCCTTCAAGACAAAATACTATCATTACCTTTAGTTATTGTTCTTTCTACATGTAAATAGCCTCTGATAAATACAGATACGATTTATTAAGGTTAATTAGGAATTATTGTTTCATTTAACTGATCCAAACGCCTTGCACACTTCTCATAGTAATTCAACATGGCTTACATGCAATTCAAATGCTTATGTCTTCTGGCTTTAATGGTTTTTTCTCCACTATCTCTTGGTAAGATTATCCTATAACTGTAATTATTATTCCTTCACTGTAGCCGACTCGTCCATCAGATTCTTTGTCTTGCATCAAGATTGCTAGTACCGTAATAATTTGGATATTGTAATCCTTTTTTACCTTTTCCTATTACCTACTCACTCACTGTAGTGCTTTCTTTTTCGATCAAGTACTTCCGCATAGGCTAGCTATCCATCCGAAACTGCTTCAGTACAACACATTTATGTTAGACTACTGTCTATCGCCTTACAGTTATAACGATAGCTTTTCTCGAATGCAATTCTATCCAACTATTCATTGAATCTAAAATGGATGAGAGAATAGTAGATTGGCATTGAGATGATAGTATTACATCCACGTTTCCTACGTCCAACAAACTACTCTACAAATGTCCATAGCAATAGTCTCAATTTAATTGAATGATGCCAGTTGTTTTTAATATCATAGCTATATCAAAGTAAAGTCTCCCTTTATTAAAATAGCTCGCTGTAATGTGATTGCATCGAGTAAAGTAATACAGTTTAAATTGAAATATTCAAATGATACGTTTTACCCATCCCGTACAACTACTGCTTATACGCTGCTCTTTACTCATCAATTTTATTTCTGTTACCAACTC